ATTTTCCCCATTCCCAGCTGGTTTCACAAACCAGAGCTTTTCCTTCTACCAATTTTCCCCATTCCCAGCTGCTTTCACAAACCAGAGCTTTTCCTTCTACCAATTTTCCCCATTCCCAGCTGCTTTCACAAACCAGAGCTTTTCCCTCTACCCCCAATTTTTCCCCATTCCCAGCTGCTTCCACAGGCCAGAGCTTTTCCTTCCACCCCATTTTTCCCCATTCCCAGCTGGTTTCACAAACCACAACTTTTTCTTCCACCCCCAATTTTTCCCCATTCCCAACTTCTTTCACAAACCAGAGATTTTCCTTTAACCTCCAATTTTTCCCCATTCCCAACTGGTTTCACAGGCCAGAGCTTTTCATTGTATCCTGAATTTTTCCCCATTCCCAGGTGGTTCCATAGGCCAGAGCTTTTCCTTCCACCCCTGATTTTCTCCATTCCCAGCTGGTTTCACAAACCAGAACTTTTCCTTCCACCCCCATTTTCCCCCCATTCCCAGCTGCTTTCACAGGCCACAACTTTTCCTTTCACCTCCAATTTTTTCCCCATTCCCTGCTGGTTTCACAAACCAGAGCTTTTCCTTCCACCCCCAATTTTTTCCCCACACATTCCAGAGCTTTTCCTTCCACCCCAATTTTTCCCCACACCCAGCTGCTTTCACAAACCAGAGCTTTCCCTTCCATCCCTGATTTTTCCCCATTCCAAGAGTGCCGGGGCTCCATCTGGGCAGTGATTTCTCATGGGAAAGATGACCCCCAAAATCTCCAGCCAAACCCACAGGGCTGGGCAAGATGCCAGAGGGGTCTGGAGCTCCTGAAGGGGCTGGCACAGAGCTCGGGAAGCTCAGAGCGCTCACCAGGACGGGGCATCCACCCAAATATTTCTCGCCATAAGGAGCCAGCACAGCAAACACGAGGTTTTCCCGGGCTGAAGGGAAAATCCTCGGCCGGGATGGGGCAGGACGAGGCCGGAGAGGCGGTGCTGGAAGGAGATTTGTGCGCCGGGAGCCGGACGGGGGATGGCAGCAGCGAGCCGAGGAGCGGCGGCGCCACTGCGGCTGAGCAGGGCTCGCCTTTGTTTAGCGCAAAAAAAATAGCAAAGTTTGGGCTTATGTCATTCCAAACTTCTCCCGGCACCAGCTGGGAGGTGGGGAGGTTCCCTCCAGCTGTTTTTTTGGTTTGTTTTTTTTTTTTATTATTATTTTCTACAGTGTCTTTTCCTTTTCCCCTTTATGTTTTGCTGATGGGTTCATGGCGCTTTTTTTTGCCTTTTTTTTTTTTTAATTATTATTTTTTCTTAATTTTGGCTATTTGACGACCCTCTTCCCCCTGTCCCGAGCGGGATGAGGGGTTCCCGTGCCCAGCAGGGCACAGCTGGGAACACCCCAGGAATGCAGGAGCAGCTCCCGGCGCAGGCAGCCGGACTTTTCCTCGCCCTAGAACAAAGCGCCCCATTGTTCGGGGGAAATGGGAAGGAAAGCGTGACGGAGCGGCCAGAGCCAAGGCGGGAGGGAGCTCCTGCGGGAGCCGGGCACCCACGGCCTCGCACAGGGGTCACCCAGCGCCCGCCCCTGCTTTCGGGTGGCTCCGTGCCGGCCGCGGCTCCATCGGTGGCAACGATGTCCCGCGATCCCTGTGTTCCCCACGTGTCCCGGTTTTTGTGACGCTGCTTGAGCCGAGGTTTCCTTCCTTCCGAGCTGGCTGGGAATGCCATCCCGGAGCGCAGCTGGTCGCTGGGAAGGGGGGCTCCAAAAATAGGAGATTCTGTTGCGGCTCCCAGAAACGCAGAGAGCCCCTTTGCCATTTTCTCCTGTGGGAAATAAATGTGAAAAACGCCAATCACTTGGTTTTAAAATCTTAAAAGTTTAATAGTAATAAAATGGTTATAAAAAATAGTAATATAATTAGAGTAATAATTATTTGGACAATTTGGATTAGGACAGTATGAGACAATAAATACAAAGAGTTACGGAGAGTCCGGGTACCTTTTCTGGGCAGCACGAGCCCGAAAAAGGACACCCGAAAAAGGACCCCCTTTAACAAAGGATTAACCCTTAAAAACAACAGCCTGTTGCATATTCATACAGCTCATCCATGATGCATAAATTCCATTCAAACACAGGGTTCTGGCTGGTCATGGTCAGCTTCTTCCTCTGAATCCTCACAGCACCTTTGAGGCAGGAAAAAGTTCATTTCTCCTGATAACGGAGCAATAAATTCTCTTTCTCTGAAAGATTCAGGTGTCCTGTGGCTGCTATCTTGCTGTGAGTCCTTTCTTTAAAAAAAAATATCCTACACAGCACAGTTTCTATTTTAACATTTTGTTATAACCTAAAACACTACTTAAGAGAATTAATACATCATTATTTTCTGACACAGCACATATAATATTCATTTGAATATTTGCCAAAAGCCAATCATAAAACACGCATTTTTCACAAAAAATAAAATCAGGATGCCTCTGCTAACAGCTGGTCCTAAAAAGGAGTCAGGAATTTGCGCTGGGATGACTTGCAGGGCTCCTGGGATGGGGACACGGGGACACCGAGCGTGCTGCTGTCCCCATCCCCTGCCCGAGCACGCGTGTGGCCCGTGGCTTTGTTGGGGGACAGGGGGGACATTTCGGGGCTGTCGCTTGGATTAGAGAGGCAGGAAGAGGAGGAGGAGGGTGAGGGGGATAAAGGTCCTGGCACTCGCCGGGCTCGCAACAAAACAAAGCACCAGATGGTTCCAACTTCAGCATAATACGCAGGGAAAAAGTGTTTGAAGCGGGGATGGAAAAGCCAATGTGGAAAGAGAGGGAGAAAGGGAAGAAAGGAAAACCCTCAGCAAGTGTCAGAGCAGAAGAAAGCGGCGGAGAAAAATGGCAAATGTTAAAAACCCAGACAAAAAGCCCTCGGCCGGACATCTGTCCGGCAAAGGGCCCCTTCCCTCTGGTGTCACCTTGCCTTGCTGCTGTCACCGCGGGGACACGGCCACATCCCTGCACAGGGCTGTGCTGGGTGCTGGGGACACTGTGCCACGTCCCACAGCCACAGCGCTGCCCCCGGGGCAGGTGGCAGCGACGTGCCAGGTGATGTGCAGCAGAGCTACCCCTAAATATTTCATTACAATATTTCATTACAATATTTTATTACAGTACTTTTGGAGCTCTTTACGCTGTCACCTCTCGTGTCCCAGATGTCCTCGTGTGGTGGCAAACCCACCCGTGGCTCTGCTGTGGGGTTTTAAGCCTGGTTTATGATCTGAGCGAGGTTTTTGTGTTCCCCTCGCTCCTCCTTACGAAATTTCTTGAACCCGTAGCCCAGAGCCGCCTAGAAAAAGGGAAGAAGGCTAAAAAGTCACGTCGCCTCTGGCACTTTCACCAAAAAAAAACCCAACAAAATAATCTCATGCAACTGCCAGAGCGGATTGCAGCGTGGGTGGAACCCTTATTAGCCATCAGAGAGCCCACAGGCCTTGGGGACCCGGACTGCCGGCACTGCCGGGCTGGAAATGAGGGATGGAGCTCGGCTGGAAATGAGGGATGGAGCTCGGCTGGAGCTCAGGGATGGAGCTCGGCTGGAGCTCGGCTGGAGCTGTGACTGCTGTGTCACCGCCCCAGGGCTCCCCGGATCCTGCGGTGGCTCCTGGGGACAAAAGGGGGTCCTTGGTTTTGTGATCCGCCCCAAAGAGAGTGAGGGCGCGGGTGGGACAGTGCGGAGCCACCGCCGGAGCTGGGGTGCTGCAAGGGGGGGGTGTCACAGCACGGCAGCTGTCCTGTGGCACGGTGACACAAGGAGAGTTGTCCCCCAGGCCTAGGGATGGCAGGAGCTGGGGTGTCATGTCCCCAGGGTGGGGGACAGTGGGGTGACACGGTACCCCGGAATGGCAGGGAGCCAGGGTGCCACGTCCCCAGGGTGGGGACAGCGATGTGCTGCTGTCACCTTCGGGCGTGGGACAGCCCAGGTGACGTGCCACTGTTTTTTTGGGACAATGAGGAGCTGCAGGGTTGTGTCCCCTGAGGGACAGGACAGTGGGGAGCCGGGGTGATGCCACCCTGAGGGACAGGACAGTGGAGAACCAGGGTGATGCCACCTTGGACTCAATGGTGTCCACTTGGCTCGTGGGAGGATGAGAACCAGGGTGATGTCACCATGGGGGACAGGACAGTTGGGTGATGCCATCTGGGGGACAGGACAGTGGGGAGCTGGGGTGTGCCACCTTGGGGGACAGGACAGCAGGGAGCCGGGGTGATGCCACCCTGGGGTGCAGGACAGTTGGGTGATGCCATCTGGGGGACAGGATGGAGCTGGCGTGACGCTGCTCTGGCGTGCAGGGCAGCAGGAGCCAGGGTGATGTCCCCGTGGGGTGCAGAATGATGGGAACTCAGGTGATGTCACCCTGGGGGAGGGACAGCTGGGAGCTGGGTGATACCACCTTGGGGAGTGCGATGACAGGAACTGTGATGATGCCATTTGGGAGGATGGGACATTGCAGAGCCACTCTGAGGCGTGGCACAGTGGGGACCATGGTGGTGCCACCCTGGGGGACAGGACAGTGGAGAGCTGGGCCGATATCACTTAGAGGTGCAGGACAGCAGGGAGATGGGATGATGTCCCCGGGGGGGCAGGATGATGGGAACCGAGGTGATGCCACCCGGGGGGGCAGGATGATGGGAACCGAGGTGATGCCACCCGGGGGTATCAGGACATCGGGACCGAGGGTGCAGGACATCGGGAAGTTGGGGTGATGCCACCCTGGGGGACATGCCAGCAGGAAGCTGGGGTGCTGCCACCCTGGTACACAACACCGGGGACACGTTGGTTCCCCAGGAGTGCAGGACACCCCAGCAGACCCCGCAGCCCCTCTTGCACCGGGGGGCGTTCCCGGGCGGTGCCGCACAAAGGCCGCCGGTGCCCCCGCCCCGGGGCCGTCCCGCAGCCCCGGGGCCGCCCCCGGTTCCCGGCCCAATAAACGCGGCCGCATTTGAACGCGGCGCCTCCCCCGGGCCCGCAACGCTCCGAGCGCTGCGCTGCGCCCCGCCAGCCCCGCGGCACCGGCAGCGGTGAGGCCGGGACGGGAACGGGACGGGGGCGGCTGCGGGGACGGGGGAGGGAAGGGAAAGGGGAAATACCGAGCCTGGGCGCGGGGGGAGCGCTGACCGCCCCGGTCCCTCCTCCGCGGGCGGTGCCGGGCCCTGCCCGCCCCTTCCCGTCCCGTCCGTTCGCGGCGGGGCGGCCGCGTGTGCGGGCAGCGGCACCGGGAGCGGCGGCGAGGTGCGTGCCGGGGAACGAGGGGCTCTGCGGGGCGGGGGGCGCTGCCGGGAAAGGGGGAATGCTGGAGGGATGGAAGGGGGTAATGGGGCCAGGGTTAGGGGTAGGTTTGCTTCCTCATAGCTGCAGCGCGGTTTTGGGGTGGCTGTGAGCGGGTGCCACCCCAAAGCTCCCAAGGTCCGCCCGGTGCTGGTGACAGCCACTCGCCCTCCTGCCAAGGGCGCCGTCCCTGCTCCCGGGGGGATGCTCTGAGCGCTGGGAGCGGGCTCTGCGCCGCTCCGGCCGGGCTGAGCCCTGGAGCAGCCGGCTGCGGCCGGAGGAATTGATGACAGCGGTTGTTTTGTCATCGGCAGAGCGCTCGTTGTCGCCAGGGTGGCAGACAGCATCTGCTGTCTGGTCCCCAGGCGTGGGCCCGTCTCGCTTGGAGCATCCCTGTAGGGATGGAGCCAAAATCCACAGCCCAGGAGCACCCAGTGCTGGGATTTTAGTGGGTGACAGTCTGGGAGTACCGTGCTCCTCTTCCTCATGTGCTCCCCGATACGGAGCCGAGGAAGGCTCTGGGCTCGTTTCGCCGTGATTCAGCAGAGCGGGGCAGCTCTTCCCGGGCTGCGCGGGAATTCCCGCATCCCGCGTTTCCCGGGATGGATGGATTCCCGCATCCCGCGTTTCCCCGGGATGGATGGATTCCCGCATCCCGCGTTTCCCCGGGATGGATGGATTCCCGGGAATCGCTTTGTTTACTCCTGCAATAATCAGCTTTGTGCCTCCTCCACCTTGGGCTTTATCGCACCCGGGGCTCCCGGAGTCACCGCCGAGCCACTCCAGCCCCATTTGCAAAATCAAACCAGATGGGCGCTTTGTTTTTCCTTGTGGAGGGAAGGCTGGCAGTGAAAAGCCCTATTACAATGCAAATACCGGCCTGGCGTGAATATTCAAACGCTGCGCTGCTTTTGAAGCTCTTTCCATAAATTTATAGCGCTTTTATTACCATCGCTGCCCTGCTAATCTGGGCTGGGGCTTGGTTAACAGAGTCGCTGCTCTCTGCCAACTTTGGAGGGTCTGGGGGTGTTTTTGGGGTGTTTTGAGGGGAAATTATGAGCGTGGTCAATGGGGAGGAGGAGCTGCCAGCTGTAAGGGTGACTCTGGTGCTGACCCTTGAAGAGCTGGGCGTGCTGTCAAGTGATTTAGTGACATTAAGGTGCTTCATTGTCCTTTTAGGTTCTGTTTTTCCCTTTGGTGTCTCGGTGTGAGGCTGCTGCTCCTAGAGGGGATGGGTGTTGGAAATTGTCCCGACACGGTGTGGGGATTTTGGGGCGGACACAGGGACAGGACACCGAGCTCTTCTCTGTGGTGACAAGTGACAGGACCCAGGGAATGGCTGGAGCTGTGTCAGGTTTGCGTTGGGTTTCAGGAAAGGTTCATCCCCCAGGCAATGGTGACATTCCCAGGGCTGCCAGAGCTCCAGGAGTTTGGATAACACTCCGGGTATGCCCAGGGTGGGGATTTTGGGGTGTCTGTGCAGGGCCTGGAGCTGAGTTCCACGATCCCTGTGGGTCCCTTCCAGCTCAGGGAATTCTGTGGTTCAGCAGAGCTGCTGATGGCTGAGATGGTTCATTAGGGAGGGAGATAATGAGGGTGAGACAACCCCAGCTCTGCCTTTCCAGCAAGGGCTCCACAGTCTGCTTTTGGTGGCTGCTGGGCCTCTCATACAGCCCCCAGCACTAAAACCTGGGCTCCTGCTGGGTTTTGCCAGCTGTGTTCACATCAGCCAGGCTGCCACAGGTGCAGTGGGAAGGGAAAGTTGCTTTAAATTGCTCAGGTGTGGCCAAGAGTGTGTCCCCTCTCCAGCACAGGAGGACACTCAGAGCAGTGACATCCCATGGAATGGGTGCTTGTGTTTGGAGGTGGCCACAGGATGCTGCCCTGCTGGGTAATTACTGCTAATTACCAGGCCCTCATTTGAGTCGAGGCAATCAAGAGGAGCAGTAAAAACATTTTCCTCGCTGTCCCTTGGAGGTGATGACTTCAGTGGAGGGCAGGGATAAGGGCAAGGTACCCACAGCCCGGGTTAGTGATGCAGAGCATCCTCAAAATCCCCAAATCTCCCTCTTGTGCAGCAGCAAATGTAATTTTGTATTGTCCTAGAGGAACCCCATGGCAGGGGGTTGGCATGAAGTGGCCTTTAAGGACCCTTCCCACTTAAATAATTCTGGAATTCTGTAATTCATCCTGCTTACAAACACCCCACCCCTCAAAAAAAAAAAGTAATTGTGCTAATTGTGGTGTTTCTCCTTGCTGATGCCATTGATTGACCAATCTGTGTCTTCATTAGCTCCAGGGTAAAGTTGCTATCGATTCCAGGCACTTAAATATGCGAGGCAGTAATTACTGTTTGAGCCTATATTGTTGGAGTTAAATTTAGCTGAGAATTTAGTCCTCTCAGGCCCCTGCATTGTGTGCCGTGAAGGTTATCTGGCTCTCAGGAGGGGGTGGATTTAAAAGCAGGAAAGAAATGCCGGTGAAAACTTCCTCTTCTCATCATCATCATCATCCCGCAGCGCTTTGCTTCCCCGGGCTGCCAATAAGGAGAACAGAAATAATCCAGAAATGAACCACCCAGAATGATGTGGTGCTGACTGTCCTAAACATGCACTTTTCAGCTCAAGCTGGTCGTTCTGGGTGGGTTGAAGCAGCACAGAAGGGCAGCAATAAATCAGAACAAAGTGATGCCCTGTGCAGGGACCATCCCCTCTCCTGCTGGCCGGGGACTGGGGAGCCCCCGCTCAGCTGCTGCCTGCCCCTATTATCCCTGCTGCATCTCAGCTGCTGGCCCATCTGGAGCAGGGATGAAAGGCTGCCCTTTCACGGGGCTTTGTGTGCTCTGCCGGGTCCCCCCTTCCCCAGCACGGCTGCTGGATGGAGGTGGCAGCGCCGCCGGGCTCTGCTGCTGCCCTCGTTATCTGACTGCTGCCCATGCCAGCTCCTCAGGTAGGAAGGAAGCTCTAGGTGGTTTATTTTGCCCTCGCTGTGGAAGAGCTGCTGAATAATTCAGGCAGGAGAGAGGAGAAGGAGGCATCTTGGGTCACCTTGCGCAGCCGGCTGCGTGCCGGAGCCGCCTGCCTAAGATGGAGGTTGAGCAGGATTGCGGGATGGCCGGGCTGCTGGCAGCTCCTGGGGCCGTCTGAGGCAGGCGGGCACCCAGCCCTGGCCCCCCCGCTGCTGGGAAACGGGGAACCCCTTCCCCAGGCTCTGCGGGGGTGGCTGGTCCCTATAAGCTCTGGTTGTGGGGATGTGTGAGGCTGTTCTTGCCAAAAACTCACCTGGGCTGTAGGGCAGGTGTGGCCCATGCACCTGATGCTCTTTTTCTTTAGGGATTGGGGTTTTCCTGCTGGTTTTGGGGGGATTCCCAATGCTGGATTTGCCCAGGGTGAGTTTTAGGGCTCTGTGTTTTTGTGGCATTCTGTCCCTCTAAGCTCTGGCTGTCCCTCGCCACAAACTCACCTGGGCTGTAGGGCAGGTGTAGCCCATGTACCCGATGCTCTTTTTCTTTAGGGATTGGGCTTTTTCCTGCTGGTTTTATGGGGTTCCCAATGCCCAGGGTGAGTTTTAGGGCTCTGTGCTGTTGTGCCATTGTGTCCCTCTAAGCTCTGGCTGTCCCCTGGCATGGGGATGTGCGAGGCTGCCCTTGCCACAAACTCACCTGGGCTGTAGGGCAGGTGTGGCCCACGCACCTGATGCTCTTTTCCTTTAGGGATTGGGGTTTTCCTGCTGGTTTTGGGGGTTCCCAATGCTGGATTTGCCCAGGGTGAGTTTTAGGGCTCTGTGTTTTTGTGGCATTCTGTCCCTCTAAGCTCTGGCTGTCCCTCGCCACAAACTCACCTGGGCTGTAGGGCAGGTGTAGCCCATGTACCCGATGCTCTTTTCCTTTAGTGATTGGGGTTATCCTGCTGGTTTTGTGAGGTTCCCAATGCCCAGGGTGAGTTTTAGGGCTCTGTGTTGTTATGGCATTGTGTCCCTCTAAGCTCTGGCTGTCCCCTGGCATGGGGATGTGCGAGGCTGCTCTTCCCAAAAACTCACCTGGGCTGTAGGGCAGGTGTGGCCCATGCACCTGATGCTCTTTTCCTTTAGGGATTGGGGTTTTCCTGCTGGTTTTGGGGGTTCCCAATGCTGGATTTGCCCAGGGTGAGTTTTAGGGCTCTGTGCTATTGTGGCACTGTGTCCCTCTAAGCTCTGGCTGTCTCTCACCAAACTCACACTCCTGATGCTCTTTTCCTTTAGGGATTAGGGTTTTCCTGCTCTCTTTTGGGGATTCCCAATGTGCCAGGGTGAGTTTTAGGGCTCTGTGTTGTTGTGGCATTCTGTCCCTCTAAGCTCTGACTGTCCCTCACCAAAAACTCACTGGGCAGGTGTGGTCCACGCACCTGATGCTCTTTTCCTTCAAGGATTGGGGTTTTCCTGCTGTATTTTGGGGTTTCCAATGCTAGATCTGCCCAGGGTGAGTTTCTGGGCTGTTGTGGCACTGAGAGGGGTGATCCCAGTGCTCCAGGGATGCTCGGGGATGTACTGGCAGGTGGCATTTATCTCCCTGCACTAACTGGGGGAACTGGTTCTGTTCAGGGGCTGGAGACATCTCTGGGGGGGCAGGAGGTGGCTGACCCTGAAGGTAAGAGGTTCAGAGGTGCTTGGGAAGCTCTGTGGGGTGGAGTCATCCTGGCTGTGAGTTTTGGGGTGGCTGGAATGTGCAGGCGGGGCTCCCTGACACCAGGATCCAGCCACTGCTGGGCCCTGGGGGTGCAGGTGGGGAATGGGGTGGCTGCTGTGGGAATGGAAACAAGTTTGTTGCCTTCCTCCTGCTCACAGGCACCTGAGATTTTGGCTGCTGCCTCTTCTTCTGTGAATGTGTTGTTGAATGTGTCTGTGCCTCCTTCCTCCCCCCAGCGCTTGGGAAATCAGCTCAAGAGGGATTTGTGGGGGAGAAAAATAGGGCAGGGAGGGTGTGAGGGTCGGGTGGAGGGGTTGTGTCCATCCCTGGAGTGCCCACAGCTGAGGAAGGACAGGCTGGGCTGTCCCTGTCCCCTGTGTGCTGCACCAGCCCTGCATCCCTCGGCAGATGTGGGATCCAGAGGATGCTCTGCCCTGGCATCTGCTCCTGCAGCCAGGGAAATCAAGGACACAGCTGCTGCCCTGCCTGCCCTGGGGATTCCCTGGCTGGGCTGGGCAGGGCTGTGGAGCTGGGCTGCAGCTGGAGCAGCTCTGGGGTGTCCAGGAGTGCTGCTGGGGGCCCGGGGAGCCACAGGAGCCCTGTGAGGAGCAGAGGGGACAGGGCTGGGTGGGGTAGGAGCCCCTGTTTTGGGAAATGTGGCTGGCACAACCCCCAGCAGTCACAAAGCCAGAATTCCCAGGGCTGGCTGGTGTGGGGTCATGGATGAGGCTGGGATGCCCATTTGGGGACACCAACTGCAGTGCCCATTGTCACCCAAGCACGGTGACAGTGGCTGTTGTGCCCCAGGGTAGTGGCACATGCACACCCAAGCTGTTTGGTGGCACTGCTGCCACCCAAAGCCAGCCTGGAGCCCTGAGCAAACAGCTCCAGCCAAATCCTTCATTTCAGACAGGGAATTTCCCTCTACCCCCTGCCAGAACAGCCCCTGGGGCTGTGAGCAGGATGAGAGGGGTGAAAACTTGACTTGGGGGGGAAGATGGAGACCTGGGGCAAACAGGGTCTGGGTTTTGTGTGCCTGCTGCAGGACACAGGAACATTTTGGCTGTCCCCACGCTGCTCTGGGCTTGCTGCCTGTCAGACTCTGCCCTCAGCCAGGGCTGGGCCTGGAACACCTGAGGGAGAGCAGCACGGGGAGGGTGACGGTGTTCACAGGGGTGTTGTGTTGAAGGAAGAGATGAGGATGTGACTCCATGTTTCAGAAGGCTGATTTATTATTTTATGATATATATTACATTAAAACTATACTAAAAGAATAGAAGAAAAGGTTTCATCTCAGAAGGCTGGCTAAGAATGGAATAGAAAGGAATGATAACAAAGGCTTGTGGCTCGGCTCTCTGTCCGAGCCAGCTGGGCTGTGATTGGCCATTAATTACAAACAACCCCATGAGACCAATCACAGATGCACCTGTTGCATTCCACAGCAGCAGATAATCAATGTTTACATTTTGTTCCTGAGGCCTTTCAGCTTCTCAGGAATCAAAAATCCTAAGGGAAGGATTTTCACTAAAAGATGTCTGTGACGTGGGGAGCTCTTGCAGCTGGGCTTGATCTGGGGAGTTTTTTCCCAACCTAAAGCATTCCATGACCCCAGCTGTGTTTTTGGGGGGTGTGTTGTGCTCCTGGAGGGGGTGGCTGCCCTGAAGGGTTTGGGCTGGGCTCTCCTGCCCTCCCCTCCTCAGCCTTTGCTCCCTGCTGAGCCCTTCTTGCCTTGTTTATCTATTCACCTGCAGCACCTGGGGATCCCTGGAGCTCCAGGGAACAATTTATCTGCTGCAGCTGAGCCAGACGAGCTGACAGGAGCAGTGGGAGGTGGCACACAGGGACAGGACGTGCCACCTGGGCTGTGCCTCCCCAGGGTTTGGCTCTGCCTGGCTTTTCCCCCTGGCCCTTTCTGCTCTGTGGCTTCTTCCCCAGTGGGCTGGGAGAGGCTGGAGCATCAATTCAGCCCCAAACAGCCTGGTGGGCATCTCCTGTGGGTTTTTTTGCTGTCCCATGGCGCTGAGGGTGACCTGTCCCGTCTGTTCCCCCAGGTGAGCGTGGCAGGCTATGGGATGGATGAAGCTGAGCAGGACCAGTATGAAGTTCGCCTCAAGGAGCTCTTTGACAGCTTTGACAGCACAGGCACGGGCTCCCTGGGCCAGGAGGAGCTCACTGACCTCTGCCACGTGCTGCACCTGGAGGAGGTGGCCCCAGCCCTGCAGCAGACCCTGCTCCAAGGAAACCTCCTAGGCAGGGTAAGGAGCTGGGGGATGCAGTGCCTGCACGCATGGGGTGGTTTTGGGGAGATTGATGGGTGTGGTTTGTGTGTGTCCAACATTCCTGAGGCTCTGGTGCTGGAGGACTCGTGGGGTTTGGTCTGGTCTGTTCAGCAGGGTGGGCTCAGGGCACCTCCAAGAGCAGAATTTGGGATGACAGGGGAGGGAACTGCTCTGTCTGCCCTGACTGGAGGTGGAATGAAACCCAGGTTTAGGCTGAGCTTTGTGCCCTGTGTGCTTTCCCAAGGCCAGAGCAGGTGCCAGCTCTGGCTGCCCTTGGCTCTCACTGTCTGTGTCCCCAGCTCTGCTCCTGGTGCTGCTGGCCTGGGTCACCTCCCCAGACCAGCTCACCAGGTGCTCAGACAGGCTCTGAGCCACCTGGGGTGGGACAAAGCCCTAAATCCAGGGCTTGAGCCTGTGATTTACCCTGGCTTAAGCTGTGGTTAGGCTGGCAGGGCTGTGTGCAGTCACGGGTGTCTCTCTGAGGTGCAGAATATTGTCCCACACTGTCTGAGCCACCTCTGTCCCCATTGCCGGGTGCTGGTGGCTCCCCAAAGCCATTCTCCAGCTGTGGTTGTGCCTTTATGGGGTTAAATCCCATAAATCCCAGAAGCTGCTGCCCTGGGGGGATCTCCAGGTTCAGCTGGGTGTCCTTGTGCTCAGAGTGCATCAGCTCCTTCCCTGGAAATCACCCTGAAATCCATCACTGCTCATTAAAATCACACAAATGTGGAGCAGGGCAGCCAGGCAGCCATCCTGGCTCCAATTCCCAATCAAACTGCAGCTCTCACAAACAGAATAATTCCTTTAATGATCAAAGGGGTTTTTCCTTTTTTCCTCCTCTTCCTCACCTGCCCTGGGGCTGCATCTCCTCTGCTGGCAGTGAGTGGGGCTGAGATGGATGCAGGTGGAGGTTGTTGACCTTTAGAGCTGCAGTGTGGCATTTTCTGGAGCACCAGAGACTTTCTGTGCTGCTCTGTCATCTTGAGCATGGGGCACTCGGATGCTGTTAGCAAAGAATCCCAGAATGGTTTGGGTTGGAAGGACCTTAAAGATCATCCAGTGCCACCCCTGCCATGGCAGGGACACTTCCACTGTCCCAGGGTGCTCCAACCTGGCCTTGGGAATGTCCAGGGGCAGCCACAGCTTCTCTGGGCACCGTCCAGGGCCTCACCACCCTCCCAGACAGGAATTCCTTCCCAATACTGAATTTAAATCTCTTTTCCTTCAGCTTACAGCCATTGTCCTATCACCTGGCTTTGCCACTTGTGGGATGGTGGTGCAGAGAGAAAAGGACAGATGTGGCTGTCAGGGCACCAAAAACCCCATTAAAACATCCTAAATGCAGAGTCACACTCACCCCATCCCAACCCAGAGCTCCACCCCTGCCATCCAATTTTATTTCACCCTCCCTTTGTCCCTGGGGATGGTTTTCCCTCCCAGCCTGGCACAGAGCCTCAGGACAATCCCTGTCCCTGCTCCCCAGCAGCAGCAGCAATGGCTCAGGTTTAAGCACGAGCCAGATTTCAGTTTCATGGCCCTGGTGGCATCCTTGGGGTGTCCTGGGGAGAGCAGCAGCAGCCCCAGAGCCCCCTGAGCACAGACTTGTTGCACCTGCCCCTCGTGCTGCAGATGGTCACAGCCTTTGTGTGCCTGCACTTCCAAGGGCTGGGATTTATGGGAGAGCACTGGGAGGGGGCACTGGGGGAAGGTTTTGTCTGCTCAGGGGCTGCTCGTGGGGCCACGTGCTTGTCTTTGTGCTGGGGCTCTGCTCCAGGCGTGAATGGATGCTCTGGGGTCGTGAAATTGTGGGATGGTTTGGGTTGGAAGGGGATTTTAAAGATCATCTCATTCCAGCCCTCTGCTCTGGGTAAGGACTGGGAGCTGAGTGTGACCCTGCATTTGGGGTGTTTTAATGGGGGTTTTGTGCCCTGGCATCCAGAGAGGGGCTGGAGGTACTGCCACCCCTGAGGTGGTTTGGGAATTAATGGGGTCTGGTGTGGGGGTAAATCCGTAAATCCTGCTCTGACTTGTGGGCTGGAAGTGCTGCCTCCCCTGAGGTGTTTTGGGGATTGTTGGGGTCTGGTGTGGGGTGTAAATCCTGGGACTGGAGGTGCTGCCTCCCCTGAGGTGATTTGGGAATTACTGGGGTCTGATGTGGGGTGTAAATCCTGCCCTGACTCGAGGCAGAGCCAAACCCCTGTGGGAGTGTTTCCCTCACACACTGTGCGTGCAGATGATGCTCACGGCAGTTCTGGGGTGCCTCAGGAAGGTTCCTTCCCCTCACCCTCCATGGCAGGAGTGAGGGCAGTCAGTTCTGGGGTGCCTCAGGAGGGTTCCTTCCCCTCACCCTCCATGGCAGGAGTGAGGGCAGTCAGTTCTGGGGTGCCTCAGGAAGGTTCCTTCCCCTCACCCTCCATGGCAGGAGTGAGGGCAGTCAGTTCTGGGGTGCCTCAGGAAGGTTCCTTCCCCTCACCCTCCATGGCAGGAGTGAGGGCAGTCAGTTCTGGGGTGCCTCAGGAAGGTTCCTTCCCCTCACCCTCAATGCAGGAGTGAGGGCAGTCAGTTCTGGGGTGCCTCAGGAAGGTTCCTTCCCCTCACCCTCCATGGCAGGAGTGAGGGCAGTCAGTTCTGGGGTGCCTCAGGAAGGTTCCTTCCCCTCACCCTCCATGGCAGGAGTGAGGGCAGTCAGTTCTGGGGTGCCTCAGGAAGGTTCCTTCCCCTCACCCTCAATGCAGGAGTGAGGGCAGTCAGTTCTGGGGTGCCTCAGGAAGGTTCCTTCCCCTCACCCTCAATGCAGGAGTGAGGGCAGTCAGTTCTGGGGTGCCTCAGGAAGGTTCCTTCCCCTCACCCTCAATGCAGGAGTGAGGGCAGTCAGTTCTGGGGTGCCTCAGGAAGGTTCCTTCCCCTCACCCTCCATGGCAGGAGTGACGGGATGGGTGTGGCTGGGCCTGTCTGTCTGTCCTCTCTGTGCCCTTTAATTAGCAGCAATCCAGAGGTGTCCTGGGGACAGTGCAGGGATGGGGATGAGCCCTGGGAGTCTGTCCCTATCCCTGGCAGTGCCCAAGGCCAGGCTGGATGGGCTGGGAGCAGCCTGGGACAGTGGAAGGTGTCCCTGCCATGGCAGGAGAGGGATGAGATGACCTTTAAGGTCCTTTCCAGCCCATATCCTGCTGGGATCCCGTGAAGTTGGGCACTGTGGGCCCTATGCAGGGCCTGTCCTTGGGGCTGTCCTTGAGCCGGGATGGGGAGCTCAGGTTTCACCTGCACCACTGCATTCCCAGCCTGCAGCAAGGACAGCCTGGCTGGGCTTTCACTCCCAGCTCCCTGCAATGACCTCTTGCAAAACACCCAAATATCCTCCCCTGTGCCTGCAGTGCCCTTGCTGCTCCCCTTGGTGCCCTGTGGGCTTGGCCAGGGCTGCCCTGTTGTGATGGCACTGCAGGAGTGGCTTGTTGGGACCTGAGGGGACAGCTGGAGCTGTGCCAGGGCAGGTTTGGGTGGAAATCAGGAAAAGTTCTTTCCCCGGAGGTTGCCGGCACTGCCCAGGGAATGGGCACAGCCCCAGAGCTCCAGGAGCTGCCAGGGATGCCCAGGATGGGATTGTTGGGGGTCTGGGCGGGGACAGGAGCTGCCCTGGATGATCCCTGAGGGTCAGGATATTCCCTGATCCTCCATCTCCCCCAGCAGACATTGCCCTGTGCAGCTTTCTGGCTGGAAGCAGTCTGCAGGCAGGGGCAGAGCCCTGGGGATGGGGTTTGTGCTGGGGACCAGGGCAGGGAGCTGCAAGGAGCCCCTGCTGCCTGTCCTGGCTGTGCCAAGTGCTTTGTTTGCATGGCAGGAGCAGCAGGTACCCTGGCACAGGCTTCCAGCCCTTTCTAGTGCTAATCAGCACAGCTTCACAGGGAGCTGGCTGTGCAGGGACATTGGGGTTTCTCTGAGGATCCAGGGTTGCTCAGCAGCACAGCTTTGGTTGGTCCCTGAGTGCCTAGGCAGGCTGGGCTGGGCTGGCTGTGCCTCTGCTGCTGGGTTTGTCTTGTTTGATTTATTCCTTCTGAGAAAATTCTCCTTGCTGGGTGCTGCCCTGGCTGTGCAGTGCTGCTCTGGCTGTGGGGTTTGCAGGGACCCCAGGTTGCTCCAAACCCCATCCAGCCTGGCCTTGGGCATTTCCAGGGATCCACAGCTGCTCTGGGCACCCTGTGCCCGGGCCTGCCCACCCTCCCAGCCAGGAATGTGGGCGCTGTCCCTGATCCTGGATCCACATTGTTCATCACCTCCCCAACCCCCATCTCCTCCTGGCTGGCTGAGATCAGCCCCAGATTGCTGAGAGACCCCCATGGGCAGACACACAGATGAGCAACACCAAAACAGAGTCATAAAATCAGAGTCGTTTGGGTTGGAAGGGACCTTAAAGCCTATCTTGTTCTGAAGGGACACCTTCCACCATCCCAGGCTGCTCCCAGCCCATCCAACCTGGCCTTGGGCACCTCCAGGGATGGGGAACTTGTGCCAGGGCCCCCCTAGCCTTGCAGGAGGATTTCTATAGGATTTCTGCAGCCTTTGTGGCTTTGCTGTCCCGTGGCTGCCTGGCCTGGCTCGTGCTCCAGCCCAGCTCCCATTTTATCAGTGCTGTTTCTCTCTCTTGCACTCTGTGCCTGCACACATCCAAGGTCAGAGGTGCTCCACAGGCTGCTTTTGCTGCTCAGCTGCTGTTGGGAAAACCTCTGGCCCATCTTGAGGACAAATCTCCCCCTTTTCCATCTGGGACTCCACCTGCAGAGTGAGGAGGGCATTGGGGACCCCCCTGTACTGCTGATTTGTATTTGCAGTCCTGCTGTGCTGCACAGGAGTGTGGCTACATCCTGATCCTCAGCCTGATCTTCTCAGGCTCCTGGGGGTGTCCTGCTCATGGAAAAATCCCAATGTGACCACAGGGCCAGTCCACTTCATTAGACCCCAGTGTCTAATTAGACACCAGCTCTGGAGTGGATTTTACTAAGCCCCACTTTGCCTGGGGCTGTAGGGAGCAGGGAGGGCTGAACCTATTTTATTTTTCTATTTTTCTCCCTTTTCTTGGTGATTTGTCAGGCACACAATAGTGGGGGTGTGAGCAGCAGCATCTCAGCCTGCTCTTGGTGGGAGGAGTGGGCAGCAGAGCATCCTCTGCTCTGGGGGCATTCCCCCCCTCTGCTCTGGGGGCATTTCCCCCTCTGTTCAAGGGGATTTTTGGCATTTTTGGGGATGAACAGCACACAGGGCTGTCTCATGGGCATCTGCTCCTGGGAAAGGCTTGATTTTAACGTCTTCATGTTCCTCCTGTGCCTCTGTGAGCACCTGGGGCTTGAGCAGCTCTGAGGTTGGACTTGATAACCTTAATGATTATTTCCCAACCTGAATGCTTCTCCAAACCTTCCTGCTCATTTGTGGCTAGGAATGAGAAGCTTTTCAGCTCAGCAGTGAATTTCCAGCATTCAGGAAGCGTGGATGGCTGCCTGTGTCCTTGTGCAAGGGCTCAGCTCCTCCTCCTCAGTGCAGGCAGGAGCTGTGGGGCTCATTGTGCAGAGCAGGTGATGGCAGTGCTGCTGCACACCTGCCCAGGTGGTTTGATTTTATTTAATTCCATGTAAGAGATGCAAAGTGGGTCTTGTTTTCCTGTGAACTCCCATCCGAAGCCATCCCCAGCACCCATCCAAGGGATTGGCTCTGCCCATTCATTGCTGAGAGGATCCCATGGGGAGGGAACCTGTAATCTGAACACCCTCATCTTTTATTCATCCTCATTTGGTCTAAATGTCAAGTTTTCTTTATTTTAATGGGGGAAATTCTCCTCTCTCTGTAAACTGGCCTTTTTGAAGAACACCAGTGGCTGGGAATGGATTAGTATTCAGATGGAGGCATTCCTGATGAGCTTCTGTGCTGAACATATTTTTTAATTGTGTTTAAAACATTTAAAACTGTTTAAAGCCTCAGGGGTGATTGGCACTGCCTGAGCTCCCCTGTACCTCCATGGCTCACCTCTGAGACTGACCAGGGGGCTTGTTGGTATTTTTCTGAGCTTTCTTGACCCCCAAAAACAAGCTGGAGAACTTCAGACTTCAACTTTGCTGCTTGTGCAGCATGAAAATCCCTCTCTGAGTGCAGCCCTGCCAGCCAGATCAGCCTCTCTGTGTTTCTTTAAATACAAAATCTTCTTGTTCCATGCTAAAAATTCTTCTAGGATTTATTTAGGCAAGAGAAAGGGCAGCAGCCAGCTCTGCCTGGCCACTGACCCATGTCACATTGCTCGTCCAGCTGTCCCCCAGGCTGGAATTGCTGACATTCCCCAGCAGGCTGGGAGGGTGCTGCAGCCTCCTCCTGCCTCTGGCTGCCTGGCAGGCAGGAGCATTTCCAGGAAGGCACAGATGGAAAAAATACAGAAGGAAAAAAAAAAAAAAACCTCAGTGGCAGGATCATCTCTGTTTTATTCCCAGCTTCAGTCCAGGCTTGGTGTTCCAAGTTCAGCCCTCCCAGAGCTGCCCTGGGAAGGGAGGGATTTTTCTGCCATCCTCATTGGGAGTGGATTTTGGAGCTAAATTAGGGCAGTGGAGCATTTCCACAGCAGAATATCCATCCCTGCTCAGGCATGGCCTCGCTGCAGAAGCCACTGACCCTGGCCAGGTGCCCTCAGGGGATGGAGATGTCCCTGCTCCTTTTCATGTGCTTTTGGTTCCTGCTTGATAGAAAAACCCAACCAGCGCCTGAGATCTGTGGTTTTGGGCCCTCCTGTGTGGCAATCATTGTTCCCACATGCCTGCATGTCCCTTGCTGTCCCTTTGGCTCCTTTGTGCCCCTTGCCCAGGGGTGGTGGTGAGTGATCCCCACTGCTGCTCATCTTCCTGCTGCATTCTGGCCTCATGTTTAACTCCCTGCACCACCCTATTGCCAATTTCCTTCTTTTTTTTTTCTTTTCCTCATATTTTGGCCTCATTTTTAACTCCCTGCACCACTTGATTGCCAATTTCCTTCCTTTTCTTTTTTTTTTTTTTGTTTTTTCCCCCCTACAGGTCCACTTTGATCAGTTTAAAGAAGCACTTATCCTCATCTTATCCAGAACCCTGTCAAATGAGGAGCACTTCCAAGAATCAGGTAAATACTGAAATTAGCCGAACTGGTACATTTTCATTGGCAAAGCAGCTCTGGGTGGCTCTCACAGAAGAACTTAGAAGGCAAAGTGCTTTTTAGGTGCTGCCATCCATGCAGAAAAAGCTGATATTGGGAGAAAAAGTGTTGGGTTTTTTTTTAGGTTTTATAGAGATGAGGTAATTGAGAGCTTTAAATATAAGATTTATACAAATTATTTCTATTAGTATGTATATGTTAATATATTTCCCTATAATAATATAGTCATTTCTATTTTAACTATACTAGATTAATAAATATAGTTACTTCTATTACTATATTAATATATTTATTTGTATTTTAATTTTATATAAATATATTATTTATATTAATATATTTGTTTATATTAATATAGTTATATGTTAATTTTATTATTATATTAATATATTTAATGATAAGTATGGTTATTTCTATTACTTATTATACTATACTATATTATATTAATAGATTATATTATACTATTATATTATACTATACTATATTAATAGATTTAGATTTTAATTTTAAATTATTTCTATTAATATGTATATATTAATATATTTATTGATAAGTATAGTCATTTGTATTTTAACTATATTAATATATTAATAAATATGATTATTTCTATTACTATATTAAATTAATATATTTACATATATTTTAATGTTATATAAATATATTATTTATCTAAACATATTTGTTTATATAATATACTTATATCTTAATTTTATTTTTATATTAATAAGCATAGTTATTTCTATTAGTATATTATATTAATATATTTCTATTTTAATTTTAAAGATATATATTTATAGTATTAATAATAAATTTGTTCTTATTAATATATTTATTTATATTTTAATTTTTCTAATCTATTATTTATTTATTTTATTGAAAAAGATGTTATTTTATTATTGCTTTTGATGAAGGGTGAGAAATAGATTCTTTACAAAAAGGGAGCTGAGGTTTGTTGTGGAACCTTGCACAAAGGTGTTTTCAGAGCCATTGGATATTTCTGAATGGTCTGAATGCCCAGAGAGGCCCAGGCTGGCTGTGAGCAGGGAACTGCAGCTACTTCAGATGCTCAGGATGGGACAGGGGCTCAGCTCCCTCCATCCCACACCATCCTGCTGCCCAGGGATGACAAAAGGCTGATTTCCTGCTGCTGCTGGGGGTTTTCCCAGCTGGGGCTGGTTTTTTTTATATTTTTAAGTCCATTCTGTCTCCTTGTGTCTGAGATGAGCAAGGTGTAGGAAGCTTCTCTGAATTTCTCCCAGGAAAAACACTCAGGCTGCTCCAGGGGTGTTCCTGACCAAATGGAGCCCCTGAGAAACCAGACTGGGGCTGAATTTCAGAGAATTCCAGGATGGTTTGAGAGGGAAGAGAGCACTTCCACCTCCTGCCATGGCCAGGGACATCTCTACTATCCCAGGCTGCTCCAGGGACACTTCCAGGGGCTCTGCTGTGAGCCCTCCGTGTTCTCCTTGCTTTGTTTCTGTGTGCCTTGAACATGGGGCATCTTTAGGCTTTCCTTGGCAGGAAAGGTTTCAGGTTCAGTGCCTTAAAAATGGGGCATTTTCAAGCTTTCCTTGGCAGGAAAGCTTTCAGTTTTTGTTTCCCCGCTGCAGCAGGGCCTGGGAGCTGTGGGGCCGTGCTGGGGCTGAGCCCTGCAGCTCCAGCTGGTGCCACACCTGTATGGAAATCCCTAATCCTGTCCTTGGAGCAGCAGGGGAGCCAAATCCCCCAAGGAGAAAACAGCTTAGCAAAGGGGGAGAGAGAATTCTCCAGATTTCCTCTCCTGGAGCATCAATCTCAGCTGGAGCATCCCACTCTGCAGAGAGAAGCCTGCCAGCAAAATTACAACTTTCCCCTTTCCATAAGGCTGCAAAAACCACAGGGTTGGAAAGGTGTGATTGATGGATTATTTTTATTTTCCACCTCCCATTTCCAAAGCTCTTTAATGCTGTGAGAGGGGGTGATGGCAGCTCCTGTGCCCAGCATTGCTTAATGGAATTTGCAAGTGCAGCTCAGGGGGGAGCATTCCCTGCCAGCCCCTTGGGAAGGAGCTGGCACAGAGCAGGAATCAGCGCCAGTGAGGCAGAACTAATCCAGCATTCTGCATTTATTGGGGTATCATATGGCTGAGAAGCTCCAGCTTGATTGAAATGTAAATAAATCTCCCAGAAACAGCTAAATTTGGGGTTATCACAGGGGAAATTACCAGTGGAGCTGGAGAGCCCTCCTTGGGGATGCTCTTGTCAGAGTGGGGTTGGAGTGGCAGGAAATCAAAGGGTGTGGGGTGCAGGTAGGGAGCCAGAGCCAGGCAGGCCTGGGAGGCATTTTATTTTTAATGCATTTTGACAGGTTGGTTAATGCCAAAGTCTTTGCTTCTTTTAATTTAGATCAAACTGGAGATTTGGAGAAACAAGCTGCTTTGTGCTGTTGGTGTCAAACTGTCAGGGAGTGTGGAAATGCTGGTGCTCCGGCCTGCCCCAGGCTAGGGGGAAAATTGAGTTAAGAGCTCTAAATCGTATCATTTAAATGAAAATTTAATTTGGGGGGGATTGGAGGAGAGGGGAGGGAGGGAGAAGCAGAGATTTTTAAGGCTGTTTGCAGCATCTGGGAAGGAAGGGGCTGTGGGGGTTTTCTCCAGGGATTTGGGTGATGGGGAGCACTGGGGGTTTTGTGCAGCCTCAGACAGTCTGGGACACAGACAGGGGGGTGGCATGTCCCTGTCCCCATGGGCATGTCCTTGTCCCCATGGATGCTGTCAGCTCAGGAGGGTGGCAGGAAGGACAGGGATGCAGGCCCTCTGCTGCTCAGAGATTTGAGGCTGGAGAAAAGAAGATATGGGGACACCCTGCAGCCCTTTCCAGTGCCTGAAGGGAGCCCAAAAGAAACAGGGAAAGGGATTATGGAGTGACAGGACAAGGGGAAATGGCTTTGAAGTGCCAGAAGGCAGGGATGGATGGGATATTGGGAATTAATTCCTCCCTGTGAGGGTGGGCAGGGTGCCCAGAGCAGCCCCTGGATCCCTGGCAGTGCCCAAGGCCAGGCTGGATGGGCTTGGAGCAGCCTGGGATGGTGGAAGGTGTCCCTGCCATGGCAGGAGATGATTTTCAAGGTGCTTTCCACCCAAACTGATTCTGGGCCAGGCTCTGGGGTCACAGGGGCTGGGGACAGGGAACCAGAAGTGCTGCAGTTCCTGCAGAAGCAGCCACTGGGGGTTCCTCATTTCGGGAGGAAGCGCTCAGGCTTGCAGAGAGCAGCTGATATGTATTTATATAGATTATTTTTTTGGCTTGAATTCCCTTTGCAAAGGCAAGAGTGGCAGGGAGGATGGTGCTGCAGGCAGAGCTCCAGAGCTGCTGTGATCAGCTCTGTCCCCTCGAGGGTGACACTGTGGGGACACAGACCCAGCTGTGAACCCGAGCATCAGCTGGGCAAAGCCACCTCTGCTGGGAACAGGGGTGGGGAGTGCCAGGAAAAGCAGGAAAAAAGCTTGAATGTGGTTTAAAATAACCACTATTTATAACATATCACCCTGCCCTGTCCCACTCCGCATTCCCGTGGGACAGGGCTGGGTGCTGCTGCTCTTTGTCCACGGGTCACTGCAGCAGTGAGGGGACAATAAAATAGATTTAAGAGTGAAAAAAGGGAAAAAAAATCAGTTGTGTGGGTGATTAGAGAAGGAAAAAAAAATCAGGCTTTTTTTTTCCTCCCCATTATAGCAAATAAAAAGTGCATGGAAGCTGGGCTAGGGAGGGATTATGGGGTGGAGTGCAGGATTACAGGAACACCCAGGAGAAATTAAAGAGCACTTTGACGCCATCCTCCCCACAGTCACGAGGGTTTGGGGGTTTTTCCTTTCCTGTTTTTTTCCTTCTCTTTCTGGACACAGCAGAAGTGCCCTCTAAAAAAGGGGCTGGTGGGGATGATCCCTTTGGAAGGGCCCCATCCATGGGGGAAAGGTTGTTCAGGTGGGGTAAAACCAGTGTCACAGCCCAGGCAGGGCTGCCTGATGCCACTGAGTATTTTTGGGTCAAAACCCGTTGGTTTTGGGTTGTGGTGACCCTGCCACCACTCCTCTCTCCCTCCAGTGCTGAGGCTGGATGGTGAAATAGGGCTTGGGGGGGTTCAGACATACCTGGAGCCTCAGGGGATTAGGATTTAGCAGATCCTGGCTGCTTTGCCCAGCACTTGGAGCATCCCTCCCTTCCAAATCTTAAGCAGCAGAGAAATTAATTTCCCCTCTGAAGGCTGGGATTGTGGGATGAGGGGGCTCCTGCTCTAAACCCCCTTTTGTCTGAGCTGCAGGGCTTTGATGCTGGGCCCAGGGAAGCTCCCTCCCCATCTGAGGGCAGAGCAGGATTTTGAAATGACTTATCTGGTGCAGAAAGGCAGAAAATCAAGTGTAAATCTCCAGCCACGGAGACATTTCAGTGGGATGGATGGGGGGAGTGAGACTGGGAATTGATGGCTCCTGTCTGTGGTGCTTAAATCAGGGAGTGAAATGCAGAATTAGGGGGGGTTGTTCCATTTCAGGGGTGCTTGGAGGGCCACAAACCCTCTGGGCAGTGGCAGGAAGGTGAGAGGCTGCTTCTCTCAGCCTGGGGGCAGTGCAGGGGGGCAGATCAGACCCCAGTGTCTAATTAGACACCAGCTCTGGAGTGGGTTTTACTAAGCCCACGCTTTGCCAGGGGCTGTAGGGAGCAGGGAGGGCTGAACCTATTTTATTTTTCTCTCTTTTCCCCCTTTTTTAGTAATTTGTCAGGCACACAATAGTGGGGGTGTGAGCAGCAGCATCTCAGCCTTCTCTTGGTGGGAGGAGTGGGCAGCAGAGCATCCTCTGCTCTGGGGGCATTCCCCCCCTCTGCTCTGGGGGATATTTGGCATTTTTGGGGATGAACAGCCCACAGGGCTGTCCCATGGGCATCTCCTTCAGTGAAAGGCTTGATTTTGACATCTCCTGTGTAAGCACCTGGGGCTTGAGCAGCTCTGAGGTTGGACTTGATCACCTTAATGATTCTTTCCCAACTTTAATGCTTCTCCAACCCTTCCTGCTCAGTTCCTTCTCATTCCTCTCTGGGAATGAGCCTGTTCAGCTCAGCAGTGAATTTCCAGCATTCAGGAAATGTGGATGGCTCCTTTTTGCTTTTGTGTGTGCCCAGCATTCCCTGAATACCGGGAATGGTGGGAACATCAAGGGCACCACTGCTCTGTTGAGGGGTTTGGTGGGGAAGCAGGAGATGGAGAGGCTTGGAGGGAGCTGCAGGTGTGGGAGGTGTCTGTGTCCACCTGGCTGGAAAGGAGAGGGATTTGTGCTGCAGGATGTGGTAGGGGAAGGGCTGGAACCCAGTGTTAACAAAACCACCCTGGCTGTGGAAATTGGGATTTCAGGGTGCCTGGGCTGGGATCTCCTCAGACACAGCTGGTTTGGAAGCTGCAGCAAACTCTCCTCAAGCTGTGAAGGGTCACCTCTCCCTCCCAGGGATGTTCTGGGGCTCCACAGTTCTTTAATTACAAAAGGCAAACAAGCTCTGTGATGCTCAGAGCAGAGAGAAGACAGAAATCAGCCTGAAAAATGCTTAAAGCACAACATGGGGAGAGGCTCCTGTTGTTCCCTTTGCTGTGCTCACAGGGGGCACAGCGTGGTGACACTTGTGCTCCTGAGAGCCACAGAGCAGAAGGGACTTTGAAAACCACCTCATTCCAACCCCCTGGAACAGCAGGAACACCTTCCACAGACCCCTGAATTTCCAGCTGGTAAAACACTCTCAGTGTGGCAGGGATGGAAACGGGATTCTTTGGAAATTCAGCAGGAAATTCAGCTGTGGCTTCACTAAATCCCAGCTTCTTCCCCCTCCTCCATCTCTCCGAAGACAGATGGAGGTGCAGCTCTGTCTGAGGAATAATAAAAATGATTTCTGAAGGAAAAACAAAGCCCCCAGCCCTCTCTTGTGCGGGGAGGGAGGAAATAACTGGGTGAATGAGTAGCCACAAATATTAGCATTTCAGAGAGAGCTGCTGGATGGAGATTGTTCACCACCGGGCGGGCTTTAATAGGAGTGATAAGGTTTGCTTTTGTTCTGGGGCTCTCCCTTAATCAGCCTGTCTCCTCCCGATTTTTCTATCGGTGCACTCCATCAGCCCAACTTTCATGTGCTGAGTCCCAGCTGCAGCAAATCTTGTTAGAATGGCCTTGTTCAAACACAGGCACGGGGTTTGTTCCCTAGAGCTGCGCCGAGGCTGGATGGAGTGTGGGGCTGCAGGAATCAAAGCGCTCCTCAGCCTGTGTATTTTATAATTCATTGCATAGCTAAGTTGTGGAATATTATTTTTTTTTGCTCCCCTCTAACAAGCTTGAAGCCTTTTCTTCCATATCTAAAGGAATATTATCCGAGGAGGCATTTGGGTGAGGGGGTTTGGAGACCTGCTGCTTTCCCTGCATCCTTTGTCAGTGCTGGAACAGCTTCCCTGTGCCTTATTAGTATTGCACTCTTGCATTTATTTTATATCACAGCCCTCTACAAATAAAATTTTCAAAAGCTGCTGCTCTTGCCACTGTGAGAGGCAGAAAATAAAAGATGATGGAGTCCTGGGGGGGTTTCAGCAGTCAGGTTAGCAAACACTGAAACAAAGCGTGGCACCGAGCCTTCCCCTAATTGAATCCCTGGTTAATTTGGTCCTTGGTTTAATTTGCCCCCTGCTCCAGATTCTCACTGAAAACAGCCCAAAACGTGCTTATTTATTTTCTGTTTTGATCCTTGCCTGCCAGTGCTCCCGGATAATTCAGTCCCCAAAGGCAGGAGCTGCTGGGGGAAGCTGGAGCTGGGGAATGTGGAGCCCCTGTAATTAGAGGATGACTCCAAAGGGTTATTTAGATCTTGCAGTTGGCTTTGGCTGCTCAGCACAGGCTGGGACCTGCCCCACTGTCTCTCACATCAGCTGCTTCTGTCGGGGCCCCCAGAGACTCCAAACTTGCCCAATTTTTTTCCGCTCTCCTGCTTGTTTGGGCATTTTTAATGGAGCTGAAATTCAAACCCACAGAGAGCAGCAGCCGCCCAGGTGTCTGCAGGATCTGGAGACTTGAGCTGCCTCAGTGCAACTCAGTCCCTAATTAAACCTGCCTGGTGCTGCTAATGGAGATGAGTGCAAGGAGCAGAGGCCTAATGGACTTTCCATCCCAGGCTCCTGGCAAGGTTGTGGAGATTTTCCCTCCCCATCCTGTTAACTTGATCTGGGAAATGGGGAGGGGTGAGGAAGAGGAAGATTGCACTTTGTGATGGCTTTTTTGGCAGGGAGCAGCACCAATTCCAACCATCAGACCCAATGCCAGGGTGAGGGGTGTCACAGACATCTTTTATGAAAAATCCTTTCCTTAGGATTTTTCCTCTTGAGAAGCTGAGAGGCCTCAGAAACAAAATGTAAGCAATGGTTATCTGCTGCTGTGGAGTGCAACAGGTGCATCTGTGGTTGGTCTCATGTGGTTGTTTTTAATTAATGGCCAATCACAGTCAGCTGGCTCTGACAGCCAAGCCACAAACCTTTGTTATCATTCCTTCCTGTTCTGTTCTTAGCTTAGCCAGCCTTCTGATGAAATCCTTTCTTCTATTCTTTTAGTATAGTTTTAATATAATATATATCATAAAATAATAAATCAGCCTTCTGAAACATGAAGGCAGATCCTCATCTCTTCCCTCATCCTCAGACCCTGCAAACACAATCACAGAGGGTGGGGATGATCCAGGAGTGAAGCTGCCCTTGGTGCCATTGCCCACCAGGAATGGTGGCGGCAACTGGGCGCTCAAAATCCTGCTGGAGGAACACACCAGCCCTGAGAGAGCTCAGCAATGCCATTCCTGCTGTGTTCTGTGCTTGGATTCCCCAGATTGCTCCCCAGAAGCACAGCCCAAGTACATCAAGGGCGGCAAACGCTACGGGCGCCGCTCGCTGCCGGAGTTCCCCGAGTCTGTGGAGGACTTTGCCGAGGTGACAGTCATCGAGCCGCTGAGCGAGGAGCCACATCCTGCCCACATTGCTGCCAGCCAGGAGGTCAGCAGGGAGGGGAGGGTGCTGGGGGGCCCTGTCACCTCTGGGCATCACTGCTGCCCTCATCCAAAGGGGGTTGGGATGTGATTGGGGCCTTCCCAGTGAAGGCATTGACTGCTCTCCTGGGATTTGTGTTGGGTGGCCTTGTCACCTCTGGGCATCGCTGCTGCCCTCATCCAAAGGGGTTTGGGATGTGCTTGGGGCCTTCCCAGTGAAGGCATTGGCCTCTCTCCTTGCCTGTCCCTAGGATGGGCGTTGAGGTGGCCTTGTCACCTCTGGGCATGGCTGCTGCCCTCATCCAGAGCGGCTGGGATGCGTTTGGGGCCTTCCCAGTGGAGGCATTGGCTGCTTTCCTAGGATCGGTGTTTGGGGTGGCCTTGTCGCCTCTGGACGTCATGTTGGGGAGGCCTTGTTAGCTCTGGACGTGGCTGCTGCCCTCATCTAAAGGGGTTTGGGATGTCCCAGTGCCTTTCCTGGTCACTCTCCTTGCCTGTCCCCAGAATTGGTGTTGGGATGGCCTTGTCACCTGAGGATGTGGCTGCTGCCCTCATGCAAAGGGGGTTGGGATGTCCCAATGCCTTTTCTGTTCCTAGGATGGGTCTTGGGGTGGCCTTGTCACCTCTGGGCATGGCTGCTACCCTCATCCAGAGGGTGTTGGGATGTGATTGGAGCCTTCCCATTGGAGGCATTGACTGCTCTACTAGGATGGGTGTTGGGGTGGCCTTGTCACCTCTGGGCATGGCTACTGCCCTCATCCAGAGGGGTTTGGGATGTCCCAATGCCTTTACTGGCACTAGGGTGGATGTTAGGGTGGCATTGTCACCTCTGGGCATCACTGGTGCCCTCATCTAAAGGGGTTTGGGATATCCCAATGCCTATGAGCTGCTGCTCATATCCAGTGGGGTTGGGATGTGCTTGGAGCCTTCCCAGTCAAGGCGTTGGCTGTTCTCCTAGGATTGGTGTTGATGTGGCCTTGTCACCTCTGGGCATCGCTGTTGCCCTCGTCCAGAAGGGTTTGGATGTCCCAGTGCCTTTCCTGCCCTCATCCAGAGGGGTTTGGGATGTCCCAGTGCCTTTCCTGGCCTCTCTCCTTGCTGTCCCTAGGATGAGCCATGCCAGGCGTGGCTGCCTTGCTCTCTTGGCCATGGGAAGTGGGAAGGAGCTGGGCCAGTGCTCCTGGCTGGAGTGTGGGCCAGCAATTAAGCAAGGGCTGAGCTGCTGCCCCCGTGGCTAACGAGGTGTGGGCTGGGAGCAGCCTGAGCACGTCCACATCCATCAGTGCAGCTGCCAAAAGCTGCCCGTGGCTCCAGCAGGAGGGATGGGGAGAAGGGGCAGCTGCTTTGGGACAGTGGCATCTAATTGCTCCAAAAAATCCCCATTCCTGGGTTTGTGCTCCAGCTCTGTGGCTCTCTTTGTGCCAGTGAATCTCCTCCTGCTTCCCCAGGCAGGAGAGGCAGAGGAGCAGAGTGGCTGGGGCTGGTGCTGTGTGTCAGAGCCCTGCCCTGGAGCTGGGCTGCTGCCAGCCTGCCCTGCTGTGCCAGGCATTGTTGATTCAGGAGATGTGCTGGGAGTTTTTCCACTGGGAAGCAGAAGCACTGCTGCTTTCTCCCTCCTCTGTCTCGTGGCCTCACTTGGAGCTCTGTTGTAGGGGGGCATCCAGCCCTGTGTGAGAAAGCAGGGAAGGGATTTCCAATTCCCATAGTTTCAGAGTTATTCCTATGCAGCTGAGCTTAAAAATGATTAAAAAACCCCAAACCAGCACCTCAAAGAAAGGTTTTTCCTGCTGCTGGTGGCCTTTGCTCAGCACCACAGGGATGCTCATCCATCTCTGGATTTGGCCACATGGGCTGCCCTGACCTTGGAATTGGTGTCAATCCACCCACACTCCCCAGGGAATGATGTCCTTGCTGGAAGAGGCTGCTCCAACCTCACCCCTTGGTTTTAGCTGTCACAGAGGTGTAAAGGGCAGCCCATTAACAAGGTCAGTTAATTAACCCAGCTGGTGTAACCACGCCGTGGCTGGGGGCTGGATCAGCCTCCTGCTGGCAATGCTTGTTGCACCTTTTGGGCTGCCGGGATGCTTAATTCCTCTGCAAGTGGAGCAAAAATCAGGATAAACTTGTGAAACCCCTGCTTTATCAGCAGATCCTCTTGGTGTGCATGGGAATGACTTGCAGGAAGGTGCTGAGGGGTCCCAGTGGGTGTTGGAGCCTCCTGATTCCCTGGGATCTGGCCAGGGATCAGCCCTTGCCCAGTTCTCTGTGCTGTGTGTGCAAACACAGCCCCAGCCTGAGAACTGGGGCAGGATGGCTTAATTGGTGCTTGCTCCCAGGCAGTGCCAATTAAAAGGGCTCAGGCTGTGTCTGAGAGGTTTCCCTCCCTCCCTCCCTGGTAAACACGAGGGAAAGGCTGGAAGGCAGCTCTGGGAAAGGCTGGAAGGAAGGCAGCTCTGGGAGCAGCTGCCCAGGGAGAGGCTCCACCTCCATCCCTGGGGCTTTTCAGGTGCTGCTGGATCAGGTGATGAGCAGCTGGGTGTGGATTTGGCACTAACCCTGCCGTGGTGGGTTCCTGAGGGTCTCTGTGACCTGCAGGAGCTTGTCCCCATGGATGGTGGCTGTGCTGAGTTCCAATCCTCCCTGGGGAGCATCCATCCCTCCCCTTCCCCAGCTGCTGCTCTGCTCTGGGAGAGGTCCCTCCTACTTGCAGATTTATGGAATTTGAGTGATTTGAGTTGGAAAGGACCCATCTCATTCCAACCTTCTACCCTAGGCAGGGGCAGTTTCCACCAGTCCAGGTTGCTCCAAGCTTTGAGGTTTTACAATCTGCTGGCGCATCCCAGTTCTGTCCCTTCAGTGCCACCTGCTCCCATGCTCTGTTTGTGAATCGTTTCCAGCATGGCCTGGCTCCTTGGGAGGGTTGAAACTCCTGCTTTTGGGTCCTTGAGGTGAGATTCCCAAAATGGGACTGTCCTGGAAAAATAGGATTTTTGATTAACAGCTCAGGATAGTGCCTGCTCCCAGAAAAAGTGCCTGACTGGTGTGACTGGTGCTTGGAGCTGAAGGCACCTGGTAAAGTGAGGGATTTGAGAGCTTTTTTGGGGGTTTCGGTTCAAGCTGCTCAGCCCAGGGAGCTGCAGTGTGGATCTGGAAAGAACAAAATCCATCAGCACTGGAAAAACAGGATTTGTGATTAAGATAGTGCCCACTTCCAGAAAAAGTGCATGACTGGTGTGACTGGTGCTTGGAACTGAAGGTACCTGGCAAAGCCAAGGATTTGAGAGGTTTTTTTGGGGTCTCTGCTCATCCCAGGGACCTGCAGTGTGGATCTGGGAAGAACAAAACCCATCAGCCCTGGAAGCCAGGATTTGTGATTAACAGCTCAGGATAGTGCCCACTCCCAGAAAAAGTGCATTACTGGTGTGACTGGTGCTTTGGAGCTGGAGGTAACTGGCAAAGCAAGATGTGGGGATTTGAGAGCTTTTTTTGGGGGTCTCTACTCAGGCTGCTCAGCCCAGGGAGCTGCAGTGTAGATCTGGGATTTGGGAAAAGCAAAATCCATCAGTACTGGAAAGCCAGGATTTGTGATTAACAGCTCAGGATAGTGCCTGCTCCCAGAAAAAGTGCATTGCTGGTGCTTGGAGCTGAGGACACCTGGCAAAGCGAGGTTTGGGGATTTAAGATCTTTTTTGAGGGTCTCTGCTCATCCCAGGGAGCTGCAGTGTGAATCTGGGAAGAACAAACCCCATCAGCACTGGAAACACAGGATTTGTGATTAAGATAATGCCTGCTCCCAGAAAAAGTGCATTGCTGGTGCTTGGAGCTGAGGGCACCTGGCAAAGCGAGGTTTGGGGATTTAAGATCTTTTTTGGGGGTCTCTGCTCATCCCAGGGAGCTGCAGTGTGGATGTGGGAAGAACAAACCCCATCAGCGGCACCGGGGCCGGGGCTCACCTCGCGGCATGTGCTGCTGATCGCCATGTTAATTAGCACTATATTCCGCGGGAGAACAAAGGTCTGGCCGGCTGGAGCAGATGGCAGGGGGGACACAGAGGTGGCTGCTGCCTCATTGTGGGCAGGGCCCACGGCCCAGGCCGCAGATGCACTCGGAGCCATCTGCTCCCCGCACGCGCCTCCCCGGGGACCAGGCTTTGCTGGCACCCCCTGCTCTGACCCGGGCCAGCTGGGGCCCTGCTGGGGCTGGGGGACAATGGCAGCCCGACATGGGCACGTCCCACCCAGCCCGGCCCCTCTTTGTGCCCTCCCGGCGGTGGCTGACCCCGAGCACACAAAGGGACAGAGGGAGGGAGGGGAGGTCACACGAGCGCCCCAGCCCAAAAACCCCCCTGGCTTTGTTCAGCCCCTTGGGGTTGGTGGTGGTGATGGAGTTATTCTGGTTTTGTAGAATGCCAGGATGGTTTGGGTTGGAAGGGGAGTTTAAATCCCATCCCATCCCACCCCTGCCATGGCAGGGACACCTTCCACCATCCCAGGCTGCTCCAAGCCCTGTCCAGCCTGGCCTTGGACACTTGCAGCAGCTGGTGTGGTTTTGCTGAAAGTGCTTGAAGTGAGGGGCTCTGGTGCTCAGTTAATCTGATTCTATATAAAGTGTGCGTGCTGCTTATGCACAAAGGCTGGCACACAGAGGATCTGCCTCCTGAGCATCACTGCCAGCTTCCCCTCAGTGTCCCAGCTGTCCCCAAGGAGGAGGAGGATGGGTGGCTGCAGGGTGATTTCTCTGGCACCTAAGCTGACACTCTCACTGTGCAAAGTTTTCTGCATTTTCAGATGGCAATTTCATAGAATCCCAAAATGGTTAAAGCCCATCCAGTCCCACCCCCTGCCATGGCAGGGACACTTTCCACTGTCCCAGGCTGCTCCAAGCCCCATCCAGCCTTTCCTTGGATATTTCCAGGGATCCAGGGGCAGCCACAGCTGCTCTGTGCAATCTGTACCAGATTCTGTTCTGCCATTCTCTTTGTGCAGAATTCCAGGGCTGGGATTTAATGGCACCTGTTGCCTCAGCTCCTGCATTTTGTCCCTCGTGGCAGGGAAGGGCCCTTGCCTGGTCCTGCAGCTGAAACAGGAACAGCAGCAGAGCTAAAAAAAGTCCAGGGCCTTAATTCAGTTTCCATGGCAACGTTGTAGATTAATGGCTTTTAGCTGTAATCTGAATGAGAGCTATTGAACTTTTCTGTGGTGATTTAGAGCCTCTTTATGTCCTGGGTGACTTTGACTCCAAATCCATCAGTCACGTGCGGGCAGAAGGATCCACTTGTCCCACTGCAGGAGCAACATCTGCCACTGCCAGAGCAAAGTTCATGTGGTGGGAGTAAATATAAATACTCTGGGCTGCTGCAGGGGTGCCAGGGATGAGACAACGTGTAGTACATGAGGAAATCACCTTCAATGCTGTGCTTTTGCTCCTGGTGCTGCCTGGGCTTGTGGGATGTTGCCAGAGGGAGCTGGATGGTTTAAGACCACCAGAGAGTGGTTTTATTTTCCCTCTGTTAAGCTCTTGTTGCCAGCACAGCTCTCTCCTGATAGAGCTGCACTCAGTGCAGGAGGTTTGAATTTGGCTTGGCTGAGTGTGCACAGAATAAAGTGCTGGAGGAAAGGATAACTCAGCTCTATGATCATCCCCATGCCCTCAACCATCAATCCTCAAAGGAAAGCAGCATGGTTTGCCCTCTCCCTTTCCAGCAACCTGCCCGGCCCTGCTCTGTCCCCTCTGCTGGGTCACTGTGGGGCTTTGGGCACCTCTGGGCTCTCCCACCATCACAGAGCTGCAGGTGCCACAGCAGGGCAGGATCCAAGAGCCCTGGATGCCCAGCCCAGCCTGCAGGGAGGTGAAAGCCTGGCAGCCCTGCTGGAGCCCTGCAGCTCCTTGGCTGCTGATCCCAGAGTCCCATTCATTCAGGGCATGCCTTGCAATCAATCAATCAATCAATAACTCAGGAGCCTTTTTTGTTTTCTCCCCAGCACTGGAAGACGCGAGGCAGCGAGGAGTACGAGGCCGAGGGTAAGAGCAGAGAGCAGCTCCTGGCTCTGCCTGTTCTCATTGTTTGTTCTCATTTCAGCTTTGAGGAGGGGTCAGAGGGGCTCTGGGTGTGGGGAGCACCCAGCCTGGCTGCTGCAGAGCTCGGGGAGGTGCAGCTGGGGCATCCCCCAAGCTGGGGATGAATGTTAAGGCAGGGCACATCTTGTGCTGTACCCCCCTGCCCTCTCCATCCCGCTGTGGGTGTTCCTGGTCCCCCTGACCCCTGTCCTGCTCCCCATCCTGCCCCAGGGGGCTCTGGCTGTAGTGGAGCCTGGTGGGCACTAGATGTCAGCAGGGACCAGTCATTAAAAGTTCCTTAATTGTCACAGAATTGTAAATTCCTGGAGTGGTTTGGGAGGGAGCTTAAAACCCACCTAGTCCCACCCCTGCCATGGCAGGGACACCTTCCACTGTCCCAGGGTGCTCCAAGCCCTGTCCAACCTGGCCTGGGACACTTCCAGGGATGGGAAATTTCTCTGGGCAACCTGTGCCTGTGCTCTACCATCTCCATCAAAGTGTTCTACCATCTTCATCAAAAACGTGTTCTACCATCTTCATCAGGAGGGTGGCAGTAAGGACATGGAGCTGTTGGAGGCACAGAGGGATGCATCTACTTCCTTTTGATTACATCGGCACCTCTTCCACATTTCAGCTGCTCTCTAACCCCTTCCCCATCCAAAGAAACCCAATTTTTTTCTCCTGAAGCTCCTTTTCCACCCCCATGAGGTGGCCTGGCAGCTCCCTCGATCCCGTAACAGCCCAGGGTAGGGAGGGGGGTGCCTTTCCCATCCATGCCAGCAGCTGAGGAAGCTCTGCTGCCCTTCCCTGGCCACATTGGCCGTCAGACTCATCCACATTCCCAAAGATCCTCCTGGCCACAGCCCCATCTGTGGGAAGGCTCCCAGTGCCTGGCCAGGCTCTGGGAGGGATGAAAAGCTCTGTGGATGTGGCACTTGGGGACGTGGTGGCCTTGGCTGTGCTGAGGAACTGTTGGACTCCATGGCCTTGGAGGTTTTTCCAGCCCCAGCAATTCCGTGGTTCTGTGGAGGCTCCTTCCCCTGGTGGCACAAGTGAGTGAAAGCTGAGCAGAGTCTGGCACTGCTGGGCCCACAATCCACATCCTAACCCCCAGAGTGGGCTCTGAACCCAGACAAGTGATCCCTTGTGGTCTGCAGGGGCAGGAGGAGCTGTGCCCACTGCAGCAGCAGCAGGTTCCCTGTGGGGTGCAGACCCCAGATGTTCTGCTCCTCACTGCAGATCCATCTCCTCCCCCATTCCAGGGCAGCTGCGCTTCTGGAACCCAGACGACCTCAACGCCTCCCCTGGGGCCTCCCCGAGCCCAGACTGGATCGAGGAGAAGCTCCAGGAGGTCTGTGAGCACCTGGGCATCACCAGGGATGGGCACCTGAACAGGAAGAAGCTGGTGTCCATCTGTGAGCAGCACGGGCTGCAGGCGGCGGCCGGCGAGGTGAGCGACCCATGCCATCCCAGCACAGCCTGGCCTTTGGTGTGAGCCCCAAAATCCCTCCTGGCATCCTCCACAAGCACAGCTGGCTGCTTGGGAAGGGGTTTCCAGCTCCAGCTGCTGGTTCTCAGGGAGGATTTTGGTCCCAAACCATCAGGAGAAGGCAGCTGCCAGGCTGAGCCGTGGCGTGCGTGCTCCTCACGCAGTCACAGGGGGATCTGGGATTTAACAAGCACGGCTTGGATTCCAAACGTGTCTCCTTAATCCTAGGAATTTTCTAGCTAGACGGCAAATATGGGTTAAATATTCATAGGTGGTTGTTTTTGACTTTGGGAAGGCCTGTGGGTGTTTCTGTCCTGCAGCACGAGCCCACGAGAAAATGAAATTTTTAACAAGAAATGTCTGTTGTCAACTTAGGATTTAGTTTTATTAAAAAACTCAGATTCTTTGCATCTTAAGATAACATGGCTTGTATTAATTTCCTCCACAAAACATGTTCCTGAGCAGGTATTCCTTTGCTGCATCCACAATGAAGTGTTTTCAGGGTATTAAAGCAGAGAATGGAAAAGATAAACTGTAGACAAAGAAATAGTGAGGGGCTAATCTGAACATCTCCAGTCCTACTTTTGAGAAGGCAGCATGCCCTGAAGCATCAAACAGATTTATGATAACCTTGCAGTGTCTTAGGGTTTTTTTTTTTGGCCTGGTCACTTCCAGCTGCTCAGGGTTTGGCATCTCAGTACCTCAAGCTGAATTCCTGAGGTCACACTGGCTCAGGAGCAGAAGGAAATGAGGTTGTTTTTTCTTGCTGCCTCATTAAACAGCAGCTCCAAGATGACCAGGAGCTTTTTCTCATGGTGTATGTGTGCCTGCAATTTTCCACATGGAGAATATGGAAATGAGTGTTAGGCTGATGTAGCAGATAATTCTGGCTTTGCTCTTTTTGGAGCCTTGGGAATAGAATGTTTGCCACATTTTTTTGGCCTTTTACATGATTTCTGTCTCCTTGCAGGTGCTTGAGGAGGTGCTCCATAACCTGGAGCAAGATGGGACCATGAGCATAGAGGATTTCTTTTATGGCCTGTTCAGAAATGGGAAATCTCTCACCCCCTCAGCATCCACTCCGTACCGGCAGCTGAAACGCCACCTCTCCATGCAGGTGAGAAAGTGAGAGGAGAATCCTGGGGTAAAATGAGCAGGAGGACTCCTGAACAGTTCCCACCCGGCCTGTCTCCTCTTCCTTGGTGTTTGTCCCTGCAGGGGCAGCTGTGAGGCAGGAGCTGGTGGCAGTGAGCTGCTGCCTGCCCTGCTCCAAAGGCAGATTTCAAATTCTTGCTCAGAAAAAACTCTTTTGGGGAGATAAAACACAGAACACCCTCATGGGAAAGGGGACATGGCTCCCCTTTGAAGTTTTAAGGCTTGGAGAGGGCTCTGGCAACCTGTGGAGCGCAGTGGTGGAGCCTTGTAGAGTTCCAGGGTGGTTTGTGTTGGAAGGAGCCTTAAGGCTCATTCCAACCCCTTCCACTGTCCCAGGGTGCTCCAAAGTCCATCCAGCCTGGCCTGGAGCACCTCCAGGATGGGACATCCAGTATAAACTGGGTGCAGGGGGAAGCACTGCCTGGGACAGGCTGGGGACATGCAGCTCCCACATCTCTACTCCCATTTTTGCATTTTTCCTGAGAGTTTGAAGTCTGCTCCCTGTCTTTGCCTGGAGGCTGAGGGTTCTACCCAAACCTCTCTACAAGTGCTCCCTGCAGCTGTTTTAGGGAAAGTGGCATTCCAAACCCAAAATGAACAGTGGCAAACCCTTCTGGAGCAGTGAGGGCAGCTCTGGAACACTGCTCCTCCTGGGATTTAATTTAAATCCCGAGTGCCTGCTTGAGGTCAGCAGCGACGCTCCCGCCGGGTTTTGCTTGGCAGTGAGGAAAAACAGAGCTTAATCCTTAATCTCTGGAGCAGTGCTAGGGAAATTCCATTGGTAAAGCCCTGTGGGCACTGCCTTTGCCCTGTCACATCCTCATCCTCTCTGCAGTCCTTCGATGAGAGCGGCCGGCGCACGACCACCCCCTCGGCCATGCCCAGCACCATCGGCTTCTCCCTCTTCTCCAGCCTGGATGATGGCATGGGCTATGGCTGTGTGGAGGAGGTCCTGGACTGCTGGCACCAGGAGGGCATCGAGAACAGCCAGGAGATCCTGAAGGTAACCCCCAGCTGCATCTCACCCCTGGTTTTATGTGTATTTTTTAATCCGTGTGTTGGATGCCGAGTTATTTTTTTCCTTTCCAAAGTCTCTGGTTTTTTCCCCTTTTAAAACTTCCCACGGAGAAGTTGTGCTTTTTCCATCCCTGGAAGTGTTCAAGGCCAAGTTGGACAGGGCTTGGAGCAGCCTGGAATAGTGGAAGGTGTCCCTGCCCATGGCAAGGGGTGCAACTGGATGATCTTTAAGATCTGTTCCAACCCAAACCATTCTATGATCCTATAAAAATTCCCAGTGCTAGTAACGAGAGTTCTGGGAAGTTCCCAATCATTTCCTTTATGGTGCATCCCATTTTATCATTTTTAATTATAAAAATAGTGGAAGATGTCCCTGCCCGTGGCAGGGGACGGAACTGGATGATCTTTAGGATCTATTCCAACCCAAACCATTCTATGATCCTATAAAAATTCCCAGTGCTAGTAATAAGAGGTCTGGGAAATTTCCAATCATTTCCTTGATGGTGCATCCCATTTTATCATTTTTAATGCTAAAAATACACTGTGATTTCCAGCATAGCTTGAAGAGGTCACCTGCATTTGTTAGGAAGCAATTTAATTCCTTTTCCTCACTGAATAGCTGCACCTGCAAACCTCTGAGCACTGGGGTGACCTGAAATATTGCTTGTGCTGAGGTGGAGGACAGCACTTGAAACCCTGCCCAGTCCTCAGTGTTCCATTAGGGAGAATAAAAAGGTGATGGGGATGAAATCAGATACCTGAATAAATCCATCTTTGTCCATCTATTAGAAGCTGTGGGTGGCAGAAGATCATTTCATGTGACCATCACTGGATTCCAGCAGTGATGAGGGTGATTCTCCTGGCTTTTAAATATCCATGTGGGTGGAGAACAGCCAGGCTGGAATAACCCCTGCCATGGCTCAGGATTTAAAACCCCCTCATCACCTTGCACTGGTTGAGAAGGTGGGTCCACCTTGCCCGGGTCTGGGTGTCCACCTTGTCCACACCTGGGTGTCCACCTTCACTTTGTTGCTTTCCCCTGTAAAATTGCTTTGTGCTGGTGTCACTGGGGTGGTTTCTCCAGTGTCTGCAGTGTTTCAGCCCCACCACAAGTGCCTTCTTTGTGCTCCTGCAGGGTTTAGGTTGGAAAAGTCCAGCTGTCAGCTCAGCCCTTGTTCAACACTGAACCTCATCCCCAAGTCCCACATCCACATGGGTTTTGAACACTTCCAAGGAAAGAAAAGGCCTTTCCTCAAGGCTTGGAGCAGCCTGGCATGGTGGAAGGTGTCCCTGCCCATGGCAGGGGACTGGATGACCTTTAATGTCCCTTCCAGCCAAACCATTCTGGGGTTTTACAAAATCCCAAGCAGCTGCTGATGATAACTTGCTTTCTGAGAGGTGGGATCCTCAGCATCAAACTCCCCTGCAGGGCTGCCTCTGTGTTGCCTCTGTTGCAAGAACTGGTTTTGATTGCCACGAGCATGCCCAGCCACCTCCTCACAGCAGCAGAGTCCAGTCTCCTCAGATCCTGCAGGGAATTAGTGCAATTCATCAGTCCTGGGCTGAATTTCCTATTACTTTGCAGCACAACCAGGACATTTCCCATCTCCACAGCTGGCAGCAGCTCTGTTGGAGGGAGGTGGCAGAGATGTCTGGTTTATTGCCCTCAGGGCGTTTGTGACAGATTAATCAGCCAGCAAAGATCTCTTGGAGCCTGCTGGTTCTGTGCTGTCGATCCCTGCAGAAATGTCCCCAGCTCCTGCAGGAAGCAGGAGTGGAAGCTCCTCATTCCACCCCGAGGATTTGTTGTTTCCACAGGCTCTGGACTTCAGCTTGGATGGGAAGGTGAACCTGACGGAGCTGACGCTGGCGCTGGAGAACGAGCTCCTGATCACCAAGAATGGGGTGCACCAGGCAGCCCTGGCCAGCTTCAAAACCGAGATCAGGCACTTGCTGTGAGTCCCAGGGAGGGCTGCAGGTGCTGCTCCCTGCTCTGCTGGCCAGGCAGGAGCTGAGGGAGCAGCTGAGGGGTGCTGGTGCTCCCGGGGGCTCTGGGGTGGCACTGGAAGGCTCAGTTCTCTGAGGAGTGCTCAAAAACTTCCACCTGTCCTGTTTTGTCTGGGAAAAATACTGAAACCTCCAAGGAGTGCAAAAAAATGTGGTTTAAAATGAAGAATGGAAGCAGCAGGCTGTTTTCAGTCTGGGAGTGGTCACTGCTGTCCACATTGGTCATTGATGGCCAAGGAATGCACAGCTCAGGGCAGAGGCTGGTGGAGTTTATCAGTGCCTTTGATCCAAACTGATCTGGGGCTTTGCAGAGGTTCTGCCATGTGGTAGATGTGCAGGTGAGGTACAAAATCTGTACCACTGTAAATCAATGTTTTCCCTTTGAAAGCCAGCACAGTTTGACTTTGTGCTGGACTCACTGTGCAGGTTTCTCTATTGAAAAAGAAGGCTCCAGGAGAGCTCAGAGCCCCTGGCAGGGCCTGAAGGGGCTCCAGGAGAGCTGGAGAGGGGCTGGGGACAAGGGATGGAGGGACAGGAGCCAGGGAATGGCTCCCAGTGCCAGAGGGCAGGGGTGGATGGGAGATTGGGAATTGGGAATTCCTGGCTGTGAGGGTGGGCAGGCCCTGGCACAGGGTGCCCAGAGCAGCTGTGGCTGCCCCTGGATCCCTGGCAGTGCCCAGGGCCAGGTTGAACAGGGCTTGGAGCAGCCTGGGACAGTGGGAGATGTCCCTGCCATGGCAGGGAGTGGAATGAGAGGGTCTTGAAGGTCCCTTCCATCCCAAACCACTTCAGGATTTGAACTGGGGACTAGACCACAGCTGAGGGTCTCAGGATCTGTGGGGACACCAAGACCTGTTTTGGGTACAGGTTCAAATCCAGTGACTAAATGCAGTTCATGAGACCCTTGGAGACCTTTCCAAGCGTTTTGTCTTCTGTTTCAAATCCACTTTTTTGTGGGGAGCAGTGAGGGCTGACCTAATGCAGGCTGGCTGTGCTCTGCTCTGCCCAGGGAGAGGTTTGACCAGGTGGCCAGGGAGAAGGAGAAGCTGCGCTCGGACCTGGAGAAGGCAGAGAAGCTGAAATCCCTGATGGCCTCAGAGGTGGACGATCACCACGCGGCCATCGAGCGCCGTAACGAGTACAACCTCAGGTGGGGCATCTGCATCATCCATCATCCCTCCCTCCATCCCTCCATCTCTCCATCTCTCCTCCTGGCCAGGGGCTTGCTGACCACCCAGCTTCACCCCCAGCAGTATTTGTCACCCTCTTCCTTCTGGGGGTTCCAGTTGTGGGTTTCTCTGGGTCTGGATTGAAGGCACTTGAGACAGTTCATGTTCAGACTCAGGTGTTTATTAATTATCACTAAACAGTCTCACTACTGTGAGTTCAGCAGCAAGGCACAAAATGGCCAACAGTCTCTTATTCCAAGGTCTTTTAAGACTAAACTATCCAATTAAGAACGGACACCTGGATTATTTTCCCTTTTAACCCAATAACTGACCCCACAGAGCCCACAATGGGGACTTTTCTGCCCAATTACGAAATGCCACCCAAACCCATGGAGAAGAAGCATGAAGAAGAAACCCAGCATGACACCCTGTGCCCTCCATCTTGCTTCCATCCACAACATGCTAAAAACCCCAAACCCTAAATTTCTCACCCACTGATACACCTACACTGCTCTCTATAATCTATTTCACACTTTTGTGGATTCCAGTCTATCTTGAAGTCTGGGAAACTTTCTCCGTGAATGAGGGCCACAGTCAGTGCTCCCCTGGGGCTCAGGGCAGACACAGAAATATTCCCTGGGTTTCCACACCTGCTCTAACAGGCTGCTGTCCCCCTGGTAGGAAGCTGGATGAGGAGTACAAGGAGAGAATCTCTGCCCTGAAGAACGAGCTGCGCAGGGAGCGGGAGCAGATCCTGCAGCAGGCCAACAAGCAGAGGCTGGAGCTGGAGCAGGAGATTGAGAAGCTGAAAACGGAGGAGAATTACACCCGGGACCGCCTGGGCCTGGCCCTGAAGGTAACAGGGCTGAACACAGCCAGGATTTCCCCCAAATCAGGAATTCCCTGGCAGGGGGAGTGACTTCTGAAAGGATGAGTTCTGGGCTATGTTTAGCTGGCCAAAAGTCATTTAAGCAGCAAGGTTGAGGCATGTCCATGAGAATTGGTGTTTGGGGCACCTCAGTGGGTTGTTCCATGGATTCCCAACCTCCAGAGATCTCAAATCTCTGCTGCCCTCGCGTGCAGAGTGTGTGTGTGCACAGCTCTCAGATGAGCTGATCAAGCCAGGAGATAAAACATCTTGATCAAGTTTAAAATCCTCTTTTAAAAGAACCAAACCACCCAAAGCAAACTTGCTGTTAAGCCTTTTGATAATTTATCAAAAGTCCACTTGCTGTGGAAGGAGTGGGTTGTGTGTGGATAATAATAATAATTAATAATTCCTGTCATCACCTGAAGCTTGGAATAGTGTCATGCTGGGTTGGGAGTGACCCTTGTTTTGCTGATTTTTCCTCCTCCAAGTGCTGATCTGTTGTGGGGTTTTTGTTTGCTGCAGGAAAACAGCCGCCTGGAAAACGAGCTCTTGGAAACAGGAGAAAAACTGGCTGAGTGTGAAAGTCTGGCAAGCAAGCTGCAGAGGAACTTGGAAAATGTCCTGGCTGAGAAGGTAAATCCCCCTAATTCTGAAACCTGGTGGGGTTTCAGAATTAAATAATTTTTAAGTTGTTACATTCCAGCTGCCAGTTTAGTGATAGCCAGAGGCTTTGGGGGTCTCTATAGCCTGCCTTGGTGACATGGGCTGCCTTCCAGCTAAGGAAAATACAGATATTCCACCTTAGCAGTAATTTTATTCTAATTAAACCATGGAGCCTTAAAATGAAGCCATCATCTTGCAGATCTGCAGGGATTTTTATTTTTTTCCCCAGCACAGAGTTTTGGATGGGCCAAACTTGCAGCTCCTTTCCAGGAGCGAGGTTTTCCATGGCATCACTGCTGGAATTAAGTGAAAATCGAGATGATCAGCTGTTCATGGCTGTGTTACATTAAACTTTCAGAATATCAGTTTCTCCGAAGATGTTTAAATTTGTTCAGCCATAGCCTAAGGTTCATGCATTGGGATTTCCAGCCTTCTTTAAAGCTTGGGATTATTTACCACACTGAGATGTGAATATGCTAAGGTAGAAAGCTGTGATCTGGAATCAGAATGAGCATGAGAGCTGTGCTAGGTGGCAGACAGGTTTTTTGGGGAAGTTACTCATTCCCTGCTAGGAGGAAAGCAGAGTTTCTTTATTTAAAATAAAAATCCAGAGCGGAGAGAGGGAGTGCAGGCTGCAGGGCCGCTTGGGATGGCTCCATGCTGTCCTGAGCAGGGCTGCAGGGCGGGTGGGTGGGTGGATAACTGGCTATTCCACTCCTGTGTTGCAGTTTGGTGACCTGGATCCCACCAGTGCAGAGTTTTTCCTGCAGGAGGAGAGGCTGGCCCAGATGAGGAGCGAGTACGAGCAGCAGTGCAGGGTGAGTGCAGCTGACACCCGGCTCCTGTGTCCACCAGAACCATTTAGGCTGGAAAATCCCCCTCAGGTGGAGCCCAAGCATTCCCCAGCACTGCCAAGCCGTGCCCTAAGCATGTCCCCAAGTGCCACATCCTCACTGTGAGCAGCAGCACGAGGCAGGTTTGGAATCTCTTCCCCCTGGCTGAGCTGAGGGGGTGAGGTGCCCCCAGGGTCCATGGGGCCCTGTGAATTCAGAGTTGCAGGAACTTAGAGGAGAAATAAAACACATCCACATTTTGCTGGTTTTCAGACCAGAAATATTATTTTAAAATAAACCTGAGAACAGAAAGTTTGCTTTCTCTTCCATCTTGTGTAGTTGAAAGAGTTTAAGTTGAGCCTGCAGGTTTTCTATTTACACATCTACTTTCTGCTTTCTGCAGAGGAACGAGCTCATCTGTTGTCCAGAGGAGCTGTGGCTGCCCCTGGATCCCTGGAAGTGTCCAAGGCTGGGTTGGATGGAGCTTGGAGCAGCCTGGGACAGTGGAAGGTGTCCCTGCCCATGGAAAGGGGGTGGAATGGGATGAGCTTTGGAATTCCTTCCAACCCAAACCATTCTGGGATTCTGTGATCTGTTCTGCAGGATTATTTCCATTCAATAAGGAATTCCATTCAATATTCCATCCAATATTTCCATTCAAGGGCTGCCTTTGCTGTTGGATTGGAAACAGCACAGCAGCTCTCTCAGGAAGCTGCAGTTTAAAAGCAAAAATTGTCTGGAAATAGGAGTTGAATCGATTCTTCTCAATATGCAGCTGATTTTTCTCTTTTTGAGGATGGCAGATATAAATCAGTAGTCAAGGTTCACTCCCTGGGCCTTTCAGAGCTGCAGGGTTGTGTGTTTGCACATTCAGGGAGCTGTTTTCCTCAATAGCTGCTGTTCCTGGAGTGGAGTGCACAGCCCTTGGCACAAACCCTGGGGATGTTCCCCTGGCAGGCAGGAGCAAGGACCAGATGGTAAATTCAGTAATGATGGGATCTCCTTCCTAATTTGATCTTCTGCTTCTGATTTGATTTTTTTCAAGTAGATGGTGTTTGAGGAGGCATTTCCCAGCTGTTTGGAAATGTTGCTAAAGCTGCTTTTCAATAAAAGGTCACAGGAAGAAGGAATAAAGGGAAAGCTCCTGCAGCTCCTGTTACACCTTCACCTTTGAGAGTTTGGGATTGTGGAATCATCAGAGAATCCCAGAATGGTTTGGACTGGAAAGGACCTTAAAAACCATCTTGTTCAATGGGCAGGGACACCTTCCACTGTCCCAGGCTGCTCCAAGCCCTGTCCAGCCTGGCCTTGGACATTCCAGGGATCCAGGGGCAGCCACAGCTGCTCTGGGAATTCTATTCCAGGGCCTGCCCACCCTCAGAGTTAGGAATTCCCAATTCCCAATCTCCCACCCATCCCTGCCCTCTGGCAGCGGGAAGCCATTCCCCCTTTTTTGGCTGTGGCTCTGTGTTTATTGACAGTTCTTTCTCTGCTGTAATTCCCACCTGTGACGGTGTTCACAGGGGTCTCAGGATGAGGGGAGAGATGAGGATCTGACTCCGTGTTTCAGAGGGCTGATTTATTATTTTATGATATATATTACATTAAAACTATATTAAAAGAATAGAAGAAAGGATTTCATCAGAAGGTTAGCTAAGAATAGAAAAAGAATGAATGATAATAAAAGGTTTGTGGCTCGGGCTCTGTGTCTAAGCTGGCTGGGCTGTGATTGGCCATTAATTAGAAACAACCCCATAAGACCAATCCCAGATGCAGCTGTTGCATTCCACAGCAGCAGATAATCAATGTTTACAATTTGTTCCTGAGGCCTCTTGGCTTCTCAGAAGGAAAAATCCTAAGGAAAGGATTTTTCATAGAAGATGTCTGTGACACCCACCCAAATGGACTGGGTGGATGCTCAGCAGCCTTGGCTCCTTTTCTCTCAGCTGTTTTTGTTTTCCTCCCTGTCAGGAGCTGCAGGACCAGATTGATGAGCTGCACTCAGAGCTGCAGGAGTTCCGTGCCCAGGGCAGAGTGCTCAGGCCTGCCCTGAGGAATTCCCTGTCAGAGGAGTTTGACATTGACATGAAGAGCCATGGCACCAGTGGGATTGAGCCTGACCAAGGTAAAATATCCCTCCTGTAGGACTGAGATCTGGGCTGCAGGTGTTTATAACATCCTGGAGGTCATTCTGTGAAACCTTCCCAGTGAGAATTTATCCCCACCTCTAATTTGGTGTTTAATGTTAATCTGGACTGTGACTGCTGAACCAAATTTAAAGCTGAAATTGAAGTTTGCAGTTCCCTGCTTGTGTTTGTGATGGGAGTTTGAGAGCTGCCAAACAAATTTGAATTGAGGAAGTAATTCTGTTGAGAATTATATATATTTATATATTGTATAATTAATGTTTTTATAGTTATATAAATTATTACTTGATTACTTTTTCTGAAGGACTCGGTTCAGAAGACTGCAACCCATTAAATATGAGCATAGAGGCAGAAATGGCCATTGAGCAGATGAAGGAGCAGCACCACAGGGATCTGCATCACCTCAAACAGGAGCTTGAAGACACAGTAAGTGCTGGAATGAGATGGTCTTGAAGGTCCCTTCCCACCCAAACCAATTTGGGATTCTATGATGCCAGGAAGAAATAAAACTGAGCACTTATTCTTTCCAGGGAAATTAATATGAGATGCTGAAGTGTAAATCAAAATATTCAGTAGAGTGAATATACAAAACTAGATGGAAATATTGATGAGGACATGCCTGTAGGATATCCTGTGGAAAATGAACAAACCCATCCCATTTTCCCTCCTGCAGGTGAGCCATTATGAAAAGCAGCTGGATGAGACAAAAGCCCACTGGGAAAAGGAGCAAGAGGATCTGAGGCAGAAGTGTGCTGAGGAGATGAACGCCATGGAACAGCAGATCACTGGCTTCAAAACTCAAATAGCAGAGCTGCAGGGAGAGGCAGCAGCGCTCAGAGAGCAGCAGGAGAAGCTCAGCCGCAAACACAGCGAGGAGAAAAACAAATTACAGCTGCGTTTTGACGAGGAGAAAGCCAACCTGCAGGAGCTGCTGAGGCAGGAGCAGGAAGCTGAGGTCAGGGCCAGAGTGGAGCAGCTGAGTGAGGGGTTCAGGCAGGAGCGGGAGGAGCTGACCCAGAAGAGCGCCTGGGTGCAGGAGGAGATGAGAGCGGCGGTGCAGAGCCTGCAGCAGGAGAAGGGGCGGCTGGAGCAGGGCTTCCAGGAGCAGCTGAGGAGGCTGGCAGAGCTGCACGCCCTGGAGAAGGAGGAGCTCCAGCAGGAGCTGCTGAGGAAGCACCAGCAGGAGCTGGAGGAGGAAAGGTGAGTGTCACCCCTGGTGGTGACAGGGCTGCAGTTTGGTGAACCCAGAAACACCTCCCCGATGGGCAATCCCAGGTGTCCTGCTCTGTTCCACACCCCTGGGCTGCTCTCCAGGGGTTTTTCCCTCTTCTGACCTTTCCAAGCAGATCTTTAGGTTCATTTTTAGCTCGCCCAGAGGCAGCAGTTGTGTTAAAGCATAACCAGGAGTGATTAACTGGAGCTCTGCTCAGGATCCCTGTGCTCCACAAATCCCTTTAAAACTCAATAAGCTCTGGGTTTTCAGGGTTCTTTGCTGAAGAAGGAAAGGGGTGGCAGGGATGTGCTTTTAGCCAGCATGGAGTGTCAAAAGAAACTGAAGCCACCTTGGGGTAAGGGGAGTGAGAGCATTTCCCCCCCAAAATTTCTGAGCACAGGAACTGAAGGGCACATGAAACTTTTTCTGAGCACATTTCATGAGTTATTGCACTTTTCCAAGGCAGTTTTTCCTTTTGAAGTTCCACCAAATTGCCTCGAATTTAACTTGCAGCTCCCAGAAACACCCATCCAATAGTCAGTGGATTAAAAAAAAAAAAAAAAAACCAAAGTAAATTTCCAACTTGTTTTATTCAGCCTAAAAAGCCAGTTTAATCTCTGAGGTAGCTTAGTAATATCTTATGTTAACCATGTCTAGGAAAAAAATGGCAAGTGACTATAACAGAAGAGCATCTCATGCACAAACTCAGTTTTCTGTGGACACACAAACCCTTGTGAATAAATATGAAGAGACCCTGCAGAGCCTGGAGGGACGTTACCAGAGAGAGCTGCGGGAGCTGGCTGAGCAGCAGAGAGAGGAGCAATCCCAGTGGGAGTTTGAGAGGGATGAGATTGCTCAGGAGGCTGCTGAGGCCCACGAGCAGCTGAAGGAAAGCTTGGCAAGTGAGAAGGCTGTTTGTTGTGCCCTGAGCCAGGAGAAGGATCTCCTGGAGAAACATTTCAAGGAGGAAGTGAACAAGCTGGTGTGTGAGAGGGAGCAGCTGGAGAAGGAGCTGAGAGAGCTGAGGAATGCTGCCCAGGAGCAGGAGGAAAAGATGATGGAGAAGATTAACCAACTCCAAAATGACCACGAGAAAGAGCTAAAGGAGAAAGAGGAACAAATATCCACAGTGGAGCAAAATGGGAAACTGGTTAGGGAGAAGCTGGAGAGGCTGGACAGTGAGTACAAGCGAGAGAAAGAAGAGCTCAATTCCAAACTCCTTGCTCTGGAGAGTTTAAACAGAGACATTTGTGAGAGAGCAGAGACAGAGAAGGCTGAGATGGGTTTGGAAGTCTCAGACCTCCGAGGGAAGATCCAGAAATTGCAGTGGGAGACACGGAGCTTCGCTGCCCTGCAGAGCCATTACAGGGCCCTGGAGAGTGAGTATGCAAAAGCCAGGAGCCAGCTCGCTGCATTTCCTGCTGCAGCTCCCCTGGGAGACGATGGGGATGTTCTGCAGAGCCTGCAGAAGGTGCACGAGCAGGCAGTGAAGGAGAATGTCAGGATGGCTGCCCAGATCCTGAGGCTGCAGCACCGGCTGCGAGCGGCGGAGCAGGAGCTGCATCCTCCCAGCCCCAGCTGCTCCCAGCCTGGCTCAGAGCCAGAGGAAATGGAGCCCAGCTTTGAGGGGCTGCCCAGTGATTGCCAAGATGTGGCCGTGGGAGCGGATTTCGGCGTCCTTCCACCTCTGGAGGCTGATGCTACAGACCTGGAGGAAATATCGGAGATGGATTGGGATTTGGAGGAGGGATGTGTGAAAGCCAGAGCTGGTGGCCACCCTGAGGCACAGGGGTGCTGGATCCAGGGAAATCCAGCAGCTCTGGATGCTGATGGCAACCAGGAGGGTGACAAGAACCTTTCTTGGGTGCCTCTGCTGCCAAAAAAGGGAGACCTGGAGAAAGTTCCCAGGATAAAAACGCTCCACAACGATGTCAAACAGCAGAAGGTTCATCTGCCAAATCACAGAATAGCTCCCAAAAATAAAGGGCTTGTATCTGATGCTTTGAAGGTGCAGGTGGAGCTGGAGAGGGCTGAAGAACTGAGTGAAGACTCTCTCCTGCTGGATCACAGTCCTGGGGCAGCAAACAGTGACCTGAAGAGTGTAATAGCTCAGCTTTGGAAAAAGATGGAAGAGCTGGAAGACAGATCCATGGCACAGGCTGAACTTCTGTCCCTGCAAGAAGAAATTCAGGTAGAAAATGAGGATCTGAAGGCTGAAGTGATGCAGTTAATTGAAAGAAATGGAGTGCTGGAAGAGAACCTGCGCAGGCTGAGGAGGCTTTGTTGTGAGCAGAAAGAGAGCGAGACGGAAAGCGTCAAGTTTGAAGATGAAAACGCCGAATTCCTCGTGCAAGGTAAAGAATTGGAAGGTATTAGAGAACTGGAAGGTATTAGAGAATTGGAGGATGTCCAAAAACAAGATGCTCAAGGAGACCCAGATGTGCCCAGTGGCACGAGAGGTGGGAAGCTGGAAGAACATCCCACCACATTCACGGGCCAGCAGGACAAGAATCCCCAAAGCGACAGCGCCGTGACAGAAATGGGAAAAGCAGGAATGGGGGATCCCAGCCCCCAGGTGAAGGAGGAAGCTGTGGGTCCCCCAGAGCAGAGGAGGGCGGTGACCCAGGGCTTGCAGAGCACGTGCACTGAGCTGCAGCAGAAGGTTGACCTGCTGAGGTAACGTACCGCGGCGTTCGCCACTAACCCAGCGCTGCCCCGGCTGCTCCTCTAACCACCCTAGATTAACTCTGCCTTAACTGAGTAGCAAACACTGCCATGGACTCCTAACTCCTCTAGTCGTGGATAACAAAGACCACTGGAACCAGTGACTGTGTGTGCCTTGCTCCTCTGTGTGCCTGGAGCGCCTGCCAGCTGTCATGTGTGTGGATGTCACCGTCACCGCGTGTAGCTCGTCCTGCAGCACAAACCCATTGCATCCCCGTGCCCAAAATCCATGGTAACACCTCCAGAGTGCTCTGTAGCTCTTACTAATATTCACTTCACTCAGTTTGTTCCCTTCTAGAGCTGAATGTTGCTCACAAGGCTGAAATTGCTCCTGTTTTGCCTCAGTGTTTCGGTGAACGCTGTAGGATTATGCTAATTTCAAGTGCTTCTATTTTTCTCAGTATTTAAGTTAATATTAGAGAATTATAGGGACTTTTTTCCCAGTTAGGAACCCTTCAGGAGTGGTGTATGGTAAATACAGTTATAAAACATATATTCATTATATTATTCACATCATAGGTTTTACCTACTTTTTTTAACTGCTGTATTCCAGCAAGGATTTCCTCTTTTTTTTAATGGTTAAAGTGGCTACAAGTGGTTTAATTATTGTTCAGCACCAGCTTCCTGGAGGAAATTGTTCTTTCAGGTGTCCCACCATGGCTAAGTTATTTCTGTGCAGTCTCCTGAGGACAGAAAAGACACTTTCCAACCGTGCTATTCCCAGAATTCTCAATTCCAGCTGGGGAAACAGCTCACTCTCCCGGCAATCTGCATATTGTGGTGCTCAGTTGTTATTTCTAGCTTGAGGACTGAAAGATATATAGGATATAGTGTGAAACTTTAGATTTTAACTCACTTCAAAAACATGCCCCAAAAGCCCAGGGTTGTTTTTAAAGTTTGTTGCGAAATTTTGGGGTTTTTTTAACAAACTGAGGAGCGCTTGTGGTGAATTCATATAAATACGCCATTTGTACATAAAGCAAGGCAGTTGTAGCTTCGTTTTTGAAGCATTACAGGTAGCTCTGACTTGGGGGACTCCTTTCCTCCCCAGGTGTCGCCCAGGAGCTGTTCTCACTCGTGTCCTGTCTGTGCCACAGGTGTGAGGCCGAGAAGCTCCGCGAGGAAAACGCCGTCCTGAAAAACGAGGTGACCCTGTTAAATGAGGAGGGGAGCGCCTCCAGCCTGAAACTGCGGGAGCTGAATGGATCCAGGGAAGAAATGAGGTGAGAATTCCATGGGGAATGCACCCTGTGGTGCCTTCAGGCTGTTGTGTGGCTCAGCCACAATGGGTTCACCCCTTCTCTCCGAGCTCCTTTGTGTGTTAGGTGCTGTACAGATCCAACATGGGGTAGAAATCCAAAATGGGGTTATTTTCATGGAAACCCAGCAGGTTTTCAGGCTATTCCTCATCCTTGTCCCTGCCCCAGCTTGTCCTGCCCATCCCCAGAGCCAGCAGGGGTTTAGCTGTAGGCATTGAGGTGACCCAGTAACGCACACAGAGGGTTTAGGAGCTGACCTGGTGCAATTATTTGTGCTTCACCACAGGCAGGGAGAGGCTCCTCTGACAGATTATTCCAGTGGTTGGGTCCTTGGCAAGTGCAGAACCATCCCTGATCCTGGGATTGTTCTTCCCCTCTAGGAAGGACCCACTTGGGGCACCTTGAGAGGTTGAGCACTTCTGATGCAGAGCAGGGATGCTGAGCAATAAATAAATAAATAGACACAATTACCATTTCTGGTGGTGTTTGAAAAAAAACAACTCATTTTTGGAATCAATAAGATGGGAAAATACCTCCAAGATCTTCAAATCCAGCCATTAACCCAGCACTGTTGAGGCCACCACTGCCCTGTGTCCCCAAATGCCACATCCACATGGATTTTAAATCCCTCCAGGGATGGGGACTCCACCACTCCCAAGAAATCCTTCCTAATACCCAATCCAAACCTCCCCTGCCACAACTTGAGGTGATGTTCTCCTGTGCAATCTTGCAGTTGTGTATATTGACAATTGATTTTAGTGTTAATGAGCTTTCCTTTCTCCATAGGCAGAAAATAGAGGCTGTGCGAAAAGAGAAAGTGGCTGTGCAGAAGATGGTGGACAACCTGAAAAAGCAGGTGTGTGGCAGCAGAAAACAAGCATTTTATAAATTTAAATGTTTTGATAACTGTTTAATTGCACTTTGGGATTGATTTGAGGTCACTTGACCTGCTCATAACACAAAAGCTGTAATTGTCCAGCTCACAGGCCTGAGAGCACTTTCCACAGTCAACTTTTGTAGAAAAACAAAGTTTAAATCTTTTGTTTTGTAATTTTTGTGCAATTCTCTGCAGTAGCCCACGGGAAATTGAGATTGTGATTCAACCTCTGCTCATTTCCCAGCTGGCTTGGTTTAGGAATTCTGCCAGTTGCATCCATGTGACTGCTACTTTTATTTCAGGTGTGGCTTGTTATAATGCATGAAATAAAAGGATTAATTACCTTTAACATCCATGCCATCTTGACATTGCTTAGGAAAATACTTGCTCAGAATAATCTATCAGGATAACCCTCAAAATCCACACCAGCATGGCCAAGTGTTGGGTGACTGATATGACTGGTCTCTAATTAAGGCCAGTTATGACAAATTATTTGTTTGGAGTCACTGTCGGAGTGAGACTTGTCAGATCCTTAATCACTTTAATAGAAAGGAAATAGCCCAAATCTCATTCCTGGTGTAAAATCACTGCTGTCCCCTCTCAGGTGGCTGATCTGAAGACCAGGAACCAACAGCTGGACTCTGAAAATACAGAACTCAGCCAGAGGAACTCCAAGAACCAGGCAGATGTGCAGGATCTCAACCAACAGCTGGCAAGGGTGCTCAAGCAGAAGGAGAGGGAAGAGGGGAAGTGCACTCTGGAAGAATGGGAAAAGGAGAGGCTGCTGCTGAAAGAGGAGCTGGAAAACTCCAAAATCGAGGTACAGCATTTGGTGGGACAGCTGGGCCTCAGGGGCTTTGGGATTGGCATCCCTGTCCTGGGATGGGATTTCAAAGCTGAGCTTTGCTAAGTGCTGCCTTAAACACAGCAGCAGCCAAAAGGCAGGAGGGAAAAATGTGCAGGTTTGCCTTGAAAACACAGCTTGGTGATGCCAAATATTGCCCTGCGTTTTCCATGTTGTTCATCCAGTGCCACCTCAGCTCTGTCCAGTGGCTGCAGCATCCTCTGCTCAAACTTTGCTCTGTGAGTCTCCTAAATCGAAATCTGAGCCTTTCCTTTTTTGCAGTCATCAAATATGGTGTCATCCTTGGAGATGGATTTGTCCAAAATGAAGGTCCAAGCTCATCTACTGGAGCAGGAGAACCACATCCTCAAGCAGGAGCTGGAGAAGACAAAGCAGGTATGGCATCCCATTGCCCAGAGGAGCTGTGGCTGTCCCTGCATCCCTGGGAGTGTCCAAGGACACCTTGGAACAACCTGGGATAGTGGAAAATGTCCCTGTTTATTCCAGAGGGATTGGAACTTGATGGCCTTTAAAGGTCCCTTCCAGCCCAAACCCTTCTGGGATTTTATTGGAGCGCTATCCCATTAATTTGCACTATCTCTTAATGGATGAAAATTAAGAGGTGGAAATAGTTGATTTATTTAAAGAAAGGGAATGTAACTCCTCTTCAAACAGTTTCCAGGTGCAACACACAATTCTTCAAATAAGGTTGGGTTCACTTAGACTTTGCCAAAAGATTTTGGGAGTAGTGGATCTACAAAGGGAAGCTTTGGTCAAGATAAAGATTTAAAGCTCAAATTAAGGGACAGATAGGGAAAATGGGATCCACATGAGAACATTTCCCTGGTTAACTGGAGATATAACCCATTTTAGCTCCATTTAAGGAGTGAGCTCTTCCAGCACGTCCTGTCAGGCAGAATTCCTGTTGCTAAACCCATCTGGAGATCTGGGAGTCTCACAAGGTCTGAGGATAATTTCCTGGAGAGCTCAGTTATCTCCTGTACAAGCACAGCTCAATTGGCTGTAAATGTATGCTAATAAACACAGATAATGAAGGCTTCAAACGAGGCAGTTCCCTGATTAGGGCTCCACAAAGTCATTTTCTGCACGGTGTAAAACACTCAGTGCTCAGGGCAGATAATGCTCTTAAAAAAGCAAAAGCAGCTGAGGCCTATTGAGGAAGGAGTGGATTGTGGAGTGTAATTACAGAGATGCAATGAGGAAAGGCAGGGATAAAGCACTGGGGCACTTGGGAAAAGGATTGGTTTTCCCTCTGTGTTTGGTGATTTCTATGGGATATTATGGAAAAATCCTTCCCTGTGAGGGTGGGGAGGGCCTGGAAGTGTCCAAGGACACCTTGGAGCAGCCTGGGATGGTGGAAGGTGTCCCTGCTTATGACTTTTAAAGGTCCCTTCCAACCCAAACCATTCGGGCATCCCCCTGATTTTTCATGCCAAATTCTGTGACAGCACACAAATGCAACTCTGAGGGGTTTTATTTCCCACAGGTGCCCAGGTGTCCTGATCTTGCTGAGCTTCAGAATGAAGTTGCAGGTTTGATCGCTAAAAATGAAAAGCTGCAGAAAGAGAAAGAAGCCCTGAGTGAGGAACTGAACAGATGCATTGAGAAGGTAAGAAAGGAAAATCCTCATCACTGTGTCCTGTAAAAGGCTGTTAAAATTCCTGTAACTGTAAAACTTCTCTGGATGGTTTTCCCGTCACCCACAAGCCAGATAAAGGCTTTGTTGCCACTGCCTGGATTTTTTTGATTTTTTTTTTCCGCCCTAGCTGGTTTTAGAGAGGAAAGCTTCAATTCTGGAGCACAGCTTTACTGTAATTTGATGATGTAGAAAATTCCAAACATTGCAAGGAGGAGAGGCCTGGATATAAATCCTGCAGCAGGACAAGGAAGACAGTGTTCTGTGTTCTTGGACTTTTATTGCATCTCTAACCCACTGTAACTCTGAACTGGAGCAGAGCACTCTGCTCACTGTAAATAATAATCCCATTGTGTGGGAATTCAGGGAGCTGAGGGGCTTTTTGCTTTCCTGCATTTTCCTTCCTTCCTTAGCTTTGACTCCCTCTGTCTAGGGTAACCCTTGAAGTGAAATGGAGCCAAAAGCAAATTCCTGAGTGAGGATTCCTGTGTAATCTCATTGCAGGTGGCTCAGGTCAGCTGCCTGGAGAGTGCAGTTGGCAGCTTGGAGCAGGAGCAGAAATCCTGGGAGCAGCAGAGCCAGGCACTGAAAGCACAGCTCAGCCTCTCCCAGGACAAGGTAGGAAACACTGATTTATGGTCTGACCCTGATAAAAGCAGTTTGATCATCTCCTGTAGTGCTTTTTCTCATGAAAGGCCCCTCCTGATGAGAATGGCTGCCTGAGGGGCTTTCCAAGTGAAGTTCTTAAAGCACAAAAGGAAATTTGTTAAACACAAGGAGGGGTTTTTCTCTCTACAGCCAAGTTATTTTTGCCAATTCCCTCTGCCTGGTGATTCCTAAAGTGCTGCAGAGACTCTGCTGTTGCTCCTCTGTGCTGCTGCAGGCTCATCCTTCCCCAGGCAGGGATGGGATCAAGTGGTTCCCTGCCTGGCTGAGTTGGAAGAATTCCTGCCAGGAAGAACAAACAATTCAAGGGAAAGCTTCTTCCCAGGATATCCCAGTGAATGCTCAGGGCTGGAAGATGTTTCTGGTGAATGCAGCATTGTGGCTCTATTCAAAGTGGCTGGCTGCGAGCTTGGAACAGAAAGTTGGAAAATCATTTGGAATTGTAGAGTTTTAAGCATAGAAAATCCTTATAGGATTGAGTCTAATCATTCCCCAAGCACTGCCCAGGCCACCACTGCCCCATGTCCCCAAGTGCCACATCCACCCAGCTTTTAAATCCCTTCAGGGGTGGGGATGGCACCAGTGCCCTGGCAGCTGTGCCAGCGCTCAAAATCCCTTTCCATGAGGAAATTTTCCCTAATATCCAATCTAAACCTCCTCTGACACACCCTGAGGCTGTTTCCTCATCCTGTCCCTTGTTCCCTGGGAGCAGAGCCTGACCCCCTTCAGCTCCACCTTCCTGTCAGGCACTTGTGGAGAGCAATAAACTCAATTTAACATTTTCAGAGGGGGAAAATCAGCGTTTTAACTTCACTCCCTCCATCAGAGATCCTAAATCCCTGGGATACCTGATGCACACAGGGAATGCTGATCCAGCAAAGGCCAAGATGTGCTTTTGCTCTTTCCAGGTTCAGAGCCTGAGTGAAGCTCTGCAGAGCAGCAACCTCCAAATGTCCCGGCTGAAATCCGACCTGCAGCTGACACAGCAGGAGAAGGAAAGTCTGGAACAAGAAGTGATGGCACTGCACAAACAGCTGCAGGGCACCAGTGAAAAGGTAAAGGCATCTCAGGAGGTACCTAAAATTATTTGATATCAAATATAATGTGGTTTTAAGCTGTTTTTTAAAAGCTGTATTCTAAGTGTTAAACGTAGACAGGCAATGATCAGTCCCCCTCTCCTAAATCTCCATTTTTCCCTAAAAGAAACCTTTTGCCAATAAAACCCCCAACTTTATGGACAATGCGTTAATTTACACCTATCAACTATAAAAATTAAACCAGTCATTGACAGAGGAGCTCATTTTCAGTGCAACTTGGGTTTGAAAGGTACAGAATTACTCCAGCCTCTCAGCTAATGAGGATTTGTAACTGAAGGAGGTTGTAGACAGCAGTCCTGGGATTGCTGTTATGAATTCAGTTACTCATTTGGCTTGTTTGCCATGTAATTAAGGAATATTTAATGTCCACGTGGAAAAGAGGCTGTTTCAGAATTGTACAACAGGAGCTAAATTACAGCTATTAGTGCATAATATAGAACACTGAGTTCTGTTTGGCTCTAAGGAGAGCACAAATTGCTTTTTTTGTGTTGCTGAACTCTGTGCACTCCTTGTGCACACAGCTATTATCCACGATTTTAGTGGAGGGAAGCACTTGGGATTTGCACATTGGATTTCTTAAGGGAAAACAGAGATCGGGCTGGGAGGGAGATGGGAATGCTGCAACTTTGGAGCCTGCACTTACTGAAAATCCACCTCAAACCCACCTGAGTAGAGCAAATGTCTGCTTCTTTGTTGAAGGCCTAACCCTGCAATTCTGTCTGTCTTAAGAACCTGGTTCTGGAAGTGGCTGTGCCTCCCTCAGGGCTGCAGGAGCAGCAGGGGCCCATCCCCTGGGATGAGCAGGAGCTGCTCAGGCAGGACCACGAGAGGCTGCAGAGGGAAGTGCAGAGCACAAAAACAGACCTGGCCCACTGCAGGGAAAAGGTAACAACCCGGGCAGGCTGGGAGAGACACCACAGCAGGGCTGGGCTGGGACATCTGGGGGGCACTCAGACCCCTTTGCACAGATCACAACGCAAGCAGGGTTTGAGTATCTGAGACTCCACTACACTCCCAGAATATTTCTTTAAAAGACAATCTTTGTCTTTTCTTTAAAAGACAATCCTGATAGTTATTGTCCAAGATTTCAGTCCAACTTCAAGTTAACCAAAAAATTCTTGATATTCCTAACGCTTTTCCTGTGCCAATTTCTCCAGAGAATGAAACTCCACAACACACTCAGGATATTTCTTTTCTTTAAAGGACAATCCTGGTAATTCTTGTCCAATCCTGGTGATTCTCTGGAGGTCACTCAGATCCCTTTGCATAGATCACAATCCAAGCAGGGTTTGAATATCTGCAGAGAATGAGACTCCACGACATTCCCAGAATATTTATTTTCTGTAAAAGACAATCCTGGTAGTCCTTGTCCAAGATTTCAGTCCAACTTCAAGGTAACAAAAAATTCTAAATATTCCTAATGTTTTTCCTAAGCAATTTCTCCAGAGAATGAGACTCCACAACACTCTCAGGATATTTCTTTTCTTTAAAAGACAATCCTGGTAATTCTCTGGAGGTCACTCAGACCACCTTGCATAGGTCACAATCCAAGTAAGTTTTGAATATCTGAGACTCCACAACACTCTTAAGATATTTCTCTTTTTAAAAGACAATCCTGGTAGTCCTTGTCCAAGATTTCAGTCCAAATTCAAGTTGACAAAAAGATTCTTAATATTCCTAACATTCTTCTTGTGCAATTTCTCCAGAGAATGAGACTGCACAACACTCTGAGGATATTTCTTTTCTTTAAAAGACAACCTTGTCTTTTAAAGAAAAGAAATATCCTGAGAGTGTTGTGAAGTCCTTCTCCAAGATTTCAGTCCAACTTCAAGTTAACAAAAAGATTCTCAATATTCCTAACATTCTTCCTGTGCAATTTCTGCAGAGAATGAGACTCCACAACACTCTCAGGATATTTCTCTTATTTAAAAGACAGTCCTGGTAGCCCTTGTCAAAGAATTCAGTCCAACTTCAAGTGAACAAAAAATTCTTAATATTCCTAATGTTCTTCCTGTGCAATTTCTCCAGAGAATAAGACTCCACAAAACTTTCAGGACATTTCTTTTCTTTAAAAGACAATCCTGGTAATTCCTGTCCAAGATTTCAGTCCAACTTCAAGTTAACAGAAAGATTCTTAATATTCCTAACATTCTTCTTGTGCAATTTCTCCAGAGAATGAGACTCCACAACACTCTCAGGATATTTCTCTTATTTAAAAGGCAATCCTGCTAATTCTCTGGAGGTCACTCAGACCACCTTGCATAGATCACAATCCAAGCAGGTTTTGAATATCCGAGACTCCAGAACACTCTCAGGATATTTCTTTTCTTTAAAAGACAATCCTGGTAATTCTTGTCCAAGATTTCAGTCCAACTTCAAGTTAACAGAAAGATTCTTAATATTCCTAACGTTCTTCTTGTGCAATTTCTTGGCTTGCAGTATTAAGTGGATTATGGGGAGGACAGAGGGAAAGAAGGCCAAGATGTCAGAAATATCCCAGAGTTTCCCAGAGCAGCTGTGGCTGCTCCTTTATCCCTGGAAGTGTCCAAGGCCAGCTTGGACAGGGCTTGGAGCAGCCTGGGACAGTGGGAGATGTCCCTGCCCATGGCAGGGGTGGGATGGGATTTAAATCACAGAATCACAGAAATTCAAGGCTGGGAGAGACCTATAAGATCATCAAGTCCAACCCGTATCCTCTTGTTCTGTCTGTTGTTGCCCGGAGAAAGAGACCGACCCCCAGCTCACCACAGCCAGCCTTCAGGAAGTTGTAGAGAGTGATGAGGTCGCCCCTGAGTCTCCTTTTCTCCAGGCTGAACAACCCCAGCTCCCTCAGTCGTTCCTCATACGGCTTGTGCTCCAAGCCCCTCACCAGCCCCGTTGCTCTCCTTTGGACTCGCTCAAGCATCTCAACGTCCCTCCTAAAGTGAGGGGCCCAGAACTGGACGCAATACTCCAAGTGAGGCCTCACCAGTGCCGAGTGCAGGGGAAGAATGACCTCCCTGCTCCTGCTGGCCACACCGTTCCTGATACTGGCCAGGATGCCATTGGCCCTCTTGGCCACTCTGCTGGCTCATATTCAATCGACTGTCAACCAGCACCCCCAGGTCCCTTTCCACCTGAGCACTGTCCAGCCACACCATCCCCAGCTTATATCGGTGCAGGGGGTTATTGTGGCCGAAGTCCAGTACTCGGCACTTGGACTTATTGAAGTTCATCCCGTTTGATTCTGCCCATGCATCCAGCCGTTCCAAATCTTTCTGCAGAGCCCTACGTCCCTCTAGCAGATCTACACACATTCCCAATTCAGTATCATCAGCAAATTTACTAATAAAAGACTCTAAGCCCTCATCCGTGTCGTCGATAAAAATATTGAACAGAACTGGCCCCAGCACAGACCCCTGAGGGACACCACTGGTGACTGGTCGCCAGCTGGATGCAGCACCATTCACCTCCACTCTCTGGGCCCGGCCATGCAGCCAGTTCTGAATCCAGCAAAGGGTATTCCTGTCCAGACCACGGCCTGCGAGTTTGTCTAGGAGTAAGCTATGGGAGACAGTGTCAAAGACCTTGCTAAAATCCAAGTAAACAACATCTACAGCCTTCCCTGCATCCACTAGGCGGGTTACCTGGTCATAAAAGGTGACCAGGTTGGTCAAACATGATCTACCCCTCGTAAATCCATGTTGGCTGGGTCTGATACCCTGGCCATCCTGCAAATTTTGCATGATGGTGCGTAATATAAACTGTTCCATTATTTTGCCAGGTGTAGAGGTCAGGCTGACTGGTCTATAATTGCCAGGACCTTCTTAAGGTCCTTTCCAACCCAAACCACCCTGAGATTCTGTGATTCCAAAATCAGCTGGTATTTTCGATAAAGTGGAATTACCTGGGCCATCTTTTCCCATTTGTTCATCTCTGCTCTCCTCAGATCCGACAGCTGGAATCCACAATCCTGTCCCTAAAGCACCAGAAGCACCAAAGCCAGGCAGGGATTGTCAAAGCCATGGAGCAGGAGAAGCTGAGCTTGAAGAGGGAGTGTGAGCAGCTGCAGAAGGAGCTGTCATCTGCAAACAGGAAGGTGAGTTTTGGGTGGTAAACACACAGATCAGTCATTTCCATCTCTCAGAAGCTCATGGGGTTTTGAAATATCCCTTGAAACAGAAGCTGTATTTGAAGTGTTGAACGTGCCCAGGCAATGATCAGTCCCTCCCTTGAGTCTCCATTCTTCCCTAGAAGAAACTTTTTGCCAACAAAACCCTCAAATCTGTGGGTAATGCATTAATTTGCACCCATCAACTATAAAAATTAAACCAGATATTGATAGAGGATCCAATTTTCAGTGCAACTCGGGTTTGAAAGGTAGAGAATTACAGCAACCTCTCAGCTAAGATAACTTTCTTCTTTTGCTGTGAATTTTGTGCTCTTTGCCTCTCCCAAATCTGTGTCTGAAGGAGCTGACAGGGCTCTGTGTATTTGCTGGGAGACAGCTCCTGTAGCAAATCACTCTTCCAAATATTCCAAATATTTCCTGATTTTTGGACTTGAGTTGTCTTGGTATTCAGTGGTTCATGAGGGGAGAAAACCAGATAAAATGAGAAATTGCTGCTTTTCTAAGGAAACTTTTTGTCTCTGATAGATCAGTCAGATGAATTCTCTTGAACGTGAACTGGAAAGCAGCTCAGAAAATGAAGGGCTGAGAAAAAAGCAAGTCAAGCTGGATGATCAGTTAATGGAGGTACTTTTCAGTGTTGACTTTATCATTATTTTATTGAATTCATTTTATTTTAAAACAACTTACGGATGTGTGGCAACATGGAAAACTGATTGAAACCAGAAGAATTAACCTCTCCTCTTTCATGACCAAGCATGTTTTGTTTAGTCATAATTCACATTTGGCTTCAGATGGAAAATCAAACAGCCAAGAAAAAATTTGCTTCTGTGCTTGAGGCAAGGCTGACACTTCCCTCTTCCTTCCTAAAACATATCCCCTCAAATTTCCCATCTGATATTTGTGTGATGCTGCTCTTAATGTAAAAACCTGTTCTTATTTCCTCTGGGAATAATTTGCTGAATTTAAGCTCAATATTATCTAAATAGTGAAAAAATAGCAATTTGCACGGTTTACTGTTAATTTAAAGGCACAAGTGAAAACTTTAGTGGAGATTCTTCCCAAAGCTGCTGTAAAAGTTCTGCTGGAGATGGATCATCAAAATTTAGGAGTCCTTGGTTATAGGAATGGGCAACTTAATTGTGTTTAGTGCATCCCATAAGGTCAGCCCAGACCTCCAAGCTCTCTCTCAGTAGTCTTGCCTAAATTTGATGTCCTGGATTTGAGTTTAAAACATAATATTGAAAAAAAACCTACAAATTTGACTTGTTCCTTAAGTCACAGCATCTTTTAGATGGGGCTTCTCTAACACTTGATAGATGGCTTCATGTTTTCCATCAAATGGGAGCCATGAGGCTGAAAACCCTATGTAATCAGTAATAAAACTGTAAAACCTAATTAGGAAAGATGAGGTTTTGACAAGTTAATGAAAAGACTGTTTCTATTCCCTGTGAATTTATTTATATAGTGTTAATTAAGCTTTGGGAAAATGCCAAACCCTCAAAGCCATAAACAGCCAGCCTGGGATTGTGTTTTCTCCTGAAATGTGAATTTCAGCCATGCAGGGTTTTGGTAACCTTTTCCCAGCAGGTGTGTGCAACATTCACTCAGTGATTTGTGACTTCTAACTCTCTCTTTTGTGCCTCTTCTCCTTTTTGTCCATGGCTAACCTGGCTAGAACTCAGTGGTTGGAGCTAGCAGAGAAGGGGGCAGTTCTCTCTCTGAAATAGTGTGTGAAGGTAGAGCAATCATTTCTCACGTACCCCCATGGCATGGAGAAATTCATTCTTTTAAATTCATTTTAATGAATTCATTTTTTAAATGATTTTTTTTTTCTTTTTATTCCATGCATCTCTTAAGTGCAGAAGCCACTATTCATTTCAGTGTCAATTTTGGACAGTGCACAGGTTCTCTGTGGTTAATGTGATGTGTACCCTCAGGATCTGTGTGTTCCTGAGGGGTTGCCATGAAAATGGAGAGAATTCACCCCATTGCTTCCAAAAGATTTAAAATTGGAAGTGGGAGAATGAAAAGTGGCTTCCTGCTCCCCCATTGCCTGTGAGGCCTGAAGGTGTTTGCCTATTTACCTCTGCATGAGACTGTCCAATGTTTCCTCAAATTAATTAATTTCTCATCCCACTTGGCATCGTCCTGATAGTTTAGCAAGCTCATGATTGTTCCATTTTCTTCCACAGATGAATACAGCAGGGCTATATTGTTTTCATTGTTGTTTCATTAGTAATTATTTTTAAGATGCTGTTAACACTAATTGACTGTTTCCTCATTAGTTACTCGTCTGCTTCACAACATGAGAGGAATCCTGAAAGAAATCCCACTAAAAACTCATTATTTTCACTGTTTATATTGTCAGGAAAACAACAGCCCCTTTACAGAAAAAGAGAACCCCTAAATAGCTTTAAAAAGTACAAATAGTTTTATTTTCAAGCATTTATAAACCTATTTTCTGTTTACCTGGACCAGCAGAGATAGAGATGGTAACAGGGCCAGAAGCATTGTGAAAAATATTTACAGTTAGAGATTAAGTCAGTAACTGAAATATTATCCATCCAAATTGATAATTTTGCCAGCTGTGAAAGGGAATTAAAATCAGCTGTGAAAGGAAAACTAAAATCAGCTGTGATAGGAAATCTAAAATCACCAAGATAATCTTACACACCTTTTCCTAAGGGAACAGAGTAATGGTTTTAAGGTAACAGGACCTTTATGGTCCTGGTTTTTTCTTTCTTTTTGGGAAGAAATTATTAATTCTACACAAACCCCAGCTGCAAATGAGTTTTTCTGAACCATCAGGGATTTTTACTGTCCAGTTCTGGTCCTTTTTAGTATAATTAACTCCTCGAGCTGTGAGTTATTTACCTGGGTTTTGCTTTAGTCTGGAAGAATTCTAAATTATTTCACCAGACTGTCTTAGCTCTTAATATCTCCACAGTTAGGAGAAAACATTAGGAAATATCTGTAGGGGGGTATATACTGAATTTTGAGGGTAAGAGCAGAGATAAATGTTCCCTAAAGACTAGAAATAATCAGAACAACTTCAGCCTTCCCCTTGAAATGGGAAATTATTGGTACTTGAAGCTCCCCAACTAAACTTTGATAGGAATTCATCCAAAATTCAGTGATTTTATAATCAGTTAGGAGAGAACATTAGGAAATATCTGTAGGGGGGTATATACTGAATTTTGAAGGTAATAGCAGAGATAAATGTTCCTTAAAGACTAGAAATAATCAGAACAATAATCAGCACAACTTCAGCCTTCCCCTTGAAATGGGAAATTATTGCTATTTAAAGCTCACCAACTAAAATTTGATAGGAATTCATCCAAAATTCAGTGATTTTATAATTCAGGCCTGAAATGATGACTCAAAGCCCAACTTCCTTTGTGTGAAATTCCATCTTTTGTCACCTCTGTCACCAAGTCCAGCCTTGTTCCTCTTGCACATAAAAAATCTGAGAGCAGGCTGCTCCTGGGGCAGCCCTGCCAGAGGGAGCAGGTGCTGATGTTGGGATTTGGGGTTTTGCAGATGCTTTTGGGGCACCCTTAGCAGAGGGAGCAGGTGCTGATGTTGGGATTTGGGATTTTGCAGAAGCTCCAGGTGCTGATTTTTGGATTTGGGGTTTTCCAGGTGCTCTGGGGCAGCCCTGGCAGAAGGAGCAGGTGCTGATTTTTGGATTTGGGGTTTTGCAAATGCTCCTGGTGCTGATGTTGGGATTTTGGGGTTTTGCAGATGCTTTTGAGGCAGCCCTGGCAGAGGGAGCAGATGCTGATGTTGGGATTTTGGGTTTTTCAGGTGCTTCTGGAGCAGCAGGAGCAGGTGCTCCTGTTGAGATTTGGGGTTTTCCTGATGCTTTTGTGGCACCTCTGGCAGAGGGAGCAGTGCTGATTTTGGGATTTGGGGTTTTCCAGATGCTCTAGAGCAGCCCTGGCAGAGGGAGCAGTGCTGATGTTGGGATTTGGGGTTTTGCAGATGCTCTGGGGCAGAGGGAGCAGTGCTGATTTTGGGATTTTGGGATTTTGCAGATGCTCTGGGGCAGAGGGAGCAGTGCTGATGTTGGAATTCAGGATTTTGCAGATGCTCTGGGGCAGAGGGAGCACATGCTGATTTTGGGATTTTGGGGTTTTGCAGATGCTCATGGGCAGAGGGAGCAGTGCTGATTTTGGGATTTTGGGGTTTTGCAGATGCTCATGGGCAGAGGGAGCAGTGCTGATGTTGGAATTTAGGATTTTGCAGATGCTCTGGGGCAGAGGGAGCAGTGCTGATGGGATTTTGGGGTTTTGCAGATGCTCATGGGCAGAGGGAGCAGGTGCTGATGTTGGGATTTGGGGTTTTGCAGATGCTCATGGGCAGAGGGAGCAGTGCTGATGTTGGGATTTGGGGTTTTGCAGATGCTCATGGGCAGAGGGAGCAGTGCTGATGTTGGGATTTTGGGGTTTTGCAGATGCTCCAGTCCAGGGGGATGCATAGCCAGAGCTCCCAGCAGCGAGGCTGTGCCACGGTGCCCAGGGAACAGTTCCTGCAGCTCCAGCAGCAGCTGCTGCAGGCGGAGAGGAGGAGCCAGCACCTCCAGGAGGAGCTCCAGAGCAGAGCCTCAGGGACAAACATGCAGCAGGTAAGGCCCTCTCACCGGGAAAGTCACATTTTTAAAGGATTTGGTTTGGTTGTCTTGGGGTATTTTAGTTTTTCTTTATCCTGGTGAGATCCTTTCTCTGTTTATGCCAGTTCAAAAATGAGATTTCATGGCAGCAAGGATGTGTGTAAATTGCTGTTTTAGTGTGGTCAGCCCAAGCCAGAGCTTTGTTCGGAAGTTCTCTTAATTTTTTTGAGATCAAACCACTCCCATCCACATTTAACTGGCTTTTCTCCTTCTGCTCCATGTGCAGGGAGTGTTTATAGAGGCTTTTTTTGTTGTTTCTTTACCTAATGACCCTGTCTAGAGCTATTAATTTTCAAATACACCACACCAAATATTGCACAGGCACCCATCACGTAAAATCCTAATTTGGGCTGCTGCTGTCACAGGGAATTGTGTCAGTTGTAGCAGAGCAGAACACAAATTAATCCTTTTTTCTGAGGTTTTTTCTAATCCTTTTTCTTCCTGATTTGGCCATCAGACAAGACACTGTTCCTGTTGTACAGAAACTTCAACATTTCTGAGGGAAAACCAATTCCAAGGCAGATTAATTCATCCACTCACTTTTAGTGTTAACTTTGCACCTTATAAATCTGAATTTAGGCAATAGAAAGGTTTGCATCTGCCATAAAAAATTGCCAAATTATTCTTTTCTTCAAATTAATTGGATGTCTAAATGTCTAAAGCTTTTATTTGGCTCAGGCCAAATAATGTCTTAAAATAATATTACAACTTTATCGTATAAGAAAAGATAAAGCTCTAAGTAGCCTAAATTTCTATTTAGCATTTTATCTATTTTAGATTAGATATTTATTTAGATTTGCACATAGTAACCTTAATTTATATTTAGTATTTGATCTGTTTTAGAATAGATATTTATTTAGGTTTACACTTAGACAAATAAATTAGATAAAATACTCTTAGCTATTTATTCATCTGGTAGCAGGAAAAAAAGACCCCTCTTGTATTTTAAATTTAGCTTGCAGTTACACTTTAAATAATAATGATAATGATGATGATGATAATAATAATTTAATTAACTATTAATAATTTATTATCGATAATTTATTAGTATTAAATTATTATTATTATTATTATTATTATTATTATTATTATTATTATTATTAGTGCCATCAAGACTTTGAAGCTCAAATATCTCTGAATGTGGGAATAAATATATCAGAAAAAAGGTATTACAGATAGAGTATAGGCAGTAACCAGTTTTTAAAGTATCCAAAACTTGGAGTAATTTTTTTTTTTTAAGATGGAAAATGAAAATGTTTCATTAAAAAAATAAAAGCAGATCATTTCAGGTTAAGTAGAAATAAATTGATTATAAGGTTTCTTTTCAGAAGTGCATCACCACAGGCTGATGCACTTTGCTCCCATCCCATGGGGAGCAAAATGTGCAGTTTAATTTCGAAATCAATCAAAGCCATATTGCAGCAGAGGCAAATGGAATGTGCTGGGATTGCGTTAGGAGTGATGAGTTTGTAATTTAGATTTTGGAGCAATCTGCAAGCAAGTCACATCCTGGAACTTGCAGTTCTAGAGATGAATTGCTCCTGCATTTCCTGGAAAAGCTTTGGGAATTTAAAAATACTTAGACTTTTAAAATATGTGCTGTCAATGCACTAATGCACTTAATCTTTTAAATTTTTTCCTTAAAAGGAGTGAATATTCTGCTTTATAACACTCTTTTTTACTACAGAACTTTCTAAATCATATTAAAAACCTGCACTAAAAACAAAGCCAGGTATATTTGTTTGTCTCCACTTTGTGAGCACCTCCTGCTTCAATCTCTGTTGATTTTTCTTTGCCATCCTGGTTTTTAGGGTTCATCATTTAGTTGAGCTCATGTCCCTTTTAATGTCCCCTTCAGCACCCTGAAAACTTCCATGCTAATCCCTCTCCATCATCCCTTCACCAGTGAGTACAAGGTCAGGTTGTCTCCACGTGTAAAATAAATAATTTATAAATAATTTAGTTCTGCTGCTTTGCTTTTTGCAGCTTTTTAGATCCTGTCTGAGGTATCCAAAGTTTCCCCCCCCTTTTTTTTTTTTTTAATGGAATTATTTTGTGTTTATCCTGCTTTGCAGTTTTCATTGCTTTTTGATCCTGTTGTCTGTGGCTTTTCATTTATTTTGCAGTCAGTCCTGAGTTATTCTCACCCAAAGGCTGCTGTTACATGTTTAAATTTCACTAAATTAAATGAAATTATAACTCCTGAGCTGTTTGTACTGTGTTAACCTGTCTGGACTTTTCTGAATTTCCAGTTTTTGTTTCTGCTGTGCCAGTGCTGTGATTCCCTCATGTCCCTTTCTCAATAACCAAATTTAGGAGCCTGTTAATTACCCAATGCTTCCCAAAGCTTGCCTAGCACTGATTAATATTTGAGTTGCTCAATTCCCCCTTTTTACAGCTCTTTATTTCAAATTCCATCTCACTCTGAGGGAAAAACAACAAGGTTTGAGATAGAAATGCAAAGTTTTCAAAGGAGAGCCAGTTTGGCTGCATTTTCCCCAAATACTTGGCCATCTGAGATTTTATATATATATTGAAATATATATCTATTATATTTATATATAATATTTAGCTACATTTTTTCCCAAATGCTTGGAAATCTGTGAGGTTTTATATATATATATAAAATATATATATATGCATACATACATATATAAATCAAAATATTTTTATATAGTGTTTGGCTATATTTTCCCCAAATGCTTGGCAATCTCTGAGATTTTACAGATATATTTTAAATATCTGTATATTATAATATCTGTATATTTAAATATCTATATATTATATTTATATGTCTGGATACACTTTTCCCACATGCTTGGCAATCTGTGAGGTTTTATAGATATATCTTAAATATCTACATTTTATAATATCTATATATTTAAATATTGATATATTATATTTATCTATAATGTCTGGATACATTTTCCCCGAATACTTGGCAGTCTGTGAGGTTCTATATATTTTTTAATATATATCTATTATATTTATATGTAATATTTGGCTACATTTTTTCCAAATGCTTGGCAATGTGTCAGGTTTTATATATATATATATATATAATATCAAAATATATATAATATTTTGGTTTTTCCCAAAAGCTTGGCAATCTGAGATTTTATATATTTTTTTCAATATATATCTATTATATTTATATATAATATTTGGCTACATTTTTTCCAAATGCTTGGTAATCTGTGAGGTTTTATATATATATATGTATATATGTGTATATATATGTATAATATTTATATATGATGTCTGGATACATTTTCCCCAAATGCTTGGCAATCTGAGATTTTATATTTATTTTTTTTTAATAGACATAAATATATATATATTATACTTACATAAAATGTTTGGCTATATTTTTCCCAAATTCTTGGCAATCTGAGTTTTTATATATACTATATGAGATTTTCATGCTATAAATGAGATTTTTAGAGAGAGAGAGGAGGATTTCCTCTAAAAAACTTTGCTACCTCAATCACTGCCACTGATCTTTTAAAAACCATGGATGAGAGTCCTTAGATGTAGAAAACCTCTCTCAATCTCCCAGCTAATATCAATATTTACAGCTATAAAATAGAAAATATTGCAGTGCTAATATTGATACTTACAGCTATGAAATAGAAAATATTGCAGTGGTAATATCAATATTTACAGCTATAAAATAGAAAATATTGCAGTGCTAATATTGATATTTACAGCTATAAAATAGAAAATATTGCAGTGCTGATATCGATATTAACAGCTATAAAATAGAAAATATTGCAGTGCTAATATTGATACTTACAGCTATAAAATAGAAAATATTGCAGTGCTGATATCGATATTTACAGCTATAAAATAGAAAATATTGCAGTGCTGATATCGATATTAACAGCTATGAAATAGAAAATATTGCAGTGCTAATATCGATATTAACAGCTTTAAAATAGAAAATATTGCAGTGCTGATATCAATATTTACAGCTATAAAATAGAAAATATTGCAGTGCTGATGTCAATATTAACAGCTATAAAATAGAAAATATTGCAGTGCTGATATCGACATTTAGAGCTATAAAATAGAAAATATTGCAGTGCTGATATCAATACTTACAGCTATAAAATAGAAAATATTGCAGTGCTGATATCGATATTTACAGCTATGAAATAGAAAATACTCTGCATGTTTTTCCCTTTGTGTGTGTGTGTTTTTCTGCTGCCCTGTGTTGCTTGCCCTGCTCGTTCTGGTGCTGGTTTTGCCCTGCCGTGTGGGTGTTTGAGAGCAGCTGGACCTCAGGGTGAAGTTTTGCCCCTTCCCTCTCTCTGCAGGCCCTGCTACCGGAGCAGCGAGCAGTGCATGCGGATTCCTACCGCAGGATCGGGCACCTCTGACACCTCTGGCTGCTCCTGACCCCATTCCTTTGCCATGATAGACACACACACAACTGGCATAAGCTCAGAAACTTGAGGATCAAACTCTCTTTTTTCCCCCTTTTTTTTTTCCTTTTTTTTTTTCTTTTTATTCTTTTTTTTTTCCTATTTTTCAATTTTTTCCTTTATTTTTTTCCTTGTTTTTATTTATTGTTTTCCTTGTTTTTATTTATTTTTCTTTATTTTTTCTTTATTTTTTCCTGTATTTTTTCCTTTTTTTCCTTTATTTTTTCCTTCATTTTTATTTTCCTTTTTTCCTTTATATTTTTTCCTTTATATTTTTTCCTTTATATTTTTCCCTTTATATTTTTCCCTTTATATTTTTCCCTTTATATTTTTCCCTTTATATTTTTCCCTTTCTTTTTTCCCTTTCTTTTTTCCCGTTACTCTTTTTTCCCTTTATTCTTTTTCCCCTTTATTTTCCCCCCTTTATTTTTCCCCCCTTTATTTTTTCCCCCCTTTATTTTTTCCCCCCTTTATTTTCCCCCCCTTTATTTTTTCCCCCCTTTATTTTTCCCCCTTTATTATTTTTCCCCTTTATTATTTTTCCCCCTTTATTTTTTTCCCTCTATTTTTTCCCTCTGTTTTTCCCCTTTATTCCCTTTTTTTCCCCTTCATTTTTCCCTTTTCTTTCTTTATTCTTTCTTTATTCTTTCTTTATTCTTTCTTTATTCTTTCTTTATTCTTTCTTTATTCTTTCTTTATTCTTTCTTTATTCTTTCTTTATTTTTTCTTTATTTGTTTTTTCTTTATTTATTTTCCTGTATTGTTTCCTTTATTTATTTTTGTTTTCGCTTTTCCTTTTTTCCTTTTGTTTTTCTTTTTTCTCCCAAAAACCAGCAAAAAAAAAAAGTCTCCGCAGTGTTATTTTCTTATTTATTTGTCTAGAAGCTATCTTGTGAAAGCTCAGAAGCTTCCAGAAGCTTTTTAAAATTTGTTACAAACGGGTTTTATTTATGTTATTTAAAATGTGCAGTTGTTCAGTATGGGAAAGAGCCTATTTTTCTCAAATGGTACTAATTTTATATGAGATTTGAAGAAAACCTGGGGTATTTATACTGCATTTTTGTATAAGATGTATAAACTTTTTAACAGGGAAAGATGACTTTTTTGGATGTAAATGAAAAATAAAATCTTTTTTTTAAGCATAATGTCTCTTGTCTTCATAGAAATCATTAATTTCCACTTCAAGAATGAACAAGTTTTAGGCAAAATATTTATCTTTGACAATGAAATTTGTTATATCAGGACTTCTGGGAAATAGTTGTGGTAGGGATGTGCTAGAGTACAGAAATTCAGCTTTTCTTTAGCAGTTGGACCTGAAAATTTAAGAAAATGAGAAATTCTTCTACTGCTGTGGCCATAAAATAAAAAGCGGGAAATTATTGTTTATTGGACAAAATTCTGTAGTTTTTATTTTGTCTCAAACTAGGATTTTAATAAAATTTTAGTAATTTATTAGGATTTAATTAATTAATTTAATCAAAGTAGGATTTCAATACTTTAATAGTTGAGCACAACACCTCTTTAAGGCCTGAACCATTTTAGCTGTTTGCTTGTAAAGATCTTTTTTTCTCCTGTTTTAAATGACCTTTGAGCTGCTGCCTGAGCTGACTTCTCCCATTTAACATGAAATAATGGGAAGTGAGAATATTTAAGGCAAAAAAAAAACAGGGATGAAAGGTATTGAGACCCCTCTAATTCTTATTTTCCACGTAATTACTCACTCAGGGCTCCTGCAGCCAATGGAAAGTGGAATGGTGAATTCCAGGTTTTGAATTCCAACCAAATTCCATTAATTGAGAAAAATATCCACTCCACCCACACAGTAAAACTGTTTTCTGTGTGACTCTAGTGTAAATTTTTTCATAAAAATAGATTATCACATAACCTCATACACAGATTTCAGTTTCTGGTGCTACAGCAAATAAAATGTTGAGTGAGATTAAATCACCCCCTCAAGGGGATCATTTTGTAGGGGTTTAAATGAGGAACTCCCTGCCTGAAGCAGATTTTTATTTCTCCTCCTCCACAGGTGGGATGGGTTTGGGTTTGAAGGTGTTTTATTTTGGGTTGCTGCTTTCTCAGACTTTCATCTCCTCAAATGACTGCCTGGGATTTGAGTAACAAACCAGCTTTAAAATCAAGTCTCAAATTTCCTGCAGTCAGCATTTAAAGTTCCTAAATCCAAAGAGGTTCTTTTGTAATTCCTGATATTTCTTATTTATTTGGGAAAATTTCCCTCAGGTGTTTGTCACAGAATTATGATTGTTTTAGTTACACTGTCACCTTGCTGAAGAAAAAGAAGAAAAACCAGTTTAGAGTTATGAAAACGAAACTAAAAAGATATAAAAAATGAAGTTTGGAATCCTACTTCTTTTGGATGTTACTGAATTCTTTTGAAATTCCTGATGTTTGTTATTTATTTGGGAAAATTTCCCTCAGGTGTTCGTGTAACGTGACACAGAATTATGATTGTTTTAGTTACACTGTCACCTTGCTGAAGAAAAACCAGTTTAGGGTTATGAAAACTAATCTAAAAAGATGCAAAAAAAAAGAAGTTTGGAATCCTTCTTTTGGATATTACTCAAGTTCTTTTGTAATTCCTGATGTTTGTTATTTATTTGGGAAAATTTCCCTCAGGTGTTTGTGTAACATGACACAGAGTTATGATGCTTTTAGTTACACTGTCACCTTGCTGAAGAAAAAGAAGAAAAACCAGTTTAGGGTTATGAAAACTAATCTAAAAATATGTAAAAAATGAAGTTTATAATCCTACTTCTTTTGGATATTACTCAAGTTCTTTTGTAATTCCTGATATTTCTTATTTATTTGGGAAGATTTCCCTCAGGTGTTCGTGTAACATGACACAGAATTATTATGCTTTTACTTACAAACACCTTGCTGAAGAAAAACCAGCTTAGGGTTATGAAAACTAATCTAAAAAGATGTAAAAAATGAAGTTTATAATCCTACTTCTTTTGGATATTACTCAGTTTTAAGGGATCTCTGGCATGGGAGAGTTACATTGTCAAACATGACCTTATAACTTCACCTTATTTTTATTCTAAAACCATTAAATTGGCATTTTGTTTCCCACATTTATCAGAAATTTGGCAGCACCAAAGAACAAGAAAAGGAAATTATCCAGTTCTGTTACAGACCAGACAGAAGTTCTGAATTTTATGTCATTTTTCCTTGATTTGGTAATTTCAAATGTAACTTGCTTGGAAAACCAGTGCAATGCTGAGAGTGTCCTTTAAGTGTCGCCATAAATATTTTGCTTTAATTAAAGGTTTATTAATTTAATTGCCTCTAAATCAGAATGAAATGTGGATGGCCACCAATTTTTTTGAGCATAAACTACAAAAACAAAATAGACTGGTGAATGGGAACTGGTTTTCAACTGATTTTCACATCAATGTTGCTTTCCAGGAGGGTCATGAGCAGCTCCTAAAAATGATGGAAGAGAGAATGATGGATGTGGAGCAGAAATTAAGGCTTGTGAAGAGGCTTCTCCAAGATAAAGTCAATCAGCTGAAAGAACAAGTAAGTGTTCCTGGATTTCCTCAAACCTTCCCCATTCTTTCTCTAAACCCCTAAGAAATCAAAAAGCTGACAACTGTTGTTCAGAATAAAGTTAAAAGTGGTTTTATTTAATTTTATTCTGAGCTTAACTGCAGCATGTTTGCCCAAAATTCATAAAACTCCAAACTGGGGACTGAATCCGCTTCTCATTAATTTCCTAAATCAAGAAACAAAAATCAAATTTCAGCTGAGGATGCTAATTGAAAAAGTTGCTTAGAAAAGGAGGAAAAAATAATTTCCTGAGGAGAAAATATTGATTTCTTTAAGGCCTCCTGCCCCAAATTCATCCTTTGTTTGATGTGGTTTTGGGGTATCTCTGTGGGATCACTGGGCTTGTGGATTCTTCGTGCACTAAATTTGTCCTTAGAGGGGAAATGGTGTAAAAGAGAATTCACCTGACAAGGTTAATTTGAATCCCTCTGTTACCAACTCCATCTCCTTAAAAACCTTTCAAGTCTCAAAATTTTCAGAGCATCTCTAAAGACCCTGGGTTTTTAATGAGAGGAGTGGGGTTTAAATTTGTTATTTGAGCTGTAATTTGCACATTTACTTCCCCACCTCCTTTGGGGTTTTTCTTTGCAATTTGCTGAGTCCCTTGTCCCATTCCCACCCAGCTTTCCAAGAACACCAAGAGTTACCAACCCCATCTCCTTAAAAACCTTTCCAGTCTCAAAACTTCCACAGCATCTCTAAAGACCCTGGGGTTTTAATGAGAGGAGTGGAATATTTGATATTATCAATTACTTTAATATTTGACCTATAATTAACACATTCACCTCCCCACCTCCTTTGGGGTTTTTCTTTGCCATTTGCTGAGTCCCTTGTCCCATTCCCACCTCACCTTTCCAGGAACACCAAGGGTTACCAACCCCAGCTCCTTAAAAACCTTTCTGGGTTTTTGATGAGAGGAGCTATAATTGACACATTCAAGGGTTACCAACTCCATCTCCTTAAAAAATCTTGTCTCAAAAATTTCTGAGCATCTCTAAAGACCCGGGGTTTTTAATGAGACAAGTGTTTTATTTTGATATTTGAATTATAATTAACACATTCATCTACTTCCCCACCTCCTTTGGGGTTTTTCTTTGCCTTCTGCTGAGTCCCTTGTCCCATTCCCACCTCACCTTTCCAGGAACACCAAGGGTTACCAACCCCAGCTCCTTAAAAACCTTTCTGGGTTTTTAATGAGAAGAGTGGGGTTTTATTTTGATATTTGAATGATAATTAACACATTCACCTACTTCCCTACCTCCTTTGAAGCTTCTCTTTGCCTTTTGCTGAGTCCCTTGTCCCATTCCCAGCTTTCCAAGAACACCAAATTACCACCCCTATCTCCTTAAAAACCTTTCCAGTCTCAAAACTTCCACAGCATCTCTAAAGACCCTGGGTTTTTAATGAGAGGAGTGGGGTTTAAATTTGTTATTTGAGCTGTAATTTACACATTTACTTCCCCACCTCCTTTGGGGTTTTTCTTTGCCATTTGCTCACTTCCTTGTCCCATTCCCACTTCACCTTTCCAAGAACACCAAGAGTTACCAACCCCATCTCCTTAAAAACCTTTCCAGTCTCAAAACTTCCACAGCATCTCTAAAGACCCTGGGGTTTTAATGAGAGGAGTGGAATATTTGATATTATCAATTACTTTAATATTTGACCTATAATTAACACATTCACTTCCCCACCTCCTTTGGGGTTTTTCTTTGCCATTTGCTGACTCCCTTGTCCCATTCCCACCTCACCTTTCCAGGAACACCAAGGGTTACCAACCCCAGCTCCTTAAAAACCTTTCCAGTCCCAAAACTTCCACAGCATCTCTAAAGACCCTGGGTTTTTAATGAGAGGAGTGGGGTTTGCCTTTGATATTTAAGCAATAATTAACACATTCAAGGGTCACCAACTCCATCTCCTTAAAAAACCCCTTCCAATCTCCGAACATCCACAGCATCTCTAAAGACCCTGGGTTTTTAATGAGAGGAGTGGGGTTTTATTTTGATATTTGAACTATAATTGACACATTCACCGACTTCCCGACCTCTTTTGGGGTTTTTCTTTGCCATTTGCTGAGTCCCTTGTCCCATTCCCAGCTTTCCAAGAACACCAAGGCAGATGCCATGGTCAAGGATCTCTACGTGGAGAACGCGCAGCTGCTGAAGGCTCTGGAGGCGACAGAGCAGAGGCAGAAAACTGCAGAGAGGAGAAATTATCTACTGGAAGAGAAAATTGCCAATCTCAACAGAATAGTGAAGAATTTGGCCTCCCCCTCCTTCAGCCCAGAGATCAGGTCATAGCAAAGCTGTTGTGTGTCACAGCCCCTGCACTTTACTGAAATGGGAATATTTCAGCTTCTCACTGCGTTGCCTTTTCTACTGAATGAGTTTTGGTTACAAATGCCTCCCCAGAGAGCACAGAGCTGATTCCCAAAATGGACACTACCAAAGGAGAATTTTGTTGGTTCCCAAATTGGGTTTTTGCTAAGTTTTGCCTAAAAATAATCATCACTATGTAAAAAACTTCAAACTTATGTTTTTCTAGGTTAACCTATTTTGATGCCTTGGCTTTCATTACAATCCAAATTCTGAATTACCTGTACTGGATCATCTAGATTGAAGCAAAGGCCTAAAGAAAACTCAGACTGTTGAACTGAAAACTTAATATATTCAGCTTTCTAAAATAGCTCCAAACCTAGAAATGCTGATGGGTCAGTCTTCAACACTCAGCAAAAATGTAATTGAAGGCAAGACTTTGCTGCTATGGGCTGTGTCCTGTGAACTTATTCTGGTTTCTCTAAAGCAATTATTCATCTGGTTTCTCTAAAGCAATTATTCATTAGGCTTCTGGGTTGTTCTTCATGGCTGTTCCTCTGCAGAGCTCAGAAAAAAGAGATTTATTTAAAATACAGAACTAGACTACTGCCTCCAACTAAGTGTGACAATATTTCATCTGAAGGAATTTCCCAACTAGCAAATAAAGACTATAATTTCCTTTTTTTTTAAGCTGTGCTGCCAGACAACTCTGAATTGTAGAGGCCTTACTGGTTTTGTATATGGAAATAAGTTAAACCCAGGAAGAGTCACTCAGCAGAAGCAGAGCTGGGAGCTTTGTGTGATTTGTGAATTCAGTAAAGCAGTGCAGTGCGTTTATTAAACTGCTGGCAGAAGAATGGAGAGGAGCACTGGGATGATTTTGTCAGTGGGATCCTGGTGTTGGAGCCCTCATGAGCATGGAGCTTTGCAGGAATGCAGCATTTGCTCTGACCTGAGGAATCATTTGGAAAAGTCTTGTCTTTCGTGTTAATCCTAGTGCAGAACCTGTCATTAGTTGTGAAGAAACACATTCAGTGTAATCATGAAGAACTCAGGGAGCAGCAGCCTAAATCAGCTTCCTTCGGCTGTAAATGTGGGTATAAATGTCAGCAGAGGGAGGTAAGCACCCCTGAGGGAAAGCAGGACAAAACAAATTGGATTTGGGTCAGTATTTCCTTGGTGCTCCTTACCCAGGTTCCAGAGGAGCATCGAGGTTTGGGATGAGTGGAAAAATGAAATTTTTTTGGGAACACCTTCAAGACAGAGGGGTTTGCCAGAGGAGCAGCTGGATGAGAGCCTGCCTGCTCAAGGGGGTATGTGTTATCCTGCCCTGCCTCCCCTAAAACAGTCAGACACAATTAAACATTGGAAATAAACTGGGGCCATTCTGGAGTACTTGAAACTGGACCTCTTTAAATGCAAGGTTGGGAGGGGGAGGAAGAGGTGTTTTGTCTCAGAGACCACTGGCAAGCTGATCATTGTGTCAGGAGCCAGAATTCCTCCAGAAACTGGGGTAAAACTGCCTGCAAGCTGTGGAGGAGCAGGTGGAAAATGAGATTTGCTGTGTACTGATGTGGCTGAGAGGATGTTCTCTGTGTCTCTGGGGTTATTCACCCATTTTGGAGGGGTTGTGGACTGAACCCACAAACCCCAAAGACACAGGGAGTGACTTTTTCCTCCTCCTTTTCCTCCTCTATTGCTTTGTGCAGGCAACAAAGTGGAAATGGAAATAGAATCATGGAATAACATCACGTTGGAGTCCTCATAAATTATTTCACTGCTGTGCTCTTCTTATTGCATGTAGTGGAGATTTCTCCAAGTCATCCCAAATTCAAGGATTTAGATTTTTTCAGAGGCTGCAAAAATATTTTCACAAACTGGAAGTGTCTTAAAATTATAGAAATCTGAGGGTTTGAAAAGCTGAAGTAGTGATTTATTGGTGTTTTCATCACAAAGTGGTGTGAGTTACATGATAATAAATCTGTGTGGGTACCAGGGCTGTGTGTTGGCAAAGTGGGAACTGAGCACACCCTAAACCCATGCTCTGGAAATCAGCAAAGTTCCAAAATAATTCCAGGAAACAAAAGAAATAAGGTTCAGAACTGTATTTGTAAAAAAATATTATCTAGTACATTTAAAGACTACTTCATACCTTGACCTTGATTTACCTGTGTCTGTGACCAAAGTATGAAAGGAAGGAATGAATATTTCACTTAAATTATTGTGCAATTATTTTCATGTTGCTCAATTTAAAGGCTGGACTAATTCTTTTAATCTCCTGGTAGTTACCAGGCTTTTATAAACCAAACACAGACATTGCTAGAGCACAGCACCAAAAAGGGAGAAGCAGAAATAGGGAAAAGGGACTTTTGGTTTTTTCCCTTTCTCCCCTATCCTACTTTGCTGTATTTTCACTAAACCTCAGAAAAAAACCAACTTAACTACAGGAGAGAGGAGGAGGAAAACGTGCTGTTGGTAAAAACTCCAATTTCACAGGAAGATTTGTGTGGATTGATTCTCAGAAGTGCCTTTTGCCTTCCTGTCCTGTAGTGGCTGGGGTGCCACAGGACAATTCAGGACAATCCCTTCCCACAAGGAGGGATCCCAGAGAAAGGCAGAGCTGCTTCCACACGTTGCTCCTGAGTTCAGTGTGGCAGCTCAGAGGAGAAGCAGCTGTTTTACAGAGTCCAGGCTACTGAAAATAAGCATAGAAACACATAATTTATTAAGCATTAGGGGTGTTTTGTGCATGAATGTGTCTCCTATGCAGAATAGGCAAAAAAACCAAAGTATTTAATGTTATTGTTGCTGTCAGAAATCACTGAACTTTTAGGCCTTGTTCCTACAACAGGCCCTGCCATGTCAGATATGAACTACTTCATTACCAGGTGGTGTTTTAAATGTTTTCAGCTCTTACTTTATGAATCACTGTGAAAATAAAGGCACATAGACATTTCAGGTTGGGGGTTCTGGAAGGGGACAGACCCCAGGTTAAACAGAGGTGTACAAAATTCACGCAGCTCAAGTGCTGCTTGTCAGTTTAGAATGATTTAAAAGTCTTCATTGTGGCACATGCTGCAAGTGGGACTTTAAATACAAGGAAAAATGGAGTTGTTTGAATTCTGCTTGGGGAAAGAAACAGGATATTAACATTTTTTATTTTAGCCAGGTTATATGTTAGGTATAGCAGGGGGGAACAGTCTGGATTGATAAAGAGTAAAATCCTTTTGTTTACTTCCAGCAAATGCCATCCCTGTCACTCAGGTTTTCCATCATTTACCTGTCCAATCTCTGTTCGGTGTCGTTTCATGACAAACAACTTGTGTATAAAGGAAAACAAATGTATATTATTTTTTTTCTATTGAGTTTGTTTTGTTCTGGTGTAATATATTGTCCTTAGAACATCATGTAAAGCAGAGAGATGAAGCAACTGATACATTATTTATAATGAGCATAAAAAATACATTATAATGTACGATGCATACTTGTGTGTTTTGGTTTTTGCCCAACATGAAAATCATAGAACAATTTGGGTTGGGGGGACCTAAATCCCATCCACCCCTGCCATGGCAGGGACATCTTCCACTATTCCAGGTAGTTTCAAACCCTGTCCAACCTGGCCTGGGACGCTTCCAGGGATCCAAGGGGCAGCCACAGCTTCTCTTCCCATGGATGTTGTAAATATTGCAAGTAGTATCAAAGGCATACACAATAACAAAAGGGATGGTTTGATGGCTATGAAAAAGCTTTTCACATTATGAAAGTATGAAATTTAAGTGTAAAAACCTGACAGGTTGTGAACACACCTTGGCTTATGTTCAGCTGAAGCTGCATCCCTACTCTTTGCCTTTATATTGAAATATTGAGGGAAATATTGAGTGTTTGTTGCTTTTCACAGAATCAAGGGGTGGGAAAGGCTGGAGGGGACCACAGTGGGTCCCTGCTCCATCCTCCCTGGTCTAGCACTGCTGTGTCCCCTCTGGGCCCCTCATGACAAGAAACACTGAGGGGCTGGAACGTGTCCAGAGAAAGGAACAGAGCTGGGGAAGGGAATAGAGCCCCAGGAAAGGCTGAGGGAGCTGGGCAGGGGCTGCAGAATCCCTGAGGAGCTGGGCAGGGGCTGCAGAATCCCTGAGGGAGCTGGGCAGGGGCTGCAGAATCCCTGAGGGAGCTGGGCAGGGGCTGCAGAATCCCTGAGGAGCTGGGCAGGGGCTGCAGAATCCCTGAGGAGCTGGGCAGGGGCTCAGCCTGGAGCAAAGGAGGCTCAGGGGCCCTTGTGGCTCTGCACAAGGAGGGGACAGCTGGGGGAGGTCAGGCTCTGCTCCAGAGAACAGGACAAGAAGGAACAGCTTCAGTGGGGGTTTAAATGGGATATTTGAGAAAATTTCTCCACGGAAAACGTTGTCAAGAATGCCCATCCCTGGAGGTGCCCAAGGAAGGCCTGGAGGTGGCACTCAGTGCTCTGGGCTGGGTGATGAGGTGGGGATCGGGCACAGCTCGGACACGCTGATCTCGGAGCTCTTTTCCAACCTCAACGATTCAATGATTGTGTCACTGTGGGGTTCTGTCACTGTCACTCCGGGGTTTCTGGGGTTTCTCTCATTCCGGGGTTTCTGTCCCGGCGGGCTACCGCCGCTCCGTGAGGGGCCGCGCCCTCCCCGCCGCGCGGGGGCGCTGTGGCCGCGCCCCCTCCCCTGCGCTGCCCCGCGGCCGTCCCGGAGGGCGGCGGCCGCCGCCTTCCCACAACGCCCCGCGCGCCCGCCGCGTCCCCTCAGCGACCCCCGGCCCGGTCCCGGTCCCGATCCCGATCCCAACCCCGCTCCTGGTCCCGGCCCGGCCCCCGGCGGCGGCCGGACCCCCCCTCCCCGCCCTGCGGAGCGGGGAGCGGCGCCGGGCATGCGGGCGGTGGCAGCGGGCCGGGAGGTGGGATGCTGTCGCGGAAGAAGACGCGGACGGAGCTCTCCAAGCCGGGCGAGGTGCAGGGGAAGTACGTGAAGAAGGAGACGAGCCCGCTGCTGCGGAGTGAGTGTCGGGGGGAGCGGGGGCCGCCGGCTCGGGGGGCCGATCCCGAGGCCTTTGTGTGCGGCCGCTGCGGGTCCGGCGGGCCCTGGAGCTGCGCGGCCTTGGCGGGGTGAGGGGCGTGAGGGGGAGGTATCCCCGTGGATGTGTGTAGGGGCTATTTCTCCCTGTAAATGCGTTTAGGGGCTATTTCTCCCTGTAAATGTGTGTAAGGGTTATTTCTCCCTGTAAATATGTGCATGATGCTGTTATGAGCCCTGGGAGATGACGGAGGGAAGTTAAAACTGAAAAGAAAGCCGAGTTTCAAAGGGAGCCCTGCACGCCTTGTTCCAGCGGACGCTCAGCGTGCCCGAACTTGGTGGGTTTTGTGGGTTTTATGATTTTCTCGGTGCCCGGTTCCTCCGTTCCAGCAGGCCGGGGTTCGGAGATTGATTTTAAATGAGGGGAAAAGCTCCAGGGTGAGGCTGGCCGGGGCTTGGAGCAGCCGGGCACAGGGAGGGAGGGAAGGGGTCCCTGTGGCCCGGGGGAGCTTCGGGGCCGCGGCTCCAGAACCGAGCCCGCTCCTTCCAGAACCTCGCTTGTTTTCATTATCCGAGCACTGTGGGATGAGATAACTGTCCCGCCAGGCAGTTGCATAAAATCCCTGCATAGAAAATGCTCCAGGTCCTCTCCGTGACTCAACCTGGTGAGGTCACCTGGGCTGCAGGGATCTTCCCGTGGCTCTGATGCCGCAGCCCTGTGCTCCTAGGGCTGGGCACAACACCACAAACTCACACTGAAGGTGTGCTTTGGTTTGGTTGTGTTTGTCTCAGAAGACAACCCGAGATTGAAATGGGTTTGTTTGCTCAATAAATAAATAAATAAGTAAATTTATTACTGACATTTTCTGGGGTGCACCATATTTTAACCATGAGTTGTAAGAGTTTATTAATAAAAGGTAATTAGTAATAGGAATTACCTCATTCTAAGCGAAAGTTATAATCTATATTAATTTATCTGGAGGGAAACTACTTATTTCTATCATGTTGAAAGTAAAAGTAGGGAGAAGAGGAATGTTTCATATACTGGAGGGAGGCAGTGAAGTTCTAAAGGAGAAAGTGAAATATCTCCCTGATAATTTGAGGACTTAATGCATATGGAATGACATCGTTTTTTCTGGCTGAACTTTGTGCCTTTGGGATTAGTGGGGGCAGTGTGAATTCTGTTTCTGTCTTGGATTCCTGTGGGCATTAACATCTTGTCATTCCCAGTTTGTAAGGACAACATTCCCAAAGAAGCAGTAGCCAAGATATGTGGATTTCCTTGACCCTTCTCACAGAGAAGCACGAACCCTGACTGATTTAGCCACAGCACAGTGTGGGTGGTTTGGGGTTTTTTTTTTTTCCTTGTGTGGTTTTTTTGATGGGTTTGGGGTTGGTTTGTTTATTGCAGCTGCAGTTTTGCTCAGTGAGTTCCTGGTGTGGGGTGTGCTGGTTTTCTGCTGCACCTGGACATTCTGCAGCTTTAGCACCACATTTACACAGGCCTTACACAGAATCACAGAATGATGAGGTTGGAAGAGACCTCTGAGATCATGGAGTCCAACCTGTGCCCTCACACCTCACCCAGATTACAGCGCCAAATCTTTTTTTAAACACATCCAGAGATGGTGATTCCACCACCTCCCTGGGAAGAGCATCCAGTACTTTATTATTCTTTCAGTGAAAAATTTCTTCCTGATATCCAACCTATCCCTTCCCTGCTGTAGCTGGAGGCTGTGTCCTCTGGTTCTGTCAGAGACCGACCCCACCTGTCTGCGCCTCCCTGCAGGGAGTTGTAGGATGTGAAAAACGCCAATCACTTGTTCTTAAAGTTTTAGAAGTTTAATAGTAATAAAATGGTTAGAAAAATAGTAATACAATTAGAGTAATAATAATTTGGATTAGGACAATATGAGACAACAGAAACAAAGAGTTACAGACAGTCCGGGTGCCTTTTCTGCGCAAAATAAGCCTGAAAAAGGCCCCACATTAACAGAGGATTAACCCTTAAAAGCAACAGCCTGTTGCATATTCATACAGCTCATCCATGATGCATAAATTCCATTCAAACACAGGATTCTGGCTGGGCAGTGTCAGCTTCTTCCTCATAATCCTAAATGGCATCATCCTGCCCGAGTGAGGCAGGACGAAGTTCATTGCTCCTGATAAAGGAGCAATAAATTCTCTTTCTCTGAGAGATTCAGGTGTCCTGTGGCTGCTATCTCAGTGCGAGTCCTTTCTTTAAAAAAAAGTATCCTACATAGCATCGTTTCTATTTTAACATTTTGTTATAACCTAAAACCATATTTAACACAGTACTTAAGAGAATTAACACAGCATCACTTTCTAACACAACACAAAATATTCATTTGAATATTTGCCAGAAGCCAATCACAAAACACCCATTTTTCACATGAGAGGTGCCTTGGGTGAATCTCCCCAGTTTCAGTGTGTAAATACCGCACACGGGCAGGGCTCTCATTGTCCCCGTGCTCCCGGCAGATCTGATGCCTTCGTTCATCCGCCACGGCCCCACCATCCCCCGGCGCACGGACCTGTGCCCGCCCGACCCCGCGCCCTCCGCCTACGGCCCCGGCGACGGCCTCGTGTCCCGCGCGCAGAGCTTCCTGCGGAGCCCGGTGCCGCGGCCGCCCCACGAGATCCTGAGGCGAGAGAGCCACAGACTGTCCGCGCCCTCGTACCTGGCCCGCGGCCTGGCCGAGGTGCCCCGCGAGTACGGCTCCTCCTCCTCCTCCTCCTCCTCGCAGCCCTTCCTGGCCGAGGCCGGCGCGGGGCTGGAGAACGGCGATGCCCGCGGCTACTACTGCGAGCGCTTCTACGAGGGCCACAGGAGACGTCCGCTGAACGAGCGCCTGCACGAGGACTACAGGTATTATGAGCACAACAGTGATCTTTTCCAGAGGATGTCCCACAATCATGGCAGGCACACTTCAGGTAAGGATTTGTTGTTGGTTTTCTTTAAAATCCGGTTTTGGTGGGAGTCTGGATGATCAGGGTTGTGTTTGAGGTGTGTAGGACAGAGCTGCTTTGTCATGGCGTTTCTGGGATTTGGGTCATTGGAATTGAGGGTTTGTTCACATCTTCCAGTAGTTCACACATATCCAGAAAGGAAAAATAGATTTAAACCAGGATTATTTTCACAAATAAATGGAGTAAGGCCGAGCAGGTTTTGTGTATGTGTCCTCTACACATCAGTTCTGGGTAATTGGAACCAAGGGTTTGTTCACACATGTGGTTTCTAAGGCTGGGTAATTGGAATTGAGAGTTTGTTCACACATACTCAGAAAGGAAAACTAGACTTAAACCAGGATTATTTTCCTAAATAAATGGAGTAAGGCCAAGCAGGTTTTTGGGTTTTTAATGCCAGGCAAATGTACATCTCTTCTACAAATCAGTTTTGGGTAATTGGAATTGAGAGTTTGTTCACACATACTCAGAAAGGAAAACCAGATTTAAGCCAGGATTATTGTCTTAAATAAATGGAGTAAGGCCAAGCTGGTTTTGGGGTTTTTAATGCCAGGCAAATGTACATCTCCTCTACACATCAGTTTTGGGTAATTGGAATCGAGGATTTGTTCACACATCCAGAAAGGAAAAATAAGACTTAAACCAGGATTATTTTCATAAGTAAGTGGACTAAGGCCAAGCAAATTTTGTGTGCATCTCATCTACACATCAGTTTTGGAAATTGGAATTGAGGGATTGTTCACACATATGGTTTCTAATGCCAGGTAATTGGAATTAAGGGTTTGTTCACACATACCCAAAAAGAAAAACTAGATTTAAACCAGGATTATTTTCTTAAGTAAATGAGCTGAGGCCAAGCAAATTTGGGGTTTTTAATGCCAGGCAAATGTACATCTCCTCTACACATCAGTTGCTGGCTAGCAAGAAATTTTATTCATTGGGGGATGTCTTCTATTTTCATGGTGTAGAGAATAACCAACAACTCAAATACAACATTGCAGCATTGTTGTTATTATTGTTATCATTAAATTTTAATTATCATCTTATTACTTAATTTCATTGTTTGAATTTGACCTCAATAATTAAAATAATTCCTTATAAATAGTCATAGGGAGGAATGACTGCTTTGTGTAATTAGCAAATTGGCATCTAATTAGTGTTGAAATTTACTTCCTAATCCTTGACTCCTTTCTTTTAGCTTTTAAATTTGTTTGTAAGTATGGTTGTTTCCCCCTAAGTTTCACTGGAACTTGCCTTTGTTTCCTAAAACTAAACAGCATAAGGAAGAGGAATCCATTAAATATTACTTTTCTGAAATATTTGACTCTGATATGACAAAAATTATGCCCAAGGAGGAGTTGGGAACAAACATTTCAAACTTGTAAATGATGTACCTTCAATATGAAATACATTGTTACCTGCAATCTATGAACAAAATTGTGATTAGTGTCTGATAAAACAAATCTCCTGTCTAGAACAAGAAACCTGCCAGGGAGAACATCAGCTTTGAATGCTGCTGCCCTGGGGTGTGGGATCAGAACCTGTCAGTGCCTTGTGCTTCCCTCACCACACAAACACTGCCATGAAAATGGGAATGCCAGCCAGGAAATTCTCCACTGCTGGGCTTTAAGGCCTGCTGCTTGAATCCTCCTTTGCTTTTCTAAATGTGAATATCTCTGCTCTGCCTGGATTTTGTGTGCATCGCTGCAGTTACTGCTCATCCAGCAGGCATTAAACATTTACCTGTGCAGGTAACGAGTGCTGGGATTGTGCTGGGATGTTTTAGGGAGGAGAGGCAGGAGGGGAGGATTTCACAAACCAATCCCTCAGTTTAACCTTCAGAATTAAACAGCAGCTGGGTCTGCTGAGGAGATTCCCAGAAATGGAGCTCTGCCTTGGAAGTGGACATTCATAGAGCAAATTTATAACAAATTTGTGGAAGGAGCTCCATAGTTTGCTCAATTGTAGCAACATCTTCTTCCTAAATAGATTTTTTTGTGCTGTTTGTTGACCTTAGCCCTGGAAATCATAAAGGAGCTGCTCCTGTTTGCTTGCTTTAGTCATTGACTCTCATACTTTAACATTTCATATTTTGAACAAGTTTTACACAGGTCTGGTGCTGGGTGAGTATTTAATCTCATGCACTCGTAGGGACAGACAAAGCTGAGCCTTTCAGTTGCCAGTGGTTTCCCTTTCCTCCATTTTTTTCCATCTCCATCTGAACATCTAAAATCCTTTTCTCTTTTTTCTTATAGAATTATGTGGCCCAAAATAAGAAAATTTTAGGTTTTGTTACTTCCTTCATCTCACCACTCAGCTTCTTTTTATTTGAACCATCCCATGCCTTCACAGCTTCAGTGTTTTCCTTGAGTTACCCAAATGTCTCTGCAATTCTTGTTTCTTTTTCTTGCATTTCCAGAGCCTTTGTCTAAATAACTTTTCTTTCCTCGTCCCCATTGTTGTTTCTCTCCATGGGGATGCCAGAATTGCCTGGTGCCTGCAGTTCCGAGTGCACACTGTGGTTTTTAGCTGGAGTTTGTGAATGCTGCCCCTGCTGTCCCTGCAGAGGTGCCTGCTCGGTGCTGTGTGTGTGGGTGCCTTCCCCAGGAGGTGCTGCTGGTGAGCCCGAGGTGTCCCTGTCCCTGCCTTGCTGCCATCCCTGGTGCTCACACCCAGGGGGTTTTGGGAGCACGTGGAGAGGAGCCAGGGCATTTCAGCTCTCATCCTGAACTGGGACTCTCCTCTCTGGGACTGGAGAAGTTACAAACACGTTCTTCTCGAGGCTTCAGAGCGTTCAGGCCGTGCTGAGGCAGCCCTGGGGTTTGCAGCAGTTGCTGTTTCAGCATTGCCCTGTCCTCCCATGGCGCTGCTCCTTCTCTCTCCCTGTGCTTCACTTCTGCCATCTCCTCCTTCCCATATTTCATTCACTTTGTTTCTCATTACCAATCCAGCGCTGCCGATTTTCCTGACCAATATTTTCAGTTGAGATACCTCCTAATTTTATACATTTAGCTACCTCTGTGGCATTTCTTAAATTTTTAATTTCTTTTTTTAATTTTTTTTTAATTATTATGAGTGTCCTTTTCAAACTTTTAATTCTAAGAGACTTTTACCTGTCTTTCCTCGCCATCTCTTTCCTCTCTTCTAGGTTAAAGTTTTGGGGAGGTCTGTGGTTGAAGTTATACCTTCAGTGTAGATTGGAACTAACTTGTAACCAAGACCTCAGAGTTATTTGTGCCTGTGTGAGCGGTAAGCTGAACCATTCTTTGTGTCTATGACAATTGCTGAGCTTGAAATCAACACTCTCAATGTAAAGGCACTTGCTGCTGGTGGATTGTGATGAGTTCACTGGGATGTCACAGGAGAAAAAGCAGTTTAACAGAGAATCCTCTGTGCTTTTGGTTCATCTGTTAAGTTGTACCCCTGAAAAATTGCCAACTTGTTTAATGTAAGAGCAAAATAAATGAGATTATGACACAAAACCCATTTAGAGCTGAAACAGCCATATTTTTATTTTTCTGTGTGTACCCTTCTCTCATTTTTAAACAAACAGCAGTTCCTGCCTTTTTCTTCTTTTGTGCTGATTTTGCAGGAATTTTGCAGCATAATTCTTGGTGCTGTCAGAGTTCTTCCTGCCATTTCCTATTTGTGAGTTTGTGCTTGCTTGGAACGCCCCATTCCCTCCAACAAAAGAGGAGCTTGTGCTCAGGAAGCTCCTTCAGAGGCTGTGGAGAGGGTTAGGAAAGGTGGGAACTGCAGACCTGGCTGGACAGGAGAGTTATTGGAAATTTTTGTTATTTTATTGTTAGTTATTCTTTTCAAATTAAACACTTAGCTCATCTTCTCTTCCTGCTCTGATGAGGGGAAGGGAGAGGATTTTGGCATCCTGAAAAGGCTCTCAGGACAATTGGGCTAATTGAAAACAAACAGTGTTTTGTAAGATTTGTTCTGCAACACTTTGGAGATTTGGGTGAAGTCGCTGGTGGGGACTTCTGAGATTTCTCTGCATTTTCTACGCCAGTGGAATTTTCTCCTCTGGATTTGCTCTTTGCCCTTTTTATGCTGGGGATGGGATTTCTCTGCTGCTCTTTTTACCTCCCCTTTGCTGGGAATCTTTGCTCCAGAGGGTTGGATTTCTTTCCAGGCAGGGTTCCCTCAGAAAAATCCCTTTTACTGGGAAAGCACTGACTTCATTCCAGTTCCTTGTTCCTTCCCAAACACAGCTTCCCTGAGTGAAGAACACACTGCAGACTGTTCACACCTGGCATTTATTTGGGTTTGTAAGAGAAGGAATTTTTGCATTGATAAAGTGCACTGGAATGTGCTGCTCAAAGTCAAAACTGATAATTCAAAACCTTAAATTGAAGATACTGGATTTAGAAATGGAAGGAGAATTAAAGCCTCAGTTTCAGTGTTGATATTCCTTAAAAGCAGCAGCTGAAACAAAAAACAACCCATTATATTATATTATATTATATTATATTATATTATATTATATTACATTACATTACATTATATTATATTACATTATATTATATTACATTACATTATATTATATTATATTATATTACATTACATTACATTACATTACATTACATTATATTACATTACATTATATTATATTATATTACATTACATTACATTACATTATATTACATTACATTATATTATATTACATTATATTACATTACATTATATTATATTATATTACATTACATTATATTACATTACATTATATTATATTACATTATATTATATTATATTATATTACATTATATTATATTATATTACATTATATTACATTACATTATATTATATTACATTACATTACATTATATTATATTGTATTATATTACTTTATTGTATTATATTTATTTATTTTATTATATTTATTATAATATTATGAACAGAATTACCAGATGAGGCTTGACAAGGTTTTACAAATGCATAAATTTAATTAGTTGTTGACCATCCTTGAAATTTGGTAGTGCCACTCCAGAGAGTGCTCATCCCTAAGCAGGGGAAAGGAGACATTTGGAAAAAGAGGATCATTTAACTTTATTTCTTGGGAAAGCAGGAAGAATGAGAATTTTTATTTGTTACAGCTAGAAAAGAGTGTGTGAGCAAGAAAACCCTGAGAGCTACAGTGAACATGCTCAGGAAAACCCCAAGTTTTACACCAGATGTTTGTATAAAAACTCTTCAGCTTTTCTATTTGTGACACATAAATCTGGTGCCAGCCCCCAACCCAGGGAACACCCCTGGTGCTTGCAGGAAAATCCTCTGGGGAGCTTTGGGGCTCAGAATTGACCTGGAATTTAAATGCAGAAAATGTCATTCCTGGAAATTTGCCATGGAAAAGGCAGCCCATGGACTGAGGCTGTCTTGGGATTTTCTTCTTTGGGTTATTCTTTGGAAAAGATCACAGAGGAATTCACTCTGCCCAGTGTTATTTAGTTGGAATTACAGGTCTGTATATATATATATATTTATAAAATAGATGAAAGTTAATTTTGCTCTTCTCTTACTGTTCAAAACTATAGGAGTTTTTCTCTTATGTGTGTACCCATCCTCCCACAAAACAGTATCTGAGGTTTAGCAGGAAAACCAACAATTTCTTTTGTTCTCTAAAAAATTAATTTTATAGGAATAAAAAAATCTCAATTTTATTAATTGCTGATTTTCATGCCACAGTGGTTGATGGCTTTAAGGCCCCATGAATATCAACATCTTAAAACTTGCAGCAGAGAGAATATTCCAATATAATCTGTGATAGAAGGGAAAAAATTATTATTGCAACCATCAGTTTATCAGTCTGGCCTTTGATTTCATGTCCATGGAACATTGTTCAAAACTGGTCATTTCTGCATCTCTACAAGTTTATTTTAATGGTTTGGCTCTTTCAATGAAAGTGGCAAAAGGAATTGATAAAATATTTGTGATCTGGTGTTATTTTTGTTCTTTGCATCGTGGAAATTAAGAATAAGTGGCATTGGGAGAATCCGTGTGTCAGGAGAGCTTCAGTGCAGAGGGTGGCACCTCTTCCAATGTTGGCAATCATTAACCTTTACCTTTAGTAAAATAAATATGAATTTAAGGCTATTATTAAGGAGGGGGATCTGTAAGAAAAATACAGAGATGTGCAGGTTTTAACAATACACAGAAAAATAAGAATTTTTTCCCCCCAAATTTGTGTGTTCATCTCTCCTGGCAGTGCTGATTTAACAATCACAATTTCCACATCCATAAAATCCCATCCCAGAGTTTCAGCCAAAAAATGGGGGAAAATCCTGGGTTTGTTTGGCCCAAGCACAGCACTCTCAAGAAGCTGAAATATTTTTATTTTGTCACTGGCATGTGGAGCTGAACCAGCTTCCCTTCCAAAGGTCAGGAAGGCTCCAGATGTTTCATTTCTCTGGAATTGAGCTCTGAGTTCAATCCCAATTAAAGATGGACACACTTCCCTTTCCAGTGCTGGCAAACAGGTAAGTCCTGACACCAGAGGAAATCCTGTAAGGCCAGACACTTCAGAACATGACAAGGGTGAGCACAAAGTTTCAAAGGAGGATGTTTGTGAGGGAGGTTTTAATTTATTTTTTATCTATCCCCTTGTTTTGGAGCCTTCCTGTAAGTTTATTTTTAATTATTATAATATTCTGTTAGGATATAGCTCAGCCAGGTTTCAGGCTGTGATTTTAGATGAGAGAGACTCTGACTTTCCCTTCTCTCAGAAAATAACCACACCAAAATGTTATTCCTGAAGAAAAGGAGCAGGGGGTGTATTCCTGTCAGTAAATGTGTGTGGGGGTGAATTCTGACTTGTAAAAAAGTGTAAAAAGTGGCTCCCAAATCCCTTCTGCTGGCATGGGAAACAGCAACACACAAACTCTGCTGATAATGGGATTGAGTGGATGCATTTGGCTGTGGGATGAAAGAAAATTGGAATTTTCATTAAAGCTAGGTAGTGTGAGGGACTGGAGAGAGCTCCTTAAAATGAAGTTTTAAAGGGAATTGAATTGAGCCCAGCACATCCAGCAGGTAACAAATTCCCAGGGATGGGAAGAAACCTGCAGAATTCTTGATTAAAATTCTTGATTGTCACTGGGGTTTTGTGGTTGGGTGTCTTGGGGGTATTTTTTATTCTTTTTCTGTACTTGCTCATCTGGGGAGGGCTGGGACAGGAGCTGCTTCTGTGGGCATCTCTCACCCTCCAGCTGCTGAAATCTCTGTAAAAACTCTCAGTGTGTTACAACAAATCCCACATTTCAAAGAGCTGCTGAGCAGTCTCTTAGACCTAGTGCTGGATCAATCCCAAATGTGCTCTGATTCCAGGGAAAAGGTGGGAATTTCATCAGCTGCAGATTCCTGGCAGCTCTTGGACCCCAACCCTGCTCGTCCCTCCTCTCCTGTTTACCTCGTCCTGTTGCTGCTCTTGCCTGGTTCACCTGAAAAGCCTTGGGAGTGATTTGTCTGGAGTGTTTTAATTTCTGAATACTTCTAATTTCTAAACTTTTTGGTGTTTTTTTTTTTTGTTGATATATGAAATTTAACTTTGTTTTTGTTGATAAATGAAGCGGCCATAACAATTCATTAACAAAAATCATAATTTCGATCAATCTCTCCCTAAACCCCGATCTCCCTTCATTTCAGGCATCGGGAGAGTTGCTGCTACATCTTTAGGAAACTTAACAAATCATAGTTCTGAAGATTTACCTCTTCCTCCTGGCTGGTCAGTGGACTGGACTATCAGAGGAAGGAAATATTACATCGACCACAACACCAACACCACGCACTGGAGCCACCCCCTGGAGCGCGAGGGGCTGCCCCCGGGCTGGGAGCGCGTCGAGTCCTCCGAGTTCGGCGTTTATTACGTGGATCACATCAACAAAAGGGCTCAGTACAAGCACCCCTGTGCTCCCAGGTGAGCTCCCACCTGCCCTGCCCCCCTGGGCTTCTCTTAGCCAGGTAGGAGATGGTTTTGTAGCATAAAGCAGGAAAAAAAATGGGATTTTCGGCTGTGCCGCTTTTCGCGGTTTGTCTCCTGGTTCTGGGGTGTAGAAGCAGGAGGGTGCTGCTGAGCAAACAGAGCAGCTCTGCAGCTGCAGGGAACTGCAAAGGTGATGGGAAGAGAATTGAGCTGTGCACTGAAAATCTGATGGGCCTGGAGGGGCTCTGGATGTCTGAGATGTGAATTAAGTCTTGGCTGGGATGAAAATGGGTGTTTCAGCTACTCAAAATGTCAAAGTAAAATAAAACTACATAAAAATACACACCAAATCCAGTCTTAATTGTTTATCTGCACCAAATCTAACAGTTAATTGTTAATACACACCAAATCCAATGTTAATTGTTAATATACAGCAAATTAACAGCAGATTGTCAATATGCACCAAATCCAACTGTTGTTAATACACACCAAATTAATGGTGTGTATTAATTGTTAATTGTTAATATACAGCAAATTAACAGTAAATACACACCAAATCCAATGTTAATTGTTAATATACACCAAATCAAACTGTTAATTGTTAATACACACCAAATCCAATGTTAATTGTTAATGTACACCAAATTAACATTTAATTGTAAATACACACCAAAACCAATTTTGATTGTTAATATACATCAAATCTAAGTCAATTGCCAGTATGCACCAAATCCAACTGTTAATTGTTAATATGCACCAAATTAACAGTTAATTGCTAATATACAGCAAAATAACAGTAAATGCACACCAAATCCAATGTTAATTGTTAATATACACCAAATCTAACTTTTAATTGTCCATACACATCAAATCCAGTCTTAATTGTTGATATACACCAAATTCAACTGTTGTCATATGCACTAAATTAACTGTTAATTGTCCATATGCACCAAATCCAGTGTTAATTGTTAATATACACCAAATCCAACTGTTAATTGTTATTACACCCTAACCCAAATCTGAGTTAGATGTCAACACACACCAAATTCAACTGTTGTTAATACACCCCAAATTAACAGTTGACTGTTAATATACAGCAAATTAACAGTAAATTGTAAGTACACACCAAATCTGTTAATTTGGTGTTAATTGTTAATATACACCAAATGAACAGTTAATTGCCAATATACACCCAATCCCATGTTAATTGTCCATATGCACCAAATCCAATCTTAATTGTTAATACACACCAAATTAACAGTTAGTTGTAAATACATACCAAATCCAACTGTTAATTGTCAATATGCACCAAATCCAGTGGTAATTGTTACATTGCTAATCCAAATTGTTAATTTCTACTGCTCAGTCTGTTCTGCTGATACCCAGGAAGAGAAAGTTCTTCCCCTTGTGGCACAAAACATAAATATATGGGGATGTCTTTAAATGGAGTAACTCTGATCAGCTGCTGCCTGAATCCACATCAGTTCTGACTTGTTAAATTGTGGATTATATGAATCAGTACTTTTAAAATGATTTAAAAACAGCTCCAGTGTTTGAGTGGGGCTGAGGTGAATTTCACCAAAACAGCAGCAGCAGCTGTTGCTGAGTGCAGACCCCAGTGAGGTTGCAGCAGCAGCCTTGGCAATGGTGAGTCTGTGAATAATGCTCAGAAATTGTGAATCTGTGAATAATGCTCAGAAATGAAGGGTGGGTCTGTGTGTAATGCTCAGAAATGAAGGGTGGGTCTTTGTAGTGCTCAGAAATTGTGAGTTTGTATATAATGTTTGGAAATTGTGAATGTGTGTATAATGGTCAGGAATGGTGAATCTGTGTATAATGCTCAGAAAGGGTGAGTTTGTGTAATGTTCAGAAATGGTGAGTGTGTGTATAATGCTCAGAAATGGTGAATCTGTGTATATATAATGTTCAGAAATGAGTGAGTCTGTGCATAATGCTCAGGAATGAGTGAGTCTGTGTGGAACGCTCAGGAATGGTGAGTTTGTATATAATGTTCAGAAATGGTGAGTCTGTGTATAATGCTCAAAAATGAGTGAATCTGTGTATAATGTTCAGAATTGTGAGTGTGTGTAATGTTCGGAAATGGTGAGTGTGTGTATAATGCTCAGAAATGGTGAGTTTGTGTATAATACTCAGGAATGGTGAATCTGTGTATAATGTTCAGAATTGTGAGTGTGTTTATAATGTTCAGGAATGGTGAATCTGTGTATATATAATGTTCAGAAATGAATGAGTCTGTGTATAAAGTTCAGAAATGGTGAGTGTGTATAATATTCAGGAATGGTGAGTCTGTTATAATGCTCAGAAATTATGAATCTGTGTATTATGCTGGACAGGGTGAGTTTGTGTATAATGTTAAGGAATGGTGAATCTCTGTAATGCTCAGGCATGGTGAGTGTATAATGCTCAGAAAGGGTGAGTGTGTGTAAAATGCTCAGGAATGGTGAATCTGTGTGTGTAATGTTGAGAAGTGGTAAATCTGTATATAATGCTCAAAAATGAGTGAATCTGTGTATAATGCTCAGAAATGTGTGTGTGTGTATAATGCTCAGGAATGGTGAGTCTGTAAAATGTTCAGGAATGGTGATTTGTGTGTAATGCTCAGGAATGGTGAGTCTGTCACAGTGCTCAGGAGTGGTGAGTGTGTGTACAATGCTCAGGAATGGTGAGTCTGTAAAATGTTCAGGAATGGTGAATCTGTGTGTAATGTTCAGAAATAGTGAGTCTGTGTGTTATGCTCAGGAATGGTGAGTTTGTATATAATGTTTGGAAATTGTGAATTGGTGTATATATAATGCTCAGAAATTGTGAATCTGTGTATAATGCTCAGAAATGGTGAATTTGTGTATAATGTTCAGAAATGGTGAATTTGTGTATATATAGTGTTCAGAAATGAGTGAATCTGTGTATAAAGTTCAGAAATGGTGAATCTGTGTGTAATGTTCAGGAATGATGAGTCTGTGTATAATGTTCAGAAAGGGTGGATCTGTATAATGCTCAGAAATGAGTGAGTCTGTGTGTAATGCTCAGGAATGGTGAGTTTGTATATAATGTTTGGAAATTGTGAATCTGTGTATAATGCTCAGAAATGGTGAGTGTGTGTAATGTTCAGAAATGGTGAGTTTGTGTGTAATGCTCAGTGTGAGTCTGTGTATAAAGTTCAGAAATGCTTAGTGTGTATAATATTCAGAAATGGTGAGTCTGTTATAATGCACAAAAATGAGTGAATCTGTATGTAATGCTCAGAAATGAAGGGTGAATCTGTAAAATGTTCAGAAATGATGAATCTGTGTGTAATGTTCAGGAATGGTGAGTGTGTATAATATTCAGAAATGGTGAGTCTGTTATAATACTCAGAAATTATCAATCTGTGTATAACACTCAGGAATGGTGGGTGTGTGTATAATGCTCAGAAGGGGTGAGTTTGTGGATGATATTCAGGAATGGTGAGTGTGTGTATAATGCTCAAAAATGAGTGAATCTGTGTATAATGTTCAGAAATGGTTAGTGTGTGTAGAATGTTCAGAAGGGGTGAGTGTGTGTATAATGCTCAGGAATGGTGAATCTGTATAATTGTCAGAAATGGTGCCTGCAGGATGTGCAGTGTGCAGGAGCTGACCCTGCCTGCAGGGTGTGCACTCTGTGCAGTGTGCAGGAGCTGACCCTGTCCCCTGTCCCTGTCCGTGTCCGTGTGTCCCCCTGTCCGTGTCCGTGTGTCCCCCTGTCCCTGTCCGTGTGTCCCCCTGTCCGTGTCCGTGTGTCCGCAGCGTGCCCCGTTACGATCAGCCGCCCCCCGTGTCCTACCAGCCGCAGCCCCCGGAGAGGAGCCAGGCCCTGCTGGTCCCTGCCAACCCCTACCACAGTGCTGAGATCCCTGACTGGCTCCAGGTCTATGCCAGGGCTCCTGTCAAGTGAGATTCTGCTTTTTTTTTTATTTCTTTTCACTCTGAAAATGCAAAAATAATTGAATTTCTGTGGCTGACAGCAGAGCTTGTGCTCTGTGTATTTGGTTTTTGGGCTGAGGGAAGGAGTTGTACCAAATGTTTATCACATTAATTTGCTTTCTTTCAGGCATTACTTGGAGTGATCACTTTGTGCAGCTCCCACAAAGCTCTGTCACTGGCTGAAGGATGTGTTTTGCTTTCAGAGTGTTTACAAGAGTGGTACCACGTGCTCAGAAAATATGTGAAACATTTCTAGGGTGGAACTTCCTCATGTCTCTTTTAGTTCTTTTTAAACAGCACAGCTTTTCCTCCACCTTTAAGAGTTTTTAATCACAGAATCATGAAATTATTTGGATTGGAAGGAACTTAAAAATCATTCACTCCCACCCCTGCCATGGCAGGGACACCTTCCACCATCCCAGGCTGCTCCCAGCCCTGTCCAGCCTGGCCTGGGGCACTTCAGGGATGCAGGGGCAGCCCCAGCTGCTCTGGGAATCTGTGCCAGAGCCTCAGCTCCCTCACAGAGAAACATTTCTTCCTAATATCCAACCTAAATTTACTTTTTTCCACCTTAAAGTCATTCCCCTTGTCCTTCCTCCATCCCTTCTCCAAAGTCCCTTTCCAGCTCCTTCGGAGCCCCTTTAGGCCAAATGCTGGCTGACATCTGTGTTTCTATTTCTGTATTTCTACTTCTATATTTCATTTCTGTTCAAGAAATTGAATTAAAAACTAAAGGCTAATAAAAAATCATTTTCTCAAAAAAAAAGCTGCTGCAGGAGCAGGGAGTCTCCTCCAAAAAAAGGTTTGAGTCAGCATCAAGAAATGAGATTCATCAAGAAATGAGATTTTCTAATGGGTGCAGCTCTGCAGAGCAGTAACACTGAATAGAAAGCAATAAAATCCCAAATGTGGTGTAATATTTATTAAATCACGTGCTATTCTTAAGGAGAATATGGAGAAATTCAGTTTTCCAGCAGTGAGGACAGCCTGGAACTGCGAATTCAAGCTGTGGTGTTCAGTGACTTCCACTAAAAAAATTCCTTTTTTTTTATTACCTGCTCCTAGTGACACAATTTGAATGAGTTTTATTATTTCTGGTGACTGCTGGGTTTGCCAGCAGCCCATAAAATTTAAATTGCCCTGAAATCCCCCAGAACACTGGGGCTCCACACTCAGTTCCTGTAGGATTTGTATCCTAAAAATCCTTCCAGGTTTTGGCTGCAGAACCATTCGTTATTGAGGTTTTTGGCACATCCAATGTAAATTTAAATAGCCTGTGTTGTGTGGATTATTTTGGGTATTTTCTTAAAAATTGAGAAACAAACATAGGACAAATTCAACAATTCATCAGGGATTTCTTTATAGCAAGTAGGCTGAGACAAAGTTTTAAATTTTTAATTATCAGCACAGTTTTGCAGTGAAATAATTGGTTTTATTTTGTCATGATTTGTTACTTACCCCTGGCTCTGTAAATTGATTTAGCTGGGTTTTTATGTTTGTTTTTGTTGAGAGGAGTAGCTAATTATGGAAAAAATAAGAATATTTGATTTTGTTTTAACAAATTCCTCTAGAGCATAAGAATTAGGGTTAGAAAAAGCCTGAGAGAGAGTTCAGTAGGTGTTAACCAAAATAATCTCTGTTTATAGGAACAAATTCCTTCCTGTGAGGGTGGGAAGGGAGAGGAGGGAAAGGTGCTGAGCTCAGCAATGCCCCCAGATTAACAGCTCATTAACAGTTCATTAACAGTTCATTAACGGCTCATTGCTGGTACACACCAGACCCAGTGCTAATTGGTAATTGTTAATTGTTAATCCACATTGGTCATTGCTGCTGCTCAGCCTGTTCTGCTGATACCCAGGAAGAGAAAGTTCTTCACTTGTGGCACAAGTGCCTGAAAACTTCAGCACAGAGCTCAAACTCCAAACAGCTGCAGTTGGTTATTTCTTTTTTTGGGGGAGAAAAAAAAAGATTTTAGCAGGGCAGCCCTGTCAGAATCAGGAATAACTTAATACAGAGGCTGTGGTAAGTTTTAGTGAAATTGTTAAAATTCCTCAGAGCATCTTTGGAAGTCACCTGCACGTCCTGGTGCTTCTGTGGTGCCTCTGGAGTGTGACTTTCAGTGGGGAATGCAGTTTATTTCCATTAACCCACTGATATTCCAGCCTCAGCCTGCAGCCAGGTGAGTCCATCTGCTCCTGTGCCTCGGCTGCATTGAATATCTCCATTGTTCCAAATATCTCCATTGTTCCAAATATCTCCATTATTCCAAACATCTCCATTGTTCCTCGAGTTCCTCCTGTTGTGGGACAGGCAGAGCAGGCAGCTCCCCATTTCCAAGCTCAGGCAATCACATTTTGGGTGGGCTGTGTGAGGGAAAAGCAGGACAGGAGGGTAGGGCAGTGAGGGTGGAACCACAGCGAGGTCATGGACATATTTTATGGAAAATCCTTTTGTCAGGATCTTTTCTCCTGAGCAGCTGAGAGGCCTCAGAACAAAATATAAACATTGATTATCTGCTGCTGTGGGATGCAACAGGTGCATCTGGGATTGGTCTCATGGGGCTGTTTCTAATTAATGGCAATCACAGTCAGCTGGCTCAGACTCTGGTCAGTCACAAGATTTTATTATCATTCCTTTCCTTCCTTTCCTTACCAGCCTTCTGATGAAATCTTCTATTCTTTTAGTATAGTTTATATTTAATATATAATTATCTTTTCATATAATATATATGGTAAAATGAAATGAAACATGGAGTCAAGATTCTCATCTCTTCTCTCGCCTGGGACCCCTGTGAACACCACCACAATGTGAAAAATGTGGATTTTATAATTGGCTTTTGCAAATATTCAAATGAATATTGTATGTGTGGTGTTAGAAAGTGATGCTGGGTTAATTCTCTTAAGCAGTGTGTTAAATACAGTTTTAGGTTATAAAAATTGTTAAAAGAGAAACTGTGCTATGTGGGATATTTTTTTAAAAGAAAGGACTGGCAGTGAGATAGCAGCCACAGGACACCTGAATCTCTCAGAGAAAGAGAATTTATTGCTCCATTATCAGGAGAAATGAACTTCTTCCTGCCTCGAAGGTGCTGTGAGGATCCAGAGGAAGAAGCTGACACTGCCCAGCCAGAATCCTGTGGTTGAATGGAATTTATGCATCATGGATGAGCTGTATGAATATGCAACAGGCTGGTGCTTTTAAGGGTTAATCCTCTGTTAACGTGGGACCTTTTTTGGGCTTATTTTGCCCAGAAAAGGCACCCGGACTATCCATAACTTTTTGGTTTTATTGTCTCATATTGTCTTAAATCCTAATTGTCCAAATCATTATTACTGCAAACCATTTTATTACTACTAAACTTTGAAAATGTTCAAACCAACATCCGTATTTTTAACGCACCGCCGTGTCTCCCGCAGGTACGACCACATCCTGAAGTGGGAGCTGTTCCAGCTGGCCGACCTGGACACGTACCAGGGCATGCTGAAGCTGCTGTTCATGAAGGAGCTGGAGCGCATCGTGAAGCTGTACGAGGCGTTCCGGCAGGCGCTGCTGGGGGAGCTGGAGCAGCGGCAGCAGCGGCAGCAGTGGTACGCCCAGCAGCAGCAGCAGCAGCAGCAGCAGCAGCACAGCGCCAACTACTGAGCGCCGCCGCGGCTCTCCCAGGAACAGCGCTTCTGGTTGAAAAGGCAGCTGATTTTTGTTGACGTTGCACCTTTGTTATTATTATCCTCTTGAATATTTTTCTACATGTATTATGTGTTGTTTATAAAGAAGTGGAAATTGTTTGTTAATCTTTTTTGGCCGTGCCGGGAGTAGTTTGTTATCCTGAGAAACCAGCAAGTTCCGTGGTGCCCTGCTCGTCCCTCCGTGTCCCGAGCCAGCTGCAGTATTAAAGCTGGCTGTGCATTTTGAAGGGCAGGAGTCACGTCCTGGCTCCCACACGTTGTCCCAGCGCAGATGCCTCGTTCGGGGAGCGCCCTGGGGTTTGGGATCCCTCTCCTGAGAGCTCTGCCCTTTGTTTACAGCTTTAATGTACAGACCCAGCCCGGCCCGGCCCGGGGCCGAGCTCACCCCGCCGATCCGCGCTTCGCCCAGGTGAAGCTGAGTTGCCTTATTTTTTACTTTAGCTCGTTAGTACTCCAGCCTCACTCCTCATTTCCACACAGGTTACTCAGAGGGGGACACTTGTACCTTCCCAAAGACCAAGATCTCTAAGCAGAGTGGTTTTGATCCTGCATTTCCCAAAACCTGACCCGCTCCAGTGGAAAGGCAGCAGCGCCGGCTGCCCCGCTGTGCCACCCCAGGGGGAAAATCAGGGATGTAACAGCAATTACTGGGTTTTTTTTAATGAGCTTTTGTCTTAAAGCTCCTCTCTTGGGGAAAATCTTTAATTGTCCAGTTACCCTCTCCAGTAATTTCATTTGGTTCATTAATTGTCCTGATATGTTATTTATGGGTTCTTTTCAGTGCAATAAACACTGCAGACAAAAAAGTACATTTCTTGTAAATCCTACGAATTCAATAAAAATCATTTTGTTCGATGAACGAAGGGTTTGTGTGACTGATTTGTGGCCTTTCACAACTTCAGATAAACCATCCTTAGCAGCAGGAAAAGCCCCATGATTGAAGCTCTTGGGGGCTCCGAGCTCTGGGTCTGTCTGTGGATAAATGACCCTCAAAACACCAACCCTGAAATCCCAAATTAAACCAAACATGTAAAAAACCCAGAGGAGAAGCTCTTGCTGAGGTAATAAATAATTTCACTGTAGAACCAATTTCTTAGGAACCAAAAGCAAACTTTAATAGTCTTGACAATAAAAGAATAGAACTGTACCACACATCCTATGCACTATCATGGATAAATATGTACAGAAATACAGAGAAACTTCCTCCAGAACAGCTACAAAGTGACACTTTGTGCAGACAAACAGAAACGGTTCCTCACAGCACCCTTAACAGACCACAGCAAGTGCCCTTAACGGTGTCTGATAAAGCAAGTTAACACTTCCATTATGTTCATGGCATTAAACAGTTAAACGAAGGGAACAAACGTGGTTACATGTTAGAACTTCTTCAAGTACCTGAAATAAACTGCCTCTCGGACAAGCTTCGGCCATTTTAGTTGCGGTATCACGTCAATTATCGTTTCCTCGGTGGTGACTAATTAAGAAGGGGGAAATAAGGCTTCATAAACGAGCTGGGAGTCGCTGGCAATGACGGACCAAAGCTCGGGGCTGCGGCAGCGCCCTCTGTACACAGGGACAGGGACAGGGACAGCCAGGCTGGCCCCGCGCCCGGCGGGCTGGGGACGGACACGGGCGGGGGCGGCGATCCCGGGGAGCCCCGGCCGGGCGGCACCGGGGGCACCGGGACCCGCCGGGGGCACCGGGACCCAGCGGGACCCAGCGGGACCCAGCGGGACCCAGCGGGACCCAGCGGGACCCAGCGGGGCCGGGGCCGCTCCTAGAGCTGCTTCCTGTCGGCGGGCGGGCCGGGCTCGCTGCGCGGCGCGGGGAAGGCGTGCTGGTACAGGTGTCTGTGCGTGGCGGCCGCGCTGTACAGCTTGTACAAGGCCTGCGGAGAGACGGCACCCACTGAGCGGCTCCTTCCCACCGGGGAATGCCGATCCCAGGGAATCCCGAACCCAGGGGATTCTGAACCCAGGGAACCCCAATCCCCAGGGACCCCCAATCCTGGGGAATCTCAATCCCAGGGAATTCTGAACCCAGGGAATCCCAAACCCGGGGGATTCTGATCCCAGGGAATCCTGAACGCAGGGAATCCCGATCCCAGATCCCAAACCCAGAGAATTCCAAACTCGGAGAATCCCAAACCTGGGGAATCCCAAACCCAGGGAGTCCCGAACACACAGAATCCCAATCCCAGGGAATCCCAGTCCCAAGGAATCCCCCAAACCCAGGGAATCCTGATTCCAGGGAATCCCAATCCCAGGGAATCCAAAGCACACGGAATCCCAAACCCAGGGAATTCCAATCTTGGGGAATGCCGATCCCAGAGAATCCCAAACCCATGGAACCCTGATCCCATGGAATCCCAATCCCAGAGAATCCCAGACCCAGAGAATGCCAAACCTGGGGAATCCCAGACCTGGGAAATCCCAAACCCATGGAATCCCTATCCCAGGGAATCCCAAACCCAAGGAATCCTGATCCCAGGGAATTCCAATCCCAGGGAATCCTCATCCATCCCAACCCCCTGTGCGTTCTGTGCACCAGATTTTCCAATTTTCCAAGCACCTCATCCCCCCTGAGCTCTATCAGTCCTTCATCTGGACCATGAGTGGGGCATTTGGGGATTTGGGGTTGTTTTTCCTGTTTTGGCTCCTGCAGCCTCAGCCCCAGGGCTGGGGGTGGCACAGGGGTGGCTCTGGTCCTTGTCCCCATAATTTTCCTGCAGATGATTTGGACTTTTTCTTTCTGATTTTACCATTTTCCTTCTAATTTCACCATTTTCTGTTTGTCCTCGGGCCAGGCCAGGCTCAGCACAGGCAGGAGCAGCTCTGGGGCTGCAATTCCCACATGGAACCGACAGGGCCAGGTGACATCTGACCCCACGGGGTGACAGCGGGTGACACCCTCGTGTCCCTCCCTGCCTCTTCCTCACCTTCATCCCACAGCAAACAGCAGGAGGTGCCAGGACACAGCTCAGGACTCGGTGTCACCGACTGTCACAGCTCTGGCATTGCCATTTCAAATGAATGTGGGGTGCAATAAACCAACCCCAAGCCCTCAGCTCCTGCTGGGAGCGCTGGCAAACCGGGATCAGCTCTGGGAGGGCTGGGAAGGGGCACCAGGACCCCACACACGGCCAGGGTGAGGAGTTCTGTGCGCCCAGGGGGTGAATGGAGCAGGACAGGCTGAGGGGGCAGGGAGGAGGAGGAGGGTGAGGATGAGGAGCCTCCAGAGGTGTCCAAGGGGATGCTGATCCCATCCCAAATGGGATTCTGGGAACAGAAGGGGTGCTTTGGGATTGTTGGGAACACAGTGGAGAGGCAGAAGAGACTTCACACAACTTCTCTGCTTGTTTTTCTGGGAAATTCCCCTTCAAGCCCCATCCAGGTGACCCTGCAGCATTTTGTGCTGTTTTAGGGCTTTTGTGATGCCAAACCAGCCCCATTTTTACATGGCAGGGTTTGTTCCACACCTCATCCACAGCAAATCCTGTGCTCTGCCTCCTGTACCCCTGGGGAACCACCCTGGCTGCTGGGAGGGATGGGATGGGATTGGGATGGGATTGGGATGGGATCAATGGGATGGGATTGGGATGGGATTGGGATGGGATTGGCATGGAATTGGAATGGGAATGGGATGGGATTGGGATGGGATTGGGATGGGGATTGGGATGGGATTGGGATGGGGATTGGGATGGGAATGGGATGGGATTGGGATGGGATTGGGATGGGGATGGGATGGGATTGGGATGGGAATGGGATGGGATTGGGATGGGATTGGGATGGGGATTGGCATGGGATTGGCATGGGATTGGCATGGGAATGGGATGGGATGGGATTGGGATGGGGATTGGGATGGGGATTGGGATGGGATCAATGGGATGGGATTGGGATGGGGATTGGGATGGGGATTGGGATGGGGATGGGATGGGATTGGAATGGGATTGGAATGGGGATTGGGATGGGAATGGGGATTGGGATGGGGATTGGGATGGGGATTGGGATTGGGATTGGGATGGGGATTGGGATGGGATTGGGATGGGGATTGGGATGGTTTTTAACAGCCTGAATTTCCCCTAAAGGAGCTGCCCCAGAACTCAGGGGCTCAGGAGGTGGCACTGCCACTTTGGGGACACAGGAGAACATGGAAATGTCTGGGCCAGCTGGGGAGGCTCTGGGACCCAGAGCTGCAATAAGTAATGCCCATGTGCAGGACATTTGGCTTTTCTTGGTTTAACCAGATCCTGGTGAGGCTCTGCCCCAGGAACATTCCAGAAGCTCCCACTGGGACCCTGCAGGGCTGGGCAGGAGGAGCACAGGGAGCTGAGCTGGGCACACACACAGAGCTGCTGTGAGCATAAACCAGAGCCCCAGAACGGACTGGCCTGGAAGGGACCCCTAAAAACCCAAACTTAGTTCCAATGCCCCTGGAATGAGCAGGGACACCTCCCACTGTCCCAGGGTGCCCCAATGTCCAGCCTGGCCTTGGGCACTGCCAGGGATCCAGGGGCAGCCACAGCTGCTCTGGCAATTCCAGCCCAGCCAGGAATTCCCAATTCCCAATCTCCCATCCATCCCTGCCCTCTGGCACTGGGAGCCATTCCCTGTGTCCTGTCCCTCCATCCCTTGTCCCCAGTCCCTCTCCAGCTCTCCTGGAGCCCCTTCGGGCCCTGCCAGGGGCTCTGAGCTCTCCCTGGAGCCTCCTCCTCTCCAGGGAACATTCCCAGCTCTCCAGCCTGGCTCCTGTGGCTGCTCTGTCCCTGTTCCAGCAGCTCCAGAGCCTCCTGCAGCAGGAGCCCAGGGCTGCAGCAGCTCTCAGGGTCTCACTGAGTGGGGCACAATGTCCCTGTCCCATCCAGGTTTTCCTGTTCCTGTTGGCCTGGGCAGGGGCATTTCCCCTCAGAGCAGGATTGCACTCCCTGTGCCCCAGGGGTGCTGGGGGTGATGAACTCTGTGCCCTCTGTGCTCTGCACGCCCCTCAATCCAACACGGGCTGCTTTTCCCCACAAACAGCACCCCCGGCAATTCCAGCAGCACTGAGAGGCCTGGCCAGCCCTGGGGGCTCCCCAGCTCTCCCTGCCCGCACCACAACAATCCGGGCTTGGGGCTGGGTCTGACCCTGGCACAACAGGAGAATCCCCAAACAGCCGATGGGACAAAGCTGAAAATGCCAATGGTGTCCTGCCATGCCCAGGCAGAGCTCTGTCCCAGCCGGCTCCTGCCGGCACCGCCCACACCCACAGCCCCCAGCCCCCGGAGCTGCTGCCCCAGCCCCCTGGCTCCCATCCATCCCCAAGGAGCTCCTGGGGCCAGGATGTTTTTCCCAGAGCCCAGGGCTGGCAGCATGCAGGGGCAGGAGCCACTTACCTCATTGGTGCTTCCCTGGGAGAGGCAGGGCAGGGGAGACAGAAAGAGAGAGAAACCGTGGATCTCAGTGCCCATGGCAGCCACCCCCGGGCTGCTCACCCCAAACCCCTGCTCTGCTCCCACTGCCAGGGCCACAGCAGCTCCCCTGTGCCACAAACCCCTCCTGGGAGCACTTTCCCTTTTCTTGGGCAGCCCCAGGGCCTGTGGGAGCCAGGACAGCTCCAGGCGCTTTCCCCTGTTTGCTTTCCCCCAGCTGGACGCGGTGCAGTGGGGCAGCACCTTCTGCTGCTGCTGCTGCCTGCCTCCTGTTCCTGCTGCATTCCCATTGCTCCTGCCCTGCCATGGAACATTCCAGCACCTTCTGCTGCTGCTGCTGCCTGCCTCCTGTTCCTGCTGCATTCCCATTGCTCCTGCCCTGCCATGGAACATTCCAGCACCTTCTGCTGCTGCCTGCCTCCTGTTCCTGCTGCATTCCCATTGCTCCTGCCCTGCCATGGAACATTCCAGCACCTTCTGCTGCTGCCTGCCTCCTGTTCCTGCTGCATTCCCATTGCTCCTGCCCTGCCATGGAACATTCCAGCACCTTCTGCTGCCTGCCTGGCTCCTGTTCCTGCTGATCCCTGCCCTGGCATGGAACATTCCAGCACATCCCAAAGGCTCCTAGGCAGGGTCCCTGGGCACAGGGACACTCAGGGGCTGGGGACAGGATGAACCCAGCTGGGACAGCACCACTGGCCAGCTCTGGGATGCAGGAACATCACTCAGTGCTGCCTCTCTTTGCCCCAAAGCTGCATGGGGAGCAGGAATGGGCTTGTTCTCCATGAAAACCTCTCCGGTGGAGGAGAAGGGCCCTTCCTGCCGGAACTCAGGGCTGGGATGGCTCCTGGGGGATCCAGGAGCTGCCCCAGCTCTGCAGGGGAAGAGCAGGAGGGCACTGCAGCCCGTGGGACTGTGCCCCTGGATGGGCAGCAGGGCTCAGGGGCAGTCTCTGTGGGCTTTCCCTTTCCTGCAGTGGGAAATCAGGGTCTGGTGCCAAAACTGGCACAGCCAAGATCTGGCCTCGACCTCTGGCAGAGCTGGGACAGCCCAAACCCCTGCCCTGAAACAGGGAACAGCCCAAACCCCTGCCCTGAAACAGGGAACAGCCCAAACCCCTGCCCTGAAACAGGCACAGCCCAAATCCCTGCCCTGAAACAGGGAACAGCCCAAACCCCTGCCCTGAAACAGGGAACAGCCCAAACCCCTGCCCTGAAACAGGAGAGAGCCCAAACCCCTGCCCTGAAACAGGGAACAGCCCAAACCCCTGCCCTGAAACAGGCACAGCCCAAACCCCTGCCCTGAAACAGGCACAGCCCAAACCCCTGCCCTGAAACAGGGAACAGCCCAAACCCCTGCCCTGAAACAGGGAACAGCCCAAATCCCTGCCCTGAAACAGGAGAGAGCCCAAACCCCTGCCCTGATGTAGGAACAGCCCAAACCCCTGCCCTGAAGCTGGGACAGCCCAAACCCCTGCCCTGAAACAGGCACAGCCCAAACCCCTGCCCTGATGTAGGAACAGCCCAAACCCCTGTCCTGAAGCAAAGGAGAGCCCAAACCCCTGCCCTGAAGCAGGGAGAGCCCTGGCTGCTCCTCTCTGACAGCCACAGCCATGCACACAGCAAGCACACACACCAGGATCCTCCCCCAGAGCTGCCCATCCCCACAGGGCCCCACAAAATCCCACCTGGGGACGGGTGAGACAAGCAGGAAAGAAAGAGGCAGAACCAAAGAGCTTGCTGGGAGTTTTCTCAGCTCTACACAAGCTTGTTTTCCACACTGGACAGAACTGGGGGCTCAGGGACAGCTCCAGCCTCGCTCACCCCCCTGTGCTGCAGCCACTGGGCAGCCCTGTGAGCTCTCCCTTACAACAAACTGCACAAACTCGTCTGCAACAACTCCTCTGCCCCTGCTCTCCCCACCTGGAAGCTCTAAGGAACAGATTAAAACTTCAATTAAAACTGGAAAGGTGCCCCTGCACTGATCTAACAACCCAAAAACCAAAACCATCTCAAAGGGGGAGGAAAACCCCCAGGAAACTCAATGCTTAAAAACCCAACCAACCCAGCGGGGCGCAGGGAGGCCACTTTTGGTGTGTGATTTTTTTTGGAAATCAAAAGCTCTTTATCCTACCTGGTCCCACAAGGCTGCAGCCACTTGGTCTATTACAGCTCCCAGTTCTCTGTACTCCCCAGAGTATCTGATATAAGCCCAGGTACAGAGTGTGATAAGTGTCAAGCCCAGGATCATGTTGCACAGGCTGGCTATGATGTCCAAGCCAATGAAGCCGGTGACGCCGGCCAGCACGTAGGTGATGAAGATGACGACGAAGAGCGTGGCCGGGGTGCGGGCGGCGTGGAAGATGTTCTTGCTGTCGTTGTGCTTGATGTACTGGATGTAGAGCTCGTCGATCTCGGCCTCCAGCTGCTGCAGGTAGCGCCGGCTGAACTCCTCCCCTCCCATCTTCTTGACGCCGCGGAACAGCCGCACCGCCTCCTCCCGCAGCTCCGAGTGCCGCGCCTGCAGGTCGCTGGGCGCCAGGAAGGGCTTGTCCCCCCCGCACACCTGCGGGAACACGGGCAGGGACCGAGGGACTGAGGGGGTGGCTCGGGGGAATCATCGCTGACACGGGGAAACCATCACTGACACCGGGAAACCATCACTGACACCGGGAAATCATCACTGACACCGGGAAACCATCACTGACACCGGGAAATCATCACTGACACCGGGAAACCATCACTGACACCGGGAAACCATCACTGACACCGGGAAATCATCACTGACACCGGGAAACCATCACTGACACAGGGAAATCATCACTGACACCGGGAAACCACCACTGAAATGGCACTGCTGGGATGGCTCTGCTGGCATGGGGAAATCATCACTGACACGGGGAAACCACCACTGACACCAGGAAACCATCACTGAGATGGGGAAATCATCACTGAGATAGGGAAATCATCACTGACACCGGGAAATCATCACTGACACGGGGAAACCATCACTGACACCGGGAAATCATCACTGACACCGGGAAATCATCACTGACACCGGGAAACCATCACTGAAATGGCACTGCTGGGATGGCTCTGCTGGCATGGGGAAATCATCACTGACACGGGGAAACCATCACTGACACCAGGAAACCATCACTGAGATGGGGAAATCATCACTGAGATAGGGAAATCATCACTGAGATGGGGAAATCATCACTGAGATGGGGAAATCATCACTGACATGGGGAAACCATCCCTGACACAGGGAAATCATCACTGAGATGGGGAAATCATCCCTGACATGGCACTGCCAGGATGGCACTGCTGGCACAGGGAAACCACTGCTGGTATGGGGAAATCATCCCTGAGATGGCACTGCTGACACAGGGAAATCATCCCTGATACAGGGGAATCACTACTGGCACAGGACAATCATCACTGACATGGCACTGCTGATAGAGGGAAATCACTGCTGGCATCACTGAGATGTCACTGTTGATACAGGGAAATCATCAGTGAGGTGCCACTGCTTATACATGGAAATCACTCCTGAAACATCACTGCTGACACTGGGAAATCACTCCTGAAATGGCATTTCTGACACAGGGGAATCACTCTTGAAACAGGGAAATCACCCCTGGAATGGCACTCCTAACATGGGAAAATCACTCCTGAAATGGCACTTGTGACACAGGAAAATCACTCCTGAAATGGCACTCATGATATGATATGGGAAAATCACTCCTGGAATGGCACTCCTAACATGGGAAAATCACTCCTGAAATGGCACTTGTGACACAGGGAAATCACTCCTGAAACAGGGAAATCATCCCTGGAATGTCACTCCTTATACACAGAAATCCCTCCTGAAACATCACTGCTGACACAGGGAAATCACTCCTGAAATGGCACTCTTAATAAAATCAGGGAAATAAAATGGGAAAATCACTCCTGAAATGGCACTCATGACATGGTGAAACCACTCTTGACACAGTGAAATCATCCCTGAAATGTCACTCCTTATACACAGAAATCATTCCTGAAACATCACTGTTGACACAGGAAAAATCTAAAATTAGGGTTAGGGATTAGGGGTTATGGTTTGGGAAGGAATTCCTGGCTGTGAGGGTGGGCAGGCCCTGACACAGGTGCCCAGAGCAGCTGTGGCTGCCCCTGGATCCCTGGCAGTGCCCAAGGCCAGGCTGGACAGGGCTTGGAGCACCCTGGGACGGCGGGAGGTGTCCCTGCCATGGCAGGGGTGGCACTGGATGGGCTTTAAGGTCCCTTCCAACCCAAACCCTTCTGGGATTCCATAAATCTAAGACAGGAGAGCCAGGACACAGGGGCAAAAGAAGGGGCAGGGAAGGGGCAGACTCATCACCACCCACCTCTTCCATCCTCCTGCTGTAGGTGTCTTTGGCAGTGGCAACTGCTGCTAAATTGTTGGCTTCTGCTGTGGCCTGTAAGGGCAGAAGGGACACAACATTTAGGTGCAGAAGGGCAGGGTTAAGCTGTGCAAGTGACACAGCCAGGACGTGTGTGTGGCACCCAGAATCGGCCAAGGGGCTCTCCCAGCCTCCAACCAACCCCAAATAAGCCCATCCCATATTCACACATCCTGCATGAAGAGAGGATTCCTCCCCTCCAAGCCAGAGCTACAAAAACTCTGGCTTCAGCTGTGGGAAGCAGCAAGGAAAGAGATAAAAGGCTGAGCCACAAATAAACAGCTCCAGCTGCACTCCCAGCTGGCTCTGGCAGCCACCCCCATGTGTCCCCTCCCTGTGTGGCCCCCAGGATGTCATTCACCTGCAGGGACACATTCAGCTGAGCTGGCTGGGGCTGTGTGCAGCCAGCAACTCCCCAGAGCCCATCCCAGCTGCGATTGCTCAGCCAGGTCAGGCTCCTGATGCCAAACTCTTCCCTTGGGTGGTTACACTGAGGCATTTGGAATGAAGTCCCAGCAGCCCCACTGTGCTGGACACCTCTGCCACTTCCTGGGAATTATTGGCAATTCCAGAGCAGGAATTGCCAGAGCTCCCACTCACACCTACCTGCAGCATGGACTTGGGGTGTGGCAGCTCTTCCCCTTGGTAGATCTTGATGTAGGCCTGGAGAAGAGCAGGGAAAAGGGAATCATGCGGAAGGCAGCACACAGAGCAAGAGCAGCCACCCCCACCCAGCTCCAGGATTCAGAGGCAGGGAAGGGGAGGATGCTCCAGCACAGGATGGCTTTGGTCAGAAAATGCCACTCCTTGGGTCAGCCACTGGAGCTCTCCCTCCTCCTCTCACTCCCAGTGTCCCTCCCAAAGGATCTGCACCTACCTCTGCCCCTTCCCTGCAGGAGAAGGAGCCAAGGTAGCCCTGGGAGTGGGTGGTGAGAATTACTCACCAATGTCTCTCATGGAAATGTCCCAGTAGCCATGACAACAAAAATAAGCTTTTTCCAAAGGCAACTGGAATACAGCCCTCAGCTTATCCCCCTCCAGCCCTCAATTCTCCAGGAAAGGGAAACAGCTCCTCCCACTCTCTGGGCTTGTTGTGTGGTCAAACAAATGACCATGAGGTGTTTGCCCTCTGCTGCAGTGAGTCAGGACTGTCACTGCTCCCTGCCTGCTGCTGCTTCCCCCTTTAGCAGGAATAAATCCCCTTCCTCTGAAATAAATACCTTAAAATACTCCACAAGGCCTCGACAGGTGATGTGGTTGCCATTGATCTCCTTAACATCCAGGTTCTCAGGACTGAGGAGCCAAGGAATCAAAATCTTCAAGTTCTTGATGAACTCATCGTCTATTTCTGGGGAAAAAAAAAGGAAAAAAGAAATAAAGAGGCATCACAGAGTCCCAGAATAGTTTGGGCTGGAAGGGACATTAAAGATCATCATGTTCCAGTCCCCTGCCATGGAAGGTTCTTCTCCCAGAGGGTGGAAGGAGCTGGGAATGGGCACAACCCCAAGGCTGCCCAGAGCTCCAGGGGGATTTGGACAAAGCTCTCAGGTGGGGTTTTTGGTGTTTGCATTAAATTCAACTGTATAGGACTGAAGGCAGAAAAAAAATCAATGCAACAGCCAGGAATTTGGAAAGCAGGGAAAATCCCCCACATTTTTTCCATCAGAGCACAAAAAGCTGAGTAGAGCTCTGAGGCAACAAGAAAATTGTGAAAATTGTGTCAAGCAGCTGCTGACAGCTCCTGTCTGCACACAGCAATTGTTCCACACTCTCAGCACCTGAGATGAAGGGGGAGCTCCAGGGCTCAGCTCAGTTTCCACCAGCACATCTCCCTCCTGCTGCCTTGCTGTCCCTCCTGCTCTGCACAGAGCAAGTCTGAGCCAGACAAAACCAGGGGAAAACTCCCATCTTTGCCTGCTAATTTATTTTTAGTAGTTAATGGTCCACTTTATTGCTAAGATTGCAGCAGCCTGGAACCAGCCAGGCTGGTGAAGAGCTCACAACAAACACCTAAAAATATCCCCAGCACGTGGCTCCTTTTGGGGTAGAGAATCTCACCACAGCTCCCTTCTCCTTCTCTCTTGTTTTTAACCTGCTGAACCAAGCCTGCCCTGTAGGGAAACCACTGATCAGATAATTCAGGCAGATTAAATATTCCCTGGAAAGCTTTTCAAAGGGAAATCACTGCTCTGAGAGCTTGTGGAACCAGCCTTCCACCCAGCACAGGCACCAGCCTGGCAGCAAGCAGGCTCTGCCTGTGCAGGTGAGGCACAGGAATTTCCTGCAGCTTTAACACCACATCCACAAACATCCAGAGTCTCCCCTGCCCTTCCCAGTTTTCCTGTCATTGGGTATGGCCAGTAGCAACCTTTTCTCCCTCCACACTGGTCTGCTGCACTGGGGAGAAGCAGAAGGGAGTGCGAACAGCACTGGGAGGGGGATCCAACTGCTCTCCCAGGAGGTTTTTCATGGAAAATACTTTTGGGGGTTTCAGGAACAAGCAGGACAGTCTGCCAGGGTTTCCAAGGAATCAGGGTAGAAAGCAGAGCTCTGCCTTTGTACCTTTGAGTTTTCCATCGAAATTGGGGTTGGTGGCGACTTTGAGGCCGGGGTGGGGTAAGAGGAAGCAGGAGATTTTGGTGAAGCAGGAGTGGATGTGCTTCCTGACATTCTGCAGCTCCTCGTGCTGGTTGCCTGACACCTGTGGAGACAGGGAAGCACAGAATATCCTCAGCTGGATGTGCCCACAAGGAGCAGAGCCCAGCCCTGCCCAGACCCCCAACAATCCCACCCTGGGCATCCCTGGCAGCTCCTGGAGCTCTGGCAGCCTCGGGAATGTCACCATTCCCTGGGACACCCTCTGGATGAAGAACCCTTCCCTGATATCCAGTTACACTCCCCTGGCACAGCTCCAGCTGTTCCCTCAGGTCCTGTCAGTGGTCACCAGAGAGAAGAGCTGGTGCTGCCCATCTACTTCCCACAGTTTGAGTTTCCTTCTGACAGGAACATTGGGATAAAGCTGGCAGGAGCACAGGGTACTCCACACTGTGGGGGAAAGGAGAGCATTCCACAGGCATGAGGACAAAGAGAAGGAACTGGAGTATCTCTGCCCACATGCCCTGGAGCATGTTATCATCATCTGGGAATTGCACATGGCCATGGATGACTGGAACACAAAAACATTTGGGATTTCCCACCAGGGCCTTGCTTGTCTCACATATAATTAGGTCTCTCCACTACCAGATCAGCCATGCATTTCCTGACTGATCCCAAGCAGCCCTTGCCCATCATTTTGATTGTCCAACTCCCTGATTTAACTAAAGCATCATTCCCAGGCTCTTGGGAATCTGCTGACTCCCATTGCTTTGGGCTCTCCCAGAGAGTTCCAGGGAGCCGGGCTTGGGCAGAAGCCTGAACATGGCAAAGAAATTCACCCACCCCAAATGGCTCCTCTGGGGAATTCACCCTCTCCAAATGGCTCCTCTGGAAATTCACCCACCCCAAATGGCTCCTCTGGAAATTCCCCCTCCCCAAATGCCTCCTCTGGAAATTCCCCCTCCCCAAATGGCTCCTCTGGAAATTCCCCCTCCCCAAATGCCTCCTCTGGGAAATTCACCCTTCCCAAATGGCTCCTCTGGGAATTCACCCACCCCAAATGGCTCCTCTGGAAATTCACCCTTCCCAAATGGCTCCTCTGGGAATTCACCCACCCCAAATGGCTCCTCTGGAAATTCACCCTTCCCAAATGCCTCCTCTGGGAATTTACCCTTCCCAAATGCCTCCTCTGGAAATTCACCCTTCCCAAATGCCTCCTCTGGGAATTTACCCTTCCCAAATGCTTCCTCTGGAAATTCCCCCTCCCCAAATGGCTCCTGTGGCATTTTAAGGCACTTTTAAGGGTGTGACCATAACCTGCACTGCAGCTCACAGCTGACCTCCAGTGCTGAGGCCACCCAGGTGAACAGGAAAATCATGGAATCACAGAGTGGATCAGGGTGGAAAGGACCTTACTGATCATCCCTTCCACTATCCAGAACCCAGAGCAGGCAAAACATACCTTCAGTCTCTTCTCCAAAAACCTTGCACCCCCATCAGATCCATAGGAGAATTCATAAGGGAAGCTCCAGTCACGAACAAGGAATATGAGGGACTGGAAAACACAAACAGTGGGGTCAGTGCTGCCCTGAGCCCACAGCACCCTCATTTCACACACCAAAACCTGGCCCGGAGTCTCCTCCCAGCTCCAGCAGCATCTCCCACCTTTCCTGGTGGAAATGAGAGGTCCCAGGTGCTGAGGACTGAGACCACCCCACTGTCCCAGCCCCAAATTTCTGCACCAGTTTGAGTCCCTGGCTGGGAGAACAGCATCAATCACCCAAAGTGCCCAAGAAAAGGGACTGCTGCTAACCAGGACAAAAGGCAGCAAGCTCCCCAATCCCAGCCACATTTAGTTCCATCCTATGGGAATTCTACAGGCTCATTTTTTCAGCCTTTTTCACTGGGCAGCCTTCCAGACAGACTTTTAATGAGAAGCAGATGCAGAGGAATGAGGGTGAATAAGAAATCATTGGCTTTTGTAATCTTTATTGAGGCATTCAAAGTTCCTGGGCAATAAATAAATAAATACCAGAACGGTCAACTTTGAATCTTTAAAAAAAAATTAAGCTTTCAGAAAAAAATGAGGTCTCCACTGCTTCATCTGTACAAGATCCCGTGTAGGAAATAAAGGGTTTGGAGGGGGAAATCCTGAATGTCAAAGCCCAGGAGGGCCTGGCAGAGGTGCCAGAGTTCCTCTCAGGAACAGGGATAAGCAGCTCAGCAAGTGGAACCCATTTCACTGGAATTTCCCTAAATTTATCTATGTTTAGAACAAAAATCTAATGGAGGGAGGGGAAATATTCCTGCTATTTCTCTTTCATAAAACATCAGAAAAAGTTAAAAAAAGAGGAGAGAACAGTGAGTTGGCCTTTTTGAACAGCAGGAGAAGCCACAGTGAGTGCACCCAGTGAGCTGGTTCAGGACAGGCTGTTCTCAAACACCAGAGATGCTTCAGAGACATGTCCATGCTTAGGACTTTTCCACAAAGACATGATGCACACCTTGAATTGGGAATTATTATTTTTTTTCTGAAGTAAAATTGTTCCAGACAGGCTGTGCTTACCACTGCCTTTGAGAAGGCTCCATACTCAGGGCCTGCCTCTGGTGAGGGCTCCTCAGTGTGAGGAGAGGAGGAGACAAAGGGAATTTTCCACTGCCAAGTCTCATTTCCCTTCCCTTCCAGCAGGATCAGGGCCACTGCATTTAGTCACCATCACACTTGGAGAATCCCAGGATGGTTTGGGCTGGATGGTTTAAAGCTGCCATGGCAGGGACACTTCCACCATCCCAGGTTGTTCCTAACCCTGTCCAGCCTGGCCTTGGACACTCCCAGGGATCCAGGGGCAGCCACAGCTGCCCTGCCAGGACCTCCTCATCCTCCTTTTTCCTGCCTTCCCATCCACCCTGTCACATTCCAAACAGGTTCTGCAGGAAGCAGCCCATGCTGGATGCAGACAGGAGATCATTTCTCACCTGGCCACAGCACCACTGACCCCTCTGCCACATCTGGCACATCTGGCACACCCACAAGGGTTCCCAGTTTGATCATTTCCCCCTGATCATTCATGAAGATGGCATTGAGCCTGGGGGATCCCAAGGAAACACTTCTGAAGGATGATGATTCCCCACAATTAGTTCCAATTAGTTCAGCGTGCTCTGGCATCTATCAGTTAATGAGTTTTTAATCCATTAACTATGGATTAAACCAGACAATGCTGACTTCATTTGCTTTCCATCAGCATCCTGGAGAGATAAGGCTGACAGAAGGCAATGGATCATGGTGAGAGTTACCTTTATCAGCCCAGCTCTTTCAAAAACTGATAATGGGATTGTTTGACAAGACTCACCATCCACAAACTGCGCCTTGACAGCAATTACAGTGTTTGGGAGATTCAGAGCCTCTTATCCAGCCCTAATGATTTAAGCATGTTTAAGTCTCCCCTCACAGCCTCCTTTTCACTGATGGAGTGGGAAGTATCTCAGTTTCACTGGAATATTTGGCTATATTATCCCCCAGTATTTAAATAAGGAGCAGGAATATTTATTTAATGTCTGGCTTTTTGCTGTACCACGTTACATCGTTCTTCAAGCTCTTGCCTGTCATATATTTTTACCATATATATTTTTAGTTTTACCATTTATCACAGCAGAATCCAATACACCTGAAAAATCTCAATCTGTCCATTTGTTGTCTTTTTTTAACTTTTTAATTTTATTTCCACTTCCTGACCACAGACACCTTATAAACCCCTCAGTCCTTCCAGGACAACAATTCTCTTTTTATGTGGGAAAGGAAATGTAAAATAGCTGTAACTCATTGCCAATTACTCTTTGGATTTAGATTTTTCCAGCATGCTTTGTTCTCTGCTGGATTTTATTTTAGGTTGGGTGAGGGTTTGTGAACTTCCTAATCAAAACACTCCTGTGTCTTTAAAAACAGGAACCAACCTCACCTACTGTGAATGCCCAATGCTCTCCCTTTTTTTTTACCACCAGCTTTTCCCAGGCTGGGGAGCAGAAGGATGAACAGATGTCCCTAATTTGAAGCTAAAACCCCACTCACACCGAGTTTTCCCACAGCTCTGCTAATCCTTATCCCTTCATTTGGCCAGGAGCAGGGATTCCCAGGGCAGGTGAGTTCAACCCTCTCAGAACAAAGGCTGGGCAGAGTTCCTGACAAACCTGCAGCAACACCAGCTGCTTTGCAAGCCTGGCAGGACAGGGCAGAGCTCTTGGCAAGGCAGGGGTGAGGGAGGAAAGAAAGGAAAGGGGATGTTGGATGTATTTGGAAGCACAAAGCCCTTCCCTGGAGCAGCTGAGCGATCCCCAGGCAGTGCCAGCTCCTCCCACGCTGCAAACTGCAGTGACACCTCGTGGTGAAGCCAGCGGGACACACGAGCAGCCCAGGGCGCTGGGACTCACCTGGAAAGGCTTCTGGAACGTCTCCTCCATGGCCAGCCGGCCATACTCGGTGAAAAGCTGGAAGGAGAAGGAAAGGACAGGACAGGACAGTGAGTTTGTGACTGTGGGACACAGGGGCACCAGCACTGAGCTCTGTGACAGGGACAGGGCCCAGGGGGAGGCTGGAGCTGAGCCAGGCCCCCTTCTCCAAAAATCTTGCACCACCATCAGATCCATAGGAAAACTCATAAGGGAAGCTCCAGTCATGAACAAGGAAAATAAGGGACTGGAAAACACAAACAGTGGGGTCAGTGCTGCTCTGAGCCCACAGCACCCTCATTTCACACACCAAAACCTGGCCCTGAGTCTCCTCCCAGGGTCAGGATGGAAATCAGGGAATGTTCGTGCCCCAGAGGGAGCTGGCAGTGCCCAGGCTGCCCAGGGAATGCCAGAGCTGCAGGGGGGTTGGGACAGCACTGCCAGGGATGCCCAGGGTGGGGTTGTTGGGGTCTGGGCAGGGCCAGGAGCTGCTCAGCGATCCCTGGGGGTCCCTGGAGGGAATTCTCTGATTCCCTGGAGCAGCAGGGGATGTTTATGAGTGAGCAGTACCGGACACAGAGAGGCTCTGGGCTCCCAGCTGACATCCCAGAGGCACAGGGAGCTGCTGTGGAGCCATCACCCTGCTGAGCTCTCATGTGAGAGATCCCAGCCTGGAGCTCCTGCCTGCCAAATCTGTGGGAAATGGCTCAGATCAGCTGCTTGCTGCTGCTTTCACACCAACCAGAAACTCCTCGTGCTCCAGGGGCTGCTGGAGCCCTGCTCCCTGCAAACACTCCAGGAAGGAAAGGAAATGAATTCAGAACTAAGTACCTTCCCTGCAAATCCCTGCTGTGCAAAGACTCCAAAATCAGCCTAGCAGCAAGATTTGAGGACTCTCCAGTCTCTCTGCACTCTAATTTCTTTACTGAAGGCACAATAATGTGTTTCACAGATGCCTAAAAATGGGTCAACTTGTTAAACAGTCATGGCTTAAAATCCAAACTGAAAGATCAGAGCTGCACTGAATAAATTCAGTGTTAAAGAAGTGTTATTGTTAATAATATTTATGGACTGAGATAATTCAGAAGTACTCAAATGGTGATTTTTTCAGCTGGACTTTTGCTTTTCTTTCCTTTCCTTAAGCTCCTGGAAAAAGGTACTTAATTAATCAACCAATCAATCAACTGAACAAAAGAGAAAGCAGGAGGTAATTCCAGGAAACAGGCAGGACACCTGTGTCACAAAAATCCCATTAGCTGCTTGTGCCCAACAGTCAGGGCTGGAATCACCCTTAGAGGGTCACCTGTACTGAGGCAGCACCGGATGGCAACATCCAGGCTGGTAATTCACAGTCACAGAATCAAATCACAGAATCAAATCACAGAATAAAAAAAAAAAATTGTTTGGGTTGGGATGGACCTGAAATCCCACCCAGTTCCAACCCCTGCCATGGGCAGGGACACCTTCCACTATCCAGGGCTGCTTCAGCTCCCATCCAAGCTGGCCTTGGGCACTCCCAGGGATGAGGCAGCCACAGCCTCTCTGGGAAACCTGTGCCAGGGCCTCACAGGCAGAAATTCCTTCCTTTATTCCATCTAACCCTGCCCTCCAGGAGGGGAAGCCATGCCCTGTGGTCCTGCCACTCCATGCCCAATTGGGTTACCCCAAAGCTTCTCTTACCTGCAAGTGCTGCAGATCATCCTCCTGCACGTTCTGGGACAAGTTATAAACCTGCATTGAAATAAAAAACCAACTTCAGACCACTCAGAGCAGCCTGTCCTTGGGGCTAACACGTGGCTGGTGTGGCTAAAGCTGTGACATCCCACGGGGACAGGGCAAGGTCCCAGTGGCAGGAAGGAAGCCCTGGCAGGCTCTGTAGCTCCTGGGGCTGAACTCCTCCAGCCCAGATTTCTTACCTGGATGGAGCTGATCATGGTGCTGAGGGCAAACACGGTGGCAGAGTCCCTGAGGGTGGACTGGCTGTCAAAGGTGCCCTGGGTGTCCATCAGCAGCACTGCAACCTGTGGGGCACAAAGCTCCTGTCAGCCTCTCACATGCCATGGGGGCAATGGCAGCTGGGGGGCTGTGCTGGGGCCTCACTGCCTCTGCCTCCTCACTGCTGGGGACAAGGCAAAAGCCACCCCTGACACCTGGGTGACTCCAGCAGGCAGCAAAATCTGTGCTCTGCAAGGCACTGAGGGAACTGCTCTGCTCCTCTGACACCTGCTGTCAGTCTGAGTCTGCACCAGAAACCAAACACAAACTGCACCTCCTGAACCCAAACACAAACTGCACCTTCTGAACCCAAACACAAACTGCACCTCCTGAACCCAAACACAAACTGCACCTCCTGAACCCAAACACAAACTGCACCTCCTGAACCCAAACACAAACTGCACCTCCTGAACCCAAACACAAACTGCACCTCCTGAACCCAAACACACCCAGCCAGCATCAGGAATCACACCCTGAATGCCTCAGTGTCACTTGGGTGCCATGCTCTGTGCTGAAGTGCATAAATACAAATATTCCTGGCAGGATGCTCCAAATCCTCTGTGACAACCCTGAATGAAGAAACTCCACTTTGCAACTCCTGCTCTAGGAAAGGAAGGAGTTTGCAAGGACATGAGATTCGAGATTTTTGGGAATAATACAGAAATAAACTCTGGGATGCCCAGAATTGAGGGACACTTAGAGAACATATCAGGGACACTTGGACATCACATCACCTGACTTTGTTAAACCCATCTTTGTGACGGTGTTCACAGGGGTCTCAGGTTGAGGGAAGAGATGAGGATCTGACTCCATGTTTCAGAAGGCTGATTTATTATTTTATGATATATATTAGATTAAAACTATACTAAAAGAATAGAAGAAAGGATTTCCTCAGAAGGCTGGCTAGGAATAGAAAAAGAAAGAATGATAACAAAGGTTTGTGGCTCAGACAGAAAGTCCGAGCCAGCTGATTGTGATTGGCCATTAATTAGAAACAATCAACATGGGCCAATCCCAGATGCACCTGTTGCATTCCACAGCAGCAGATAATCATTGTTTACATTTTGTTCCTGAGGCCTCCCAGCTTCTCAGGAGGAAAAGTCCTAAGGAAAGGATTTTCCATAAAAGATGTCTGTGACACATCTTTAACATATGTTTTTCACAGAGGTGTGTACAACTTCCCAGAGGTTCTACAGACTGTCAATTACACGGAAGTTTTTACATCACTTCCATAAATGAGTCCCAGGCAAAATCACCACATTCCACCACTCGGCTCTGTGAAATACACGTTAAAAATTATTATCAAAATTACATTCTCTAAAAAAATATTTTTATATCACTTCCTTTTGTTATTAAACAGAGACATGGTATTGAAAACCTTCCCTGAGGAAGGTTTGGACAACCACCTAAGACAAGGCAGGAGGGTCTCAAAAGCTGGAAAAGGAGGGAAACGAGCAGCAGAGACACACACAGACCTTGGTGCCATCGGGCTTGTCCACCAGGAACACCTCACTCCAGATCTGAATCCCGGTCGTCTCCCGCTCGGAGCCGCCCCTCCAGGAGAACCCGGTCAGGGGCTCGTTGTAGTCCCCAACCCAGTCCACTGCCTCCTGCAGGGAGGAACACAAACAGTTGCTGCAGGTGGCAAAAAAGGGCTAAGAACCCCATAAGGGAGGTTTTTCTTTCCTTTCACTCTCAAGGCACCTCAAATCCTGGGCTCAGTTTTGGGCTCCTCACAACAAAGACATGGAGGGGCTGGAGAGTGTCCAGGGAAGGGAACGGAGCTGGGAAGGGTCTGGAGCTCCAGGAGAGGCTGAGGGAGCTGGGAAAGGTCTGGAGCACCACGAGTGGCAGAGGGAGCTGGGAAGGGTCTGGAGCCCCAGAAGAGACTGAAGGGGCTGGGAAAGGGGCTCAGCCTGGAGAAAAGGAGGCTCAGGGGGGACCTTCACAACTCCCTGACAGGAGAGGGCAGCCAGGTGGGAATTGGGCTCTGCTCCCAGGAAAAAAGGAAACATTTTGATGTTACACCAGGGAAGGTTTGGGTTGGATATTAGGAGATATTTTCACTGGAAGGGTGGTCACACGTTGGAACAGGCTGCCCTGGGCAGTGGTGGAGTGCCCATCCATGGAATGTTCAAAAGACACAGATAAGACACCTGAGGATGAGGTTCAGTGGTGAGCAGGGTGATGCTGGGTTAGCAGCTGGATTCAATGCTCTTCCAGGGATTTTCCAGCCTAACTGATTCTGTGATTCAGGGCAGCAGATGTGAACATTCCTGCTCCAAAGTCAAGTCCAAAAGAAACTTCTGCCTGGGGAAGCATCTGCTGTGCTTTATTCTGTGAATCCCACACTCACGAGAGCCTTGAGCCTTCCCAAAGCACCAAAGCCAGCTCATCCCTGAGCAGCAGGCCTGGCAAGGGCCCTGAGCCGCAGCCTTACCTTGTTGTACATGTAGCGCAGCATGAAGTCCATCAGGAAGGATTTGCCTTTCCTGAAAGCCCCAGCCACGGACACAGCCACCACCTCCTTGTCCCTGACAGCCTCGGAGAGCAGGATGCGGTTCAGGGCGGCCTCGTCCAGCTCGAAGGAGTGATCATCCTTGACAATGAGCACCTGCACCGGCCCTGCCTTCCTCACCGACTCCTCCTCCTCTGAGCTCCACTCGTAGATCTTGTCTGCAAAGCTGCCTGAGGGAACAGAGAAAATGAGAGGGGTTTGGTGCCTCCTCTGCACTGTGAGGGGTCAGTGATCCTGTGCTTGTGGGGTGCCCAGAGGAAGGCAGGAATGATGAATGTGACTCCGCGTTCTCATGTTCTAATTTATTATTTTAAGATAACATTTTATATTAAAGAATATTAAACTATACTAAAGAATACAGAAAGGATTACTTACAGAAGGCTAAAAAGATAATAATGAAAACTCTGGACTCTTTCCAGAGCCCCAACACAGCTTGGCCCTGATTGGCCAAAGAGTAAAAACACTCACACCAAAAATCTAATGAAACAATCACCTGTGGGTAAACAATCTCCAAACACATTCCACATGAGCACAACACAGGAGAAGCAACGAGAGAATATGGTTTTCCTTTTTCTCTGAGGCTTCTCAGCTTCCCAGGAGAAAAATCCTGTGCAAAGGGATTTTTCCAGACAATGTGATGGTGACAGTCAGTGACAGCGGGGCTGGACAGGGTGCTAAGAGATCCAAAAACTCAAATATCCACCCCAAAATGGCACCATCCAGAGCAGATGTGCTGCACTTGGCCTCAGACATCCCAGTGGAGACTCCATGCTTCTCTGGGGTCATCTGACCCTGTGCTTCACACAGGCAGAGCATTCCCTGCTGGAACTTCCCTTGGTAAAACACACAATTTAGATTTTGTCATGCATGGAAAACAGATATAACACCTCCCTTGGCCATTTCTCAGCTGGAAAAGTGAAGTCCAAGCCTTCTCCTCATCCCTTCTACCGCATTATCTAGGGATCTGCTCTCCTCTGGTCCTTCCTGAAGGCTGACCCAAACAGAAGCAGCTCTCCAGCTGAGATGTCCAAAGGTCTCACAGCTCCATCAAAGGATGCTGCCTTTGTGTATCCTGTGCCACTGCTGTTCCTGTAGCAACACATTCCTGCTCCATCTGCAGCCTGAGCTGATGCTCCAAGTGCAATCTGCTGTTCCTGCCATCAGCCTCAGCATCAGCATCCCCCAGGACACTGCCAGCAGGAATCAGGCCATGCAGACACAAACCCATCCTGCTAAAAGCCACTTTGCTGCTCCCAAGTGGAAGCACACACAGAGCACAAGCACTGCCCCCTTTCCCACTTGGAAATGGCCAAGTTCCCTGTGGAGCTCTGCCTGGGCTGTGCAGGGCTCTCACAGGAGGCTCTCCAGGAGCCAGATGCATTTTAAGAGCTGCAGCTCTGGGGTTTGCAAAGAGCAGGCTGGCTCCAGTACTTTTCCTCTGCTGGTCTTTCCAAACTTTGCAGCACAGGGAAGGGCTGTGAAGGTGATTATTGTGCCAGCCAGCTCACCCACAGCCACTGAAACCTCCCTGCCAGATGGAAAGTTCCCCCCACGTTCCAACAAAAACTTCCCAGTTTGTGCCTCAGGCTGTCACTTCCCCGAGTTTTGCCTCAAGTTCAACCTGCCCAGTCTCTGTTTCAGCCCCTGACCTTGGGGACCCAGCTCTGAGCTGTTCCAAAGCACAAGGACTGTGTGTGCACACACTAAAAGAGAAGTTATAAATATCAGGAGGAACAGGATTTGCCCATTCTGGGCCTCTCTATAAAGAAGCCTCCAGCAGTAACTCCATATTTTAAATAACAGCAGCACTTTTGTGATTTCCTAAGATCACAAGGAAGTACCAGGATCATTAGGCCTGGTTGCCAGGGGATTCTTGGTGCCTCTTGGACATATACTGTGAGCTTTCTTTGCTCACAGCTGAGAGACAAAGATCTTTTCTTTCCATTGCTTGGAGGCTTTTTAACTAAACAAAAGTCCCAAATGGTGTGAAAAGCAGATTCTCCACCAGACCGCAGCACTAAAATCCCTCCTAGCACTGTGTCACTGCACAGGGCCCTCCAGAAAATAAAATAAAAAGATCCTAATTTCAAATTTCTGAGAGCAGGAACACCCCAAACACATCTCCCAACAGGTAAGGACAGCCAGGTGCTAAAAGCCCTTTCTAAGCACTGCCAAGCTGCAAGGGCCATACAGAGGATAAGGAAATGCCTTCTCTCTCTTGTGGTGTTTCCCAAAGCCCTGCTCAGCTAAGCCAAGTCCTATTTTTATTTTCTTCTTCCAGCTGCACAGAAAGGAGAGTAGAGAGATCCTTGCATAGGATGTGACTCATGGTGGGGGCAGGAAAAAATTTGTAAATCAAATTAAACTTAAATATTTCTGCCTCTAACTCAGCCATCAGGGTGCAACAGCTGTGCCACCTTCCCAGACAGACAAATCCCACCTCGGGCACAGAGACAGAGGGAGGTGGGAGCAGAACTTGGGCTGGAGCCCCTCTGCTCTGGAGCAGGCTGGGAGAGCTGGGGGTGCTCACCTGGAAAAGAAAAACATCCAGAGAGAGCTCAGAGCCCCTGGCAGGGCCTGAAGGGGCTCCAGGAGAGCTGGAGAGGGACTGGGGACAAGGCATGGAGGGACAGGAGCCAGGGAATGGCTTCAAACTAAAAAATGAGAGATTCAATTAGATTTTAGGAAGGAATTGTTCCCTGTGAGGGTGGGCAGGCCCTGGCACAGGGTGTCCAGAGCAGCTGTGGCTGCCCCTGGATCCCTGGCAGTGCCCAAGGCCAGGCTGGATGGGTTTGGACACCCTGGGACAGTGGGAGGTGTCCCTGCCATGGCAGGGGTGGCACTGGATGAGTTTTGAGGTCTCTTCCAACCCAAACCATTCTGGATTTCATTATTTATGTGTTTACTCATCCTGCACTAGCAGAGGGTACCAGGATGGGCACAAATCCTTGGATGCCCCTGGTCAGAGAACGGAATGGACCTCCCAGAGCTGGAGGGTGAGGAGAGTCCCCTGCCATGCCCTGTCACAGGGACACCTGGGGACAGATCCCCTCTCCTGGGGCCTGGATGGATCTTCCACACCTTCCCCTCACTCTGCTCTTTCCAGCAGCTGAACCAACAACCAGTGCAGAGGAGAAGGGATTGTTCTGTCCCTTCAAATCATCATCATCTGAAGGAGAGTAAATTTTTTAAGCAGACATGAACAGATTTTGGGAGATACATTAGTGGCCATGTTCTCCTAGGGGAGATCCTTGTTTCCACCACCTGAACACCAGGAGAACCAGGCTGTCTGCACAACACAAAGCATTATGAGCAGGATATGTTGATTCCCCAGGTCCTTGGAGAGAACAGGAAGGAGAGATTACATTAAGCAGATCTCTGAACTAATTTCATCCCTACCTCTGCTTCTTTCATGTAGGCCATCTGCAGACAAAACTTTATTTTTCATATTTATATTCATATTTCCATGTGATGAAACTTCCAGGTTCTGTTTGTTAGATTATCTGCCCCACTGCAGAGCCAGGGATTATTTTATACAATGCCTGCACACTACTGGGAGTCAATGATTTTAACTGGTCTGTCTGGCCATAAATGAGGTTTTTCCCTTGAAGGAAGCTGCACCTGGCAGTGGCAAAAACTCCTGCAGCCAAAAAGGAAAGGAAGGAGAGCTCAGCTTTGCTGAACTCCTGTTTTCACTCCTTTTCTGAGCTGACTCCTCCTTTCTCTCGGCTCTGCAATTACGTCAATTCTCCAGCTGCTCATTCAGAAATTCACAGGATAAATTCACAGGATCCTTCTCCCCATTTCATAACAGCTCATTCCCGAGTGGGGTGGAAGCCACAGCACTTTTCCATATGGCCACTGCAAGTGGGAAGGGGAAGGAGTGCATGATTTGCTGTCAGACAGCATAAAAAAAGCAAAGAATTCTTTCACTGGTCTAAGATTTGCTTTGGACTAAATTAATTAATGAAACAGCATATTTCACATTGTGCAGACTCACAGACATGTCTAATGTAATTGACTTAATTTATTCTTCTCTAGGAGTTAATTACAAGCCACTAACTATGCAATGTTTGGTGAGTGCTTGCTGGATCCTGCTCTCCCTCAGCCACGGAAGAACAGGTCACAGAAATGCTGAGTGCCACAAAGGAACCAGCCTTGTCCTGGTGTGAGCCTGCACAAGAAATCCATTTCATTCCAGAGCAGGAACACAGCCCTGTCCCACCATCAGCGCAAACACAGCCTGAGCAGAGCCTGAGGAGGCCAATCTGCCAGCCCTGCTCCCAGGCTCTCCTGCATCCCAGGATTCTCAGCTACCCTGTGGAAAGCTGCAGCCTGGGCTCCAATTCTCCTGCTGAAACCACAATCCCAGAAGAATTTGGGTTAGAAAGGACCTTAAAAATCATCTTATTCCACCCCCTGCCATGGCAGGGACACCTCCCACTGTCCCAGGTGCTCCAAGCCCCATTCAGCCTGGCCTTGGCCACTGCCAGGGATCAGGGGCAGCCACAGCTGCTCTGGGCACCCTCCTCACCCTCACAGAGAAGAATTTTTTCCTCATATCTAATGTAATCTCTCATTTTTTAGTTTAAATCATTTCCCCCTTGTCCTACCACTATCTGCCCAAGTACAAAGTCACTCTCCACTTTTATAAGCCACTTCAAAGTCCTGGAAGGCCACAGTGAGGTGTCCCTGGAGCTTTCTGTTCTCCAGGCAAAAGAGCCCCAGCTCAGATGTCACACACACACAAACACCAATGCCAGGCAGTGCTGCCATTCTGAGGGCATTCAAACCAAATTGCTGCAGGGAAAACAAACCAGCAAGGAGAGAAAATCGAGGCTTGATGGAAAGTTTGAACTTGCTTGTTCCTTGGAACAGAGTACCCTGTATGCACCGTGTCAGGCTGCTTATCAGCAGCTCTCAGGGGATCTGTGTGACCAGCAGTGATATCTGTGCGGCTCCCTTCTGGAGTTTCCATCCCGTATCACACTGCCACCAAGAGCAGCAGAGCCAGGCCCCGAACAGAGGCTGCAGTCAGCCTCCATCCCTCGGGACGCTCTCCAGAGAGCTGCGGTGTGCAGGAAGCTTATCTGCCCTGCACCACAGCTCAGGGGAACACAGCACCCTCCCCGAGCATCTCCCCTGCCCTGGGCACGTTCAGCCGGGCTGG